CTTTTAACTTTCTTTCTCTTTTAAAATGATGAATTCATTTCTGTGTGATTTTATTCCTAATAGAAGAGTGTTTTACCACTAGAGTTATAACTTACATTTATAAAGGATGAAAAATACCCATCAATTTTATATGTAACTTATGCATATTTATTTTTAAAAAATTACAAGTTAACATATCACCACGGAAATGACACATATATAAATTCGAGATATGCATGTCTCACATTTGTCGTTAAAAATATGCATAATTTTCTGTGCAATTAAGTAACGTATCAAAAACGTGAGCATTGTCGTTACATAGAGAAAAGAAGAAAAAAGATTACACAAGCATATTTACTAATATGATGTCAGGATTACGCAATAGGTGATATGTCAGTTATTTTTATAAATTATCATAGGTCATGGTAATTAGTAATACCAAGTACACTTTATTCTTCATTAGTTGTGATTTGTTACATAATCTGGTTGATATACATTAATTAAAATTTGAGTCATGACAATGATTCTAAATGAAATCTTTTTCTTTTTCTTTTTCTTTTTTGAGTACCTTTTCTAAGCGATAGCATGTTAAACTTACACACACTACATGGACTCTAAGACTCGAACTCAAGATCTTTCCTGAATGAACATTTGCTCCAAACCACTACACTAATAGGTTGTTTTGCTAAATGAAATCATTTTAAGTGCTAAAGGGAAACTGTTTTTTTTTTAGACTTTACTTTGTGAAAACATCAAAGACTATGAGAAAAACATAGCTATATTCAAAGAGTAAAGGTATCCTAATTGAAGCAAAAAGACAAATCTCCAATCAAATAAATAAAAAGTAAAATAGTCTTAGCCAATCAAATCTATATGAGCTCCTATGTGTTTGGCTGTTTATATTAACTTTTTGTCATGCGACAGATTCGAATTTCTTACTTTTTCTTTATAGAATAAACAACTATAAAAAAAAAATGTTGTGACCAATTAAGATACATTTCTGAGCGCCTGACAAACTTTTTCGTTATGCCACGCGTCTAATAGAATATGGCAAATGGCAATTTCCAATTTGGTTTAGTTATTTGCAAACGCCCTGAGGAAAAAAAGAGAAGGAACCTTCATCAAAAGTTCTTAGCTAATTGAGATGGATCACAATCACGTTGAGAAGGTTTAAAAGTAAATTTATGTGAAGTGCGAGGGTTAAAGACCAAATTTATGTTACAATTAAGCATTAATTGTGCCATATTTTTTACTTATTTGACTTTAAAGATAAAATATTGGGAGTCATTAATTGTGTGACAATCTGTAAATTTGAGGAAAAAATGGGTTTTATTTAAAATTTTCTAACTTATTTTGTTAGAGCATTACAATCATGCTTCCTATTTTTTAGTTAAAATTTAGCTAAAAATGCACAAAAGTTATTTAAGGAACTCTATATAAAAATTTGAACTCCAATCATGTGGAAGTCATAAATACTATAGTTATTTTTAAATCAATATGATTGGTCCATCTCTATAAAAAAAAATTAAAAAAATATTAATTAAAAGTTTAAACTATGCATAAAACAAAGCATCATTAAATTATAGGTAGCTACGAGGGGTCATTTCTCTCTCCTTATATTTAGGAGCTCCTAGAGGTCTCCCTATTTTAAGAGGTAGATAGAGAGTATGGTTGGAGTTGTAGTTTTTCAATTCCTCCCCAAAATTTGTTTTAAAGAGGTGGTTTAGGGAGCTCATTGTAAATGCTCTTAGAAATTGTCTTTTGTCATGTTTGAGAATGTTAATATGAAAATGTCTCACATTGGAACCTCAACTTCCTTCATAGTATTAAAGCGAGTTAGCTTACGTGTGAAAGCCCAATGGCCATATGTGCTCTACGTCACCCAATATGTGTTGTCTACATGTTAGTCTTGAAATTAGCGACAAGTGTGGGGGCGTATGAGAATGTTAAGGTAAAAATGTCACACATTGGAAACTCGAGAAACCTAGCAATGACTGTTAAGATTTCAGAGGGACAGACCATTGGCCCACCACTAGCAACATCGTGCTAAAATATGAATATGGTTTGAATACTTTATGTTTTTTTTATTCTTCTCCATAAGAAGGTATATATAGGAGTTTACATAAAGGTCTTATAAGGAATTAGATACAATAAAGAATTAGGAAAGTATTTCCTAATTATACAATGATTTATCACTTATATAAAAAATATGAAAGTAAACCCCTTAATTAACCAAGGAAGTAAATCTCCTTGATTAATTAAGAGACTCACGTCAACACTCCTCCTCAAGTTGGTGCATATATGTCACTAATGCCCAACTTGATAAGTGAGTCATAAAATACACACTCATAGCATATGCAATATTTGATCTTGAAGGACGTATGAAGAGTAGAACATTTGGTGGTGGTGATAGAAGAAGAAGTCTGTGTAGCTAGGTCAGCATGATTGACCACATGCTTCTGTGAGTCTGCAATAAGATGGAGAATCGTATGGGTTCCTGACATCGCAGCGGAAGTAAGATGTGATATGAGAAGATGAGGAAGGTGATGTGAGAAATTTGATGTATGAATTTGATGTAGGAATTGGATTTAAGAGGTATGTGTATAAGATTTGATGGTATGTGTTGATAGATTTGAATAAGAGGATTTGAGGACTTTAGATTTGAGGGATTTGGATTTGGAGAAAAAAAATATGAGGAATTTGATTTAGGGTTTTGGATTTGAATATGAGAAATTTGAAGAAATTTGAGATAAGGTTTTGGATTTGAATATGAGAAATTTGAAGAAATTTGAGATAAGGGTTTAGAGACAAAACAACTTCTCTTCACTCCCCTTCTCCCTTTGAAGAGAAGGGGTCGTCAGAGTCAAGAAATAAGCAACATCTTCTTGGGAATATGTCAAGGTAATTGGGATACGTCAATAAACATAGCCTTTTCACTCCCCCTCCCCCTCTTAAAGAGGAGGGGAGGAGAGCACTTAAATTGCAAGTAGAATGCAAGCACATGTCACAAGAGAACTTGGCTCTGATACCATGCTAAAATATGAATATGGTTTGAATACTTTATGTTTTTTTATTCTTCTCCATAATGAGGTATATATAAGAGTTTACATGAGGGTCTTATAAGGAATTAGATACAATAAAGAATTAGGAAAATATTTTCTAATTGTACAATAATTTATCACTTATATAAAAAATAGGAAAGTAAATCTCTTAATTAATCAAGGAAGTAAATCTCCTTGATTAATTAGGAGACTCACGTCAACAATGACTACTTTAGATTTTGTTTTGAAGAAAAGTAAAGATAAGCTTTAAAGTGTAAAAAATCTTTGCCGAGGCAAATTGGATAAAAGTTAGGTGTGAATGGATAGATTCTTTTACATTGATGATTTAACAAAGTAGAGTAATTTTTTTTAAGAACCTTTTTTATTTGAAGGGACCATAGTATACTAAATTTACACATACTATATAAATGCTATGACTCGAACCTAGAATATTGCCTGAGGAAACAATTACTTCAAACCACTACTACACTAGTAGGTCCTTTTCAATATTTTTTTAATTTTATAAAAACAAAGTAGAATAAAATAGTGTTTTTTTTGTTTGTTTGTCCAGGATCTATAAAATCTGATAAATACCAAACGTGAACCTACATATAAAGTTACAAAACCCAAAACGATGTCGTAATTTAATATCTAAAGTCCAACTTTGTAAACATTAAAAAACAATTTATCCGACCTGCCGGATTCGAACCAGCGACCTAAGGATATCTGCTATTTGCAACTACAGTCCTCCGCTCTACCAACTGAGCTAAGGTCGGATGTTGATACGTTGTTGGATTATTACAAATTTATCTCTACTCTATCTTTCAGGGATTAACCATTTTCCTAGATAGTGTCACTGCCACTTCCACATAGCTAGCTGACATTTAAGGTTACTTATTAGATTTAAAAATAAATAATAAACAATGAGATTAAATATCGAAAGGTATTATTTTAGTAGGATACTTATATTTTATCTTCTACATAAATCAAGAGGTCATTATCATTAAATTTCCAAATAACTCAAAATTGTCCTCTTAAAAAAATTTCTAAACACAAATACTTCATATAAAAGGACAAATATATAAACTAATACTCTATTAATGCAATTAATTTAAAAGAAAGAAAAGAAAGAAAAGTTGATGTCGAACAAAAAAATGGTATACAACGTGGTGTAAAAATATGATAAGGTGTTACATATTCGTTATGTGAAAGCTATGTGTAGTCTGCCTTGATCAAAGAATAAGTTGGTTTCAATTTTTATTTTAGATTTAAAATCATAACAAGGATTTGTTCGATTAAAGATCATGCTCACTGATTCATCCAAAAAAAGAAAGAAAGATCTTGCTAAATGATCTTAATACAAAGAATGTGAAGCTTTTAATGGAACTTAATCTCAATTTGTTCCTTCCACAATCCACATATGACATTGAAGATAAATGGTGTTAACTGCATAAAGTAGGCTGAGCTGAGATTAAATTCTGGTAATGGCTTAGAGCCATGGAGAAGAACGATGGCAAAGGGAGAGATCATTAGTATAAATCATGAACACACAAATGACAAGCTCTCTTTCCCTCAACTTTTTCCTTCCCCCTTTCCCTCCTACCAAACATAGCACTAAGACACCGTCGTCGTCGTACGTAAATTCCCTAAAAAATTACCCAAATAGAGAATTTGTAATGCAAGGCTATCTGGGAAGGATTGTGGGTTTATGTAATATCTGTGATTCTGTGTGCATATGTGCTTTGCACAATCAAGATGGGTTACACGAACATAACTGAAGTAAGACAATCAAAAGGGTAAAATGCCTCAATCACAAGTCTTCTACAACACAAATGCCTTATTGCAGACAATGTTCTAAGCACAAATTATAATCTCTGACGACTATGAGCTTATGTCTGCTGCAATCGACATCAACTGAGTACATTGATACAACTGGTTTCACAATTCATACATGGAGAGCCTTGGAGTACTTCTAAGGCCTTAGTCGACTGAGACCGGTTGCATGTTTTCGGCTTCCTTCCTCAGCTCTTCAAACAGGACAGATGACAAGTATCGCTCCCCGAAACTTGGGTGAACAGTCTAAAAATCCAACAAACAAGCAAAAGAATTATGAAGAGCCGAGATGTTTCACAGTTCACAACACATGCCAAAAACTCAAAACGCGTACAGATTGAACAAACAATTAAAAACTTGATCCTATGTGCAGAGAAAACTGAAGGATAACTGGCTCTTACCACAATAAGTTTGCCTTTGTTTTCTGGCTTTTGAGCAAGCTCAATTGCTGCCACCGTGTTGGCTCCGGATGATATTCCTACCTACATGAACCAGGAGTGAAAAATATGTTTCAGTATGTTGGTACCAAGTGCCAAGGTGGACCATGAAGTTTTGGGTGCTTAAAAGTTGAACTGATGCTCAAAATAATGAGTGGTGAAATCTGTGGTTTTGGTAATCGAATAATTAATTACCATAAGTCCCTCTTCCAATGCCAATCGTCTTGCCATTTTTACTGCATCATCACTTTTAACCTGTAAAATGAGTGTTGAACATAAAAAATAAAGATCAATAAGAACCACAACTCCAAAAATAAACACTATAATTTTCCATCTCTTTTCAGCAAGTTCTGTTCTTCATAACAAAAATTCATCATATTTGGAAATTACCTCAATAACTCTATCCATCACATCCAAGTCCAAAATATCTGGTTTGAATCCAACCCCATTGCCGGTGATCAAATGAGGACCTATTACCATGGACAACTTTGTAAGCTAACAGGACAATGAATCTTGCAGAGGATATATAAACTTCCAAAAATACAATGATGGACAAAAATACTTTGGAACCACCATACTAACTCTAAATAACAGTAAGGTTCCAAACTGTAATGATAATTTCCTGCCACAGCAGCAACTAAACAACGCATTTAGGAAAGAAAGAATTTGACACAAGAAAAACTACCGAGAACCAGATGTTAAGCAATATTCTACCTGGTTTGCCACCGTTTAGCACATTACTTTCAGCAGGCTCCACTCCATATATCTACCATGATAGCAAGATGATCAACATTAGCCAAGGAAATAAAAACACATCACAAAATGCATGAATATATTGGTGAGATAACTTAAAAAATTATCACCTGAACATTGGGATTTTTGGATTTGAGATACTGCCCAACCCCAGAGACTGTGCCTCCGCTACCAATTCCCATTACGAAGATGTCAACTTGCCCATCGGTATCCTCCCATATCTCAGGGCCTGTAGTTTCGAAATGCACCTGTTTTTTCAAAACCATTTTGAGGTCACTCATATATCCACCATCCATTTTATGACCATATATAGCATAATGATTATCTGGTGTGATGAATATTTTATTTATTTATGAAACTGGTGTGATATCGATCATATTCGGTACCTGAGTATTGGCAGGATTTGAGAACTGTTGGAGCATATGAGCATTTGGTGTGGATTCCAGAAGATCATAAGCCTTCTTAACAGTTCCTCCCATCCCCCTGGCTGGATCAGTGAGAATTAATTCAGCTCCAAAGGCTCTCATACACACCCTTCTCTCCAAGCTTGTATAAGACGGCATAGTGAGAACCATTTTATACCCTCTCATGGCTGCCATAAAAGCCATGCTGATTCCCATATTTCCTGATGTTGGCTCCACCAGTACTGTCTGATGCATTTACACAATATTATTAATTAGGGAAATCTGAAGCTGTAGTGCAGAGTTTAAAAACAATCTCTATCTTGACCCCCAACCCAAAAAAACAAAAAAAAAAAAAAAAAACGAAAAAAACAACAGCTAACTCTTGCCAGGAGTTATCAAGCTCTCTCTTTTCTGCCTCTTTGATCATTGAAAGTGCTGGTCTGTACCAAAATTAAACAAACAACTTTTCATTTGATCCATATCAAACGGTTGACGTATACTAAACCAAAACAGCGTGCGAATTTACGAATTCTAAAATAGCGATGAAGCAACAAATGTACCTGTCTTTGATGCTAGAGGTGGGTTGAAACATCTCTTGCTTGACAGCTATATAAGCTCCACATCCTTCAGTGACTTTGTTAAGATATACAATGGGAGTTCTACCAATGAGCTGAAATATGGCAAACAGATTTTATCAGTGAAAAGGCATATATATATATACCTGATATAATATTTGATATGTAACACCATAAATCCTAGAACATCACACCTCTTCTGTGATTCCTTTTCTTCACTGATTATTGCCTAAATTAATGGATTTTCTATATATTGAAGCCCAATTAATTAAATCAAAACCCAATTCAGTAATCAGTTAAACAGATATATATCTAGTCAAATCTCCTTGGTAGTTCATGATTAAGATCAATACAATGAATTTCATATGGGATCAGTAAGAAACCAACCAGAGACAGGGGAAATGTGTATGTTTTGATAGATTTATAAATTGCCACACAAAAAAACCTGATAAGTTTATAAATTCAGCATGTGGTACAATTTAAACATGCACACGGATCTATAAATAAATAAATAATATAAAAAAACTCAACTTATATTTGATTATATTTAATTTGGCAATAAATACATAAAACCCCATATAACCATGACAAATTGAAACTATAAACGACGCACGTCTTCTTTTTTATTTTTTGCCAAAACGACACAACAGTTCCACTACCACGTGACCCACACAGAATGAGTGGCAGAAGACTGTCTGCAACTTGAACTGCAAACACAAGTTCCCCAGAAAAAAAAATAAGAAAAAATAAGCAGAGATCTCAAAAAGGTTTCTAAAACAGAGAAAATATAATAAAAATTTTAACATGTGAAACTAAAGTCTATGAATTTATAGGAAGAAAAGAGAACACAAAAACTAGCATGCATCATAGAAGAAAAGAAGCTCACATTCAAACCAACAAAATGAAAATTCTTAAGAGGGAGAGAGAGAGAGATTAATAATCACTTGGGAGACTTCTGTTTTGACGTGGGTTCCAGGAAGATCCTTAGGAAGGTTTCTGACCCTCTGAGCAAAAGATGGAGAAACATTGATGGGTTGGCTCACTTGGGTTGAGAAGAGTCTCTTTCTCACGGCTTCATTGCAGAGCAAAGTGGATCTTTTCTTCAGAAAGCTCCTCAAGGCCGCCATTAATGGATGCTATTGGAAGCTGGTACTCCTCTGTCAATTGAACAGTGGATTTTGGATAATTGAAGTCAAAAGAGAAATTGTGACTCTGTGAGACTGGTAGCAAGAGTGAGAGACTGTTTTATAAGGTTTTTGGTGAGGTAGAGTGGAGAGTTGGATGATGATGATATAGGATTGAGATGCACGGATCTATAGGGAAAGTGTAGAGCAGGGGCTGGCGCACACATGTATGGTGGGCCTTTACCTTACAGTTACCTCTCGAGAAACGCTATTTGCATGTAGCACACTTGTATTGCATTTGTATGCATGCAGCACACTTGTATTGCATTTGTATGGTCTGCTAATCTATCCACATATGTAAAGCAAACGATACAGAACGGTAAAACATTCAAAATACCATAATATGCTTTTGAATAATGTAAACATTAAAGAGTTCGTTTGGCAATTTGAGTCAATCTGCTACCTTAGTTAAAATTTTAGTGCAATGTATCACTTAAGCTAACTCAATTTGTTTTCTCCTCCAAAATGTTGCATGTGTTTCGCATGTCAGATTTTTAAAGGACCGTGTAATAATAGTCTTGTAATTAAATAGCCCTTCAAAAAGTATCACAAGCAGTTGTTTGACACGTTAAAGTAGGAAGAATTATTAGACTATACATTCTACATTGCAACAAAGTTCTAGTTTGGGTAACAAATATTTGACTGAGCTTTTGCAATGAAAAATTACAACAAGACTTTAACCTTCTTATTATAATATATTTTATGATGCGAGGAGTTGAATGAAGCATCTGTTCTTAATCATGAGTAGACAAATATATGTAAATGGGACCACATTAGCAGCTGTTGGGATTGGGAATTATCTCTCATTGTGGAGAGGGGTGGTGGTAAGTTGCTTTGGTGGGCTCCTTAATCTAAATCATCATTTAGATGTTTCTTATGTCGTTGATTAGTACTATGGTTTTAATTGAGCTTAAAGGCTAAAGAGTAAAGGGTAAAGGGTAGGTCAAATGTTGAGATTGATTTTAACTTTATTATAGTTAATTAGTGTAAGTCCCTAAAGTCTTTTATTTTACCAAAAAAAATCCCTGAAGTCTTTTATTATTATTTATTTTTAATACAAGCGATAGTCTAAACTACAAGTAGAATGATGATTTATCACACACACACACATTACTAAGATGTCGTAAGGGTTCGAACCTAGATCACTGGTATGCAAGTTAATACTCTTTTCTATTAAGCTAAACAACGTTGGCAAAGCCCCTAAAGTCTTTAATTAGACTTTAGTTACACATTTTTAATGAATATTTGAAGATTCTTTGATGTAAACGAGTTGCGTGAGTATCATGATGCTCATTATAAATATAAGCTCATAAGTTTCAACTTGGTTCTATCTTTGAGCCAAACTTGATTCTCTAATAGGAGACGTCCAATAACTTGAATCAAAATTAGTATTTAATTAACTTGTCAATTTGCAATGGACCATAGTTAAATGAATGATGCAATATAACACAAAGATTGTCCATAGAGAATTACTTTATTGGTGTCTGAACTTTGATCCATATTGTCTTCATGTCAATGATAATAAAGAGAAAACACAAAATTACCCATAAAATATGCAAAATTTATTAATAAAGTTTGATGTGGTACTAATTATAATTCAGGTCTTATTGATACCAAAAGTGACATATAAAATAAATATATGAAAACCCACCTTTTACTTTGTATGGAAGACGGCAAAAGAATAAGAAGCAAAATGTATCTTTTATACTCATCCAATTTGGTCACAAAAACAGAAAGCTATCATTGCATTATTGCATGTAGCCGTTGCCCCATATAACTGATGATGGGACGAGTGGTCAAATTCAAATTCCATACGTTGTTGTTTTCCATTTCAATGGAAGCCAAGCCAGAGCCACATGTATATTTATGCTGCTGCTGGTGTGTGCACCCTTTGGCCTTGGGAGATTTGAGAAGCCAAAAAAGAAATGGCTCTCTGATGATGGAAGAGCAAAGCAAACCCCACTGCTCAAACAAGTGCATTATGTTATTTTGTTTGCCTTAAGATGCTATTTTGTGTGGTGTGTGTATTTTGTATTTAAAGAAGGAAAAAAGAAAGAAAGAAATTACATAGTCACATAAAAGAGCAAGGAAACATACCAATGAGGGTTGGTTTAGTTGGTAATGTCTATGTGTAGTCCAACCAGTATTTAAGTCCCGCTGCCAGCAGTCCTCATTGGTGCATGATCTGTAATTTTCTACATAAATTTATATTGGTGGTAGATGACAGTTGGATACTATGCTTAAGTCCTTCTAGCTTAAGGTTGTGGGTATACTATAACGCTAGTGGTGAGAGTAGCCAATCTCCCCCTAAATGTTTACTCCTAAATATATATATATATATATATATATAGCAAGGAAACATGTTTAAGGTTACTTACCAACTACTTTTTCTCATTGTATTCACCAACCTTCTTTTGTAATTTTTGTAATTTTCGATATTTATTTTTTACGAATATGTATGATTTTAATAATACATGAAAAAAACTCAATTAAATATACTTAAATGTCCTTAAAATTCAAAACTTGTGTTCCTGCCCGCACACGCCTCCACCCACATCCCAGTTTTTCCTCTGCCTAACCCATCCCCACCACTACCCTTCCAAAGTTAATTTAGGTTGGTTTCGTTGTTTGAATGAAGAAAGCAGCCGAAGTGTAAAATATCCCATAAGAATCTTTAAACCATACACATCAAATTACATATGTGTAAAATATCCGATGAAAAATTCCTAAACCAGATACTAGTATCCAAAGTGGCATCTCATTTCTTAGCCCAAGTGTGTCCGATTGATTTGTCTCTCTACAAGTATCCAAAGAAGGAGTTGCCAGATGTACGGAATTATTGTGCAAATCGACCATAGGGGATTATTTGTCGATAAACTATATATTATATATTCATATATCTTATGCATTACGCATTATAATAACGTAACTGCGTAACTTGGTGGGAATCGGTTTCCCAAAATTAAATTAAATTCCGTAATCAAACTTTGTCAGTAGCCACACTCCACATCGAAAGAATACTTTTTTTTTAACGCTCATTGGATGAAGACTAAAACTTGCATGTTGACCTGGGAGAGCGAATCACGTTTTTCCTTCATTATCGCTGGTATAAAAAATTAAAAATTTAATATACATGTATAGTACCTCTCATAATACATACATCGTCACGGAATTAACAATGTTATATGGTGAGATGTACATGTATGTACAATAATAAGTTATTATATTTAAATGGCGCATCATAAATTCATTGATTGGGAAGATATTGAACGATTATGAGATCAACTACTCTCTCATAATTCCTAATTTTTTAAGTATTAGATTACGGATTTCATGTCTTTATGTATTAGTAATCATAGACTTAGATTCAAACCAAAAGGAACACATGAGATATAAGATTTGTACTTAGAATTTGCCACTCCCCTAGACTAGTACAAGTCATTGGCGGACCCAATATATGCCTACTGTGGGCCCACACTTAGGTGGTTTCTTCACTCATCTAGCCAAACACTTTGCCAATAAAAATTAGACACTTAGCTAATATTTTGCATGCAAAATCCCCACTCAGCATCTTAAATAAGTAAAGCCTTCAAGGTTTTAGTCCAAAACCTCTTCTATATTGAAAATATCAAGGCCCAAGACTTAATAAACATATGGTCCAATATATAAAGCCTTAGATTTTGGCCCAAAATCATATATTAAAAATTTATTGAAATAGATTATGTGTTATAGTATATATCGTATTGCTATGAAAACCTAGACTTTGTAGGAGTCAGTTATGAAATTGTTTTTCATGCCCCCACATGGAAAAAAGTATGGATCCACCACTGGTACCAGTTGAGTTGATTTAAAATTATATTATTTTGTTTACCCAAAACAAGATTCACCCGGAGGATATTTAAATCATACATATCAAAATAGAGTATATATAAAATATCCGATGAAAAATTCCTAAAAGCCAGATACAAGTATCCAAAGTAGCATGTAATTTCTTAGTCAAGGTGTCCGATTGATTTGTATCTCTATAAGCATGAGGTAATAAATTGTGTTGGAAACCTTGTAGGAGTTGCCAAGTGTACTGATCTTATGCATTATGCATTGCGTTATGAATTAATTATGTTATGTGTAGCTAATCCAAAGGATCAGTATGTGTTAGTTCCTTAAGGACGCACAGATGACAGGGAACGCAAAATCCAAAAACAAAATACACAAAAAGAATGCGACAATTCCACACAGGCCAAAAATCAATGTTGGTATTGGTTAATTATCTAATTCATTAAACAATGTATTTGAGTCAATCCCTGTGAGTTAGTGTAATGATCTCAGGTGACCTAGTGTTGTAATACTGATCTCAGGTGACCTCGTGTTTTAATATTGACTCACTCAAACCATCCCCAAATAAACAAATTGTCATATTTATATAAATTGCTTTCATAATTTAGTTATAAAAATCGTCAGTTACAAATGTCAGTACGAATACAGATAACCACACAAGGTTATTACAAATACGGAAGCGCAGTAACTACAAAGGGTTAATCTAAATATGGAGGACTTCACTAGCAACATCAGGCGCACAAATGTACCTCCACACATAGCCATAAAGTCGCAAGCTTGTACAAGTCAGACATAGACCACGACGCACTACAATCTTTAAACTGTCACAAGTAAAAAGTTACAGGTAGACACTATGAACACGCAACAAACTCAAAAATAGTTGATTTACTTATTACAAACAAAAACTAAAACACATGAAGGAAATCAAGAGCTGGAACCCGAGATCTGCAAAAGAACACAACAAAAACGACAAAGGCAACCACGTCGTCCCCAAGCAAATAAAAAGCATGAACCCTAGATCTAAAAAAAAAAAAAAAAAAACAAAAAAAAAAAAAGAGAGAGGGAAGGTGAGGGGATGGGCAGGTAAGAAGGGAGGGGAGGGGGAGGTGGGTGGGAAGGAGATGAGAGGATAAGAGAGAGAAAAGTAGGAGAGGGGAGGGGGATATGTGCGTAAAAGTAGAAAGGATGGGAGGAAGAACAATGACCTCTTCTTAACTCAAGTTCTGCGTGGCTAGAAAGGTTTGATTTATTTATTATTATTATTTTAAAGTATATTGAAATTATACTTTTAGTTTCGTTGAAAGTAGAGCAAAGGACAGGGGATTGAAATTATGTCCTTGGTTGTGAAAATAACTTTCCACCCATAACAAAATCCTATATCTTTATTTTCAAAGTTATAGGATTTGTTAATGAATTAATATTTGATTTAGTTATAATAGTCTTCATATGGTTGATATTTTATGTTCGACTAGTATGGATGTGAGGATGAATATTTTTGATGAGTTTGATATTTAGTTATGACTAATCTTAATATAATGACGTAATTTTGTTGTGAGTGTATATCTTTGTTGTGCAAATTTATGTGTAAAAATTTTATTCTCAGAAAAAAAGAAAAAAAAATATGTAGCCTTTTTCTTTCATCTTCCTCCATATTCAATCGTAGATTTGCTTCAAAACCTACCCAAACCTTCACTATTCCTCCCACTCATTTGTCCAACCAAACAAAGAAAAAGCTTCTCCCATTTTTATCCCTTTGGTCCAAATCTTTCAAACCTGATTTTTTAAAGTTGCTAGTTGAGACTTTTTGAAAAGGCTAGAAAAGGATTGGGATGCATCGTATCAGTACATTTTGCAATCTTCTCATTTGTGGATCAAGAAGAAAATAAATAACAAAATATTATAAAACTCATCTAAAAGAATATATATTCCTTTTGTTGGACATATAAACGTTACCTTTAGTCTCATCCATTCTCTTCCGTTCATTACATTAATTAGCATATATATACCTAAATATGTAATGAGAGCGTTAAGCGAGAAAGTTTATTAGATCAAACAAACAAAAAAAGTACAAAGAAAAAAGGTTGTAAAGGGAGACATCCTAATAGCAATGCGGTGGACATGGACAAAGCTTTCCCCATTGATCTCGAAAAAAAACATCACACTTACCCTAGAAGATTGTGTCAGTTGGTTGATATGCGTAGAGAAATTTTGGGCATATTCCACAGGATTAATAGAAGGAGACCATTTTGCATCCGTTTACATTTTGAGATATTTTTTCTGGAGTGATTAGCAGATTGTGAGATTGGTTTGGAAACTCGTATGGGTCGATTTCTCTTATACCTATATTGACACATAATTGTGCTTGTTTGGGTTAGATTGCTGATTTCTTCATATAATCACATTTTTGGAGGCTAAAATTCAAGATACATTTAAATTCATAAGTAAACATATTTAGCGTGATTCTAAATGGCTACAACCAAATTAATTTATAATATTTGCATTTATCTAGCTACAACAAGATTAATTTCGTATCCAAATGGCAATATACTCAAATTATTTTACAACATCAATAAAAATGACATTGACTTGATAACCAATAGATGGAGCATATACTTAAATCGCAAAAGATGGAGAATCATTGATGGGTTGGCTCACTTGGGTTGAGAAGAGTCTTTTATCACGGCTTCATTCCAGAGCAAACTGGATCTTTTCTTAGGAAGCTCCTTAAGGCTGCCATTAATGGATGCTGGTACTTCTCTGTCAATTGAACAATGGATTTAAGGATAATTGAAGTCAACTTCAGGCATCGAGTTAGTCACTTCAGACCGTGCCCGTGCCATGAAGAGTAGGGAACTTCAGCATTAGCATGTGTGTGGAGATGAAGATCCTCATTTGTGCTAAGATTGGGCGTCCAAGGATGACGTTGTAAGCCATGGGGCAATCAAAAGAGTGGTAACCGTGACCAGCTGGGGTGCTGAACCGATTGAAATGGGGAGGTGGATGCTTCCAAGGGGTTGGACAACATCGCCAGAAAAGCTTGCAAGAGGCATGATGCTTCGGTCAAGCAGGTGGTCAGGGACCTGAAGTTCGTTGAAGGCTTCTGTGAACATAACACTCACGGAGCTACCGGTGTCCACCAAGATACGTTCAACATCGAAGTTGGAGATGTATGCCAGAATAATTAGCGGATCCTCTTCCTCGTTGAAGGTAATGAGGTCCCAGCATGTTTTGGACATCTTCGACATGCTCCCATGCTCAGTACTGAAGACCTTGTATGCGTAGAAAGATCAGACATAATGCTTGATGGAGTTGTTGGATGTGCTAGCCAAAGTAGGGCCGCCGCTGATGGTGGAGATCATGTTGATCTGGCGCTGGTGGGGGCTTGGGAGAGGTGGAAGGTTGTGGACATACTTGTCTAATTTTCCTTCACGAATGAGTCCTTCAATGATGTTTTGCAGTGCGATGCAGGATTCTGTATCATGGTCGTTGAATTGGTGAAAATGGCATAAGACACCCGTGTTCGGCGTAGGCTTGATGGTAGGTCTTTGAGGAGGGGGTTTGGGTATAATGGGTGCCTTGTTGACCAAGACATTTTCATAAGTCGTGTTCAATGTGGTAAACACCTCGAACCTGGGCTTAGGCTCGAAGAAGAGCGGGGCACGATCGTTTGTCTTTAGGGGATTGTGGCCGTCGAATTGATGATGGTTAGAGTGTCTGCCGCTTTTTCCATTGTTGAAGGAGCGCTAGTAGCCATCCTTTCTCTTGGGATTCTATGCACTCTGAGTGTTAGGGGTGAGAGCATATTGGTTGGGTTTGGTGGGAATAGGTGCCGAAGGTAGCGGGGGGTAGCTTAAGGTGGTCTGTAGGGGTGGTTGCCTTTCGGTAACCGCGAATTTTTGCCCAAATCGCAAACCGACCGACTATTTGCGGTATGATGATTTTTGAAACTGCAAACCGACCACTTTTTGCGGTTTAACGCAATGCGGTAAACCTCAAAATGCGGTTGGTTACCATGAATTAGCGGTTTAAAACTGCAAGTTCTTTTTGTGTCATAAAAATCCAATCTTCCACATTTTAGGCCTAATTTTGATGCTTCTTTTGAAGCCTTTTGATTTCAAGCATACTTTAACCCAAAAATAAAAATTCATAACCTAAATAAATAAATTCACAACCTCAACTTCTCAAGCATATATAAATACACAACCTATTCAACTTCTCAAGCATTCACAACCTAAAGAAAATTAAAGTTACAATTCCAAACATTCCAATTAAAGTTAAACTTTTCAAGCATTCACAACTTGAACTTCTCAAGCATTCCAATTCCAAATCCTTTAAAGTTATAAACCAAAAGGAAAATGCAATGCAAAATGAATTAAAGTTACAACTCAAAGGAAAAATCCAATTTAAAGTTAATTAAAGTTACAAACTAAAAGGAAAATGCAATGCACCAATGTTACAAATTAAAGTTACAAACTCAAGTGTTGGTGGTGGTGAGTGGATTTGAAGGACTCCGTTGTGTTGTTTGAGCACCAATGCTATCTACAAAATGCAATTTTTTTATTTAAAAAATATAGTCTTAGTTTGCGAAAACCGCAAGTTTTGAAAATCAAATACCGTAACTGCAACCGCAAATGCGGTTCGGTTCTTCATACAGCAAATGCGGTTCGGTTTCCCTCGATTGTGATTCCGTTGCTGTAAATTGTCGGTCGGTTTTTTGCGGTTTTTTGGTTTTTCTGTCTAAAATGCCACCCCTAGTGGTCTGTGACTGGTTGGAGGGGCCACGCTTAGAGTTAAAGTACTCGACCTTGGCATGGATGACTGCCTGCTTCATTAATTCAACGTAAGTGTTCCATGAGTTGCTGTGGATCAGGTATCTAAAGTTGGACTCACGAAGGCCACTATTGAAGGCGTCGAAGGCAACACGATCATCTGTCTCCGGACAACGGGAATATTCATGGCTAAAGCGGGCGGTGTACTATTATGTTCATTTTTACATATGATTTATATATTGTTCATTTTTACACATGATTTATCATATTATTCACCCAATCTTTTGAGTTTGTTCTTGACATTTTATAGCTTTTTACTTCCTTTTTGTGTTTTCTTATACTTTACCTTGGTTAGAAAGAAAATGAACTAAAAATGCATTATTGGTTATAAATTCTGTTTTTGTTCATTTTCGTAGGTCAACTTCTTGGCCTTGGATCAACATGCTCCGATACTCGGATGAGCTAAAGATCTTCATGAAACTTGTTCCAATGGATATTGACTACAACATATCCGAATTTGAGTTCCATTGAATAAGTATAGATTGTCCAATCGATCCAACATTTATCCTAACCTTGAAATTGTGGTTTGGACCACATTTACCTCCATTGGATGCCAACCTTCATTTTCTACTTGTTACCACACCACTTGGTAACAACGTTTCACTTAGATAATCTGGAATCTCTCTCAATATATTGAAAGTCAAAGAAATGATGAGAGTAAAGACAAGTGGAGAGAAGAGCCAAAGAACTTTGGGTGAAAGTGAAATATCCTATGGAGTAATGAGTGGGAAGAGAGAAAGAGGAGAAGGTATCTAAGGGGCAATAACCAACCAAGTAACGGATCCTTCTCTACACTTTGGAATTTTAGATTTTTGAAGAAGGAGGAGAGCAAGAGAGGGGAGAATGGCATAACAATTGGAGAGAGCCTTGGGGAGCCTAAAGGTAAGGATCCAAGAAGTTGAAGATGTAATTCTCTTTCTCCTCATTGTTCTTAGTTTCTTTCATTTTATTTATTTCTTGTATTTTCTTAGTTCCAATGTAGCTTCTTATATTGCTAGGGCTTAGGTTGAAGCCCTAAACATGAATACTCAATTGTTTTGATGCTTGAGTATATGAATTTCTAGATATTGTTGATGAATTCTCATTCACTAAAATAATCTATCATTGATGTATGTTTTTCTCTGATTGATCACCTTTGAAAGCATGCTTATTGAGGTTGTTGAGATTATGTGTATCCTCATGTTTTCCTAAGCAACAAATGGATGAAGTAAGAATCATCTATGTGAATTGGTTTTTTGAATGCCTAATGTAAACATCATACTATTAGGGTTCTTGTGATGTTCATATTCTCTTTGAACTTATTGAGTTTTTCTTGTAATCAAATTGAAATACTAAGCACACCTAGATTGGTTATAGGGAGGGCACAAGTATTGTAGCAGTAGCCCTGCACTCTACTTATATTAGAGAGAATCAATGCATCTTGAGCCACTAGACCCGGTCTTGATTGCGAACATCTTCATCAACACATTTAGATTCATCACTTAAGTGTCCATGAACTTGGGTAGGATTGTTTAGGGTGGATTCCGAAACCCTAGTGTTTGTTACATATTATTTTTTCGCATTTTGATTTTCGTCTCTGTCATTCTTGTTAAATTTAGAGTTATATTACTTTCAAGCATTAGAATTAGGTCACTTGAACCAAATCAAAACCCCCTCCCCCCCCCCCCCCCCAAATATGTTGTGTGTTTGAAACGTTGTGTGTTTTATTCACTGATTTTTGCGTATTTCCATAATTGTTTTTGACTTTTGGTCCACGTGGCGTTCTTCCTTTTTCTGTGCTGAATCCAACCCTATAAAGAACGTGAAATTTGGACAAATGGTTGGAAAGTTATAGGCCAAAAACTGAATAGAGGTCGAAGCTGAAAAACAGAGAAACGGATCTGTCCAAATGGTGATAACAGGTGATAAATAGGTGATATAGTGGTGATAAAAGGGTAATAGAAATTGATGTTTGTGTTTATCTTTGGTTTCTTGTTTTGTTTGTTTTCTTTTACCTTTCTTTACTCATTTTTAGTTTCCAATTTTATTATGCATTTGTATTGTGTTAAATAAGTGTTCTTTAAGTACTCAGACTAGAACTTTTAATAAGTCGACAGTTCTTCGTGGGATCGACCTCGTAATTACAGAATCTATACCCCAATGGATTCATGCACTTGCGGGTATTTTTAATTGGATGATTAACACATTTATTTGTGTTAATTATTAAGACAACACGTACTCCTGCATGAGCTCGTCCTCACCCCTGGCGAAGCATATATAGGTCGTTCGAAGAGTACAGATGATCTGTTTGAATCATGAAATTGTCTAGGAAAGTCTACTTCAGGTAGTCAAAGGAGTTGATAATTCAAGGGTTTAGTCGGTAGAACCAGTTCAAAGTGGCACCACTAAGGGTGGAGGGAAAAAGGAGGCACATGCCTTTGTTACTGAGACCCTTGCACCCTAGGGCAGACTGAAGAGAATGGATGTGGGTTAAGGGATCCTCCTTGCTCGTGTAGAAGGCAATGCGAAGCAGCTACACTTTTTTTTTCTTTCTAATAATAGTTGAGGATACGCTCAGTGAAGGGACGAGGGCGTAGCTTCGCCCAAAGGGGCTAATGGCAGAGGTGTTGCTCATCCTCAAGACGGCGGACCTTCGCGAAAAGAAGTCACATGGCAGGGTCCATATGAGGGAGGGCGTCGAGTGTCGAAGACTTGTTTTGTTGGTTAGGTGGGAGTGGATAAGTTTTCCACTCCTCGAAAGCTTCGGAATGGTAAGGCTCCCAGTCTTTAGGATGGTAAGGTTCCCAATCGTTAGAGTACCCAACCCCTTCCTGGGTAGGTAAGCGGGTGGACTTCGGTAAGAGGCCAAGGTGATCCACCCGCGGGCCATCGAGGTCTACAGGAATAGGGATGAGCTTTGGCAGAAGCTTCGAGAAGTAGTCCCTACAATTTCTGTAAATCTTGGTTAAGGTGTGAAGCTGATCTATTGATGGGGAGATTTGGAGAAGTCGCGACTTGGTCGCTTCAGGATAAAGGTGGCCTTTGCCTTTGTTAGGCCTAGGCTGTGTCGAGGCACTATGACGGGAGACTACTTGTTGGTTCGGTTTGGTGTGCTCAACACCCTGGGTGAGGTCCTGTTGGGTGAAATTGTGGTGAGCGTTCTCCTAATTACGCTTCAAGGTTTGGCAGTCGTGTTCCAATTCGGCATTCTTGGTATGAAGGTGGTCGTAGCCCTCCATCATCTTCGCGACATCGGCATGAAGACGATCCACTTAGGCTTGGAGGTGCTCATCGGTCGAAAGTTTCCTTCCGGAGGGCTCCCCATGAGGGGGTATGATGTTAGGTATCAAGGCTAGCTTCACTCGACATAGCGGGGTGTGAGGGGCAAAAAAGATGACGTGGTCTGATAGTAGAGGGAGCCAGGGGAACTGGTGGAGAAGTGGGATTCAAAAGTTAATTCCTATAGACTATGCCAAACTATTGATGCTCTTTTTGGGAGGGTCAACTTAGGGAATAAATTGTTCTTCAACATGGTGCGAAGGTCACGAATCTTCAGTATAGAGAAGTCCTGTAGAAGGAGACAAAGAAGAAGTAGTCGTCAAGCTTCGGGCACTATTGTGCTACTTGCCGTAGGCTCTCCGATGCTGAAGTCAGCAGTATGTGGTAATTTTGACAGAGTAACAGTAAAGGTGAAAAGTAATTACCCTTTTTACTTGGGTAATGTTTCTTATTTATAGGGAAATGAAAATGAGAGTTTTGCACTAAGTTTTGATGTGAGACTTTGTGCAAATTGTTGTGGAGGTGACATGTGTCTGTGGTCATAGGTTCTGTAGTTGAGAGCATCAACATGTGGCTTACCGCTTCAGAAGGGGGTTCTCTTTCGGTAGGTTAAGAAGGTGATGATGTCACTCGCGCTCTAAGGGCTTGTATGGATATCAGTCATCTACATGTCGAATGTGCTCGGTTGATTTGTATACAGTATTCATGTAATAAACAGAAGTGCCATACAATAAAATGGTAGTGGAGTAATCTCAAACGACATTCTTGGACTTTGAGGATAAAAAATCCAAACTTGAATATTCTTTTGTGAGGATAAAATTGATGCAGGAAAAAAATAGAACGGAAGAAGCCACGTACAGCTAAATGAATTGGGGTGGGTAGTTGGAATTCAAAACCACCTCAAAACAAAAAAAGAAGTGTAATGAAATAAAAAACACAAATGAAATTACCCACTGAAAACACAGAGGAATATGTGATTGAACCATTGAAAACAATCGAGCATGTTTGGTTCTAAAACTGGTTGTCTAATACTTTTTGAATTTTTTTTTGGTAATATTTTAATAGTTACTAGGTTATCAAGTCACCAATTCATAACCATTGGATTAGTTTAAAATGAATTGAATGGTTAGATTAGTCTATGTACTAAGGACTGAAGAAAAATCGCTAGATTGGAGCAAGTGGATATGTTGTTTCCGTATGTCCCTTGCCTTGTGTGATAACACCTGTACATAGACTGGAGACTAAATTAATTAGGGCTGGTAATTTATACTGAAAATCCGACCGAACCGACTGAATTGAATTCGTTTTGGCGGGTTGGTCCAATTTTTTAATTAAAATTATTAAAATCGACAGAAAAATTGGCCAACCCAATGGTGAACCAATTTTGAACCGATTTGAACCCAAACCGGACTGCTACCATGTAAATTGCCTAAAAATTCAAAGTAGGTGCATTGATGGGGAATTAAACTCTGTTCAGAGTATAGACACAAGGCCCAAATACCAGTGGACTGATGCTTCTTCTTGTGCAATGTGTGTTTAATTTTAGTATTTATTACAATCTAAAAGAATTAAAAAAATATTTAAAAAAAAATTAGGGTTCCCCCCACCCCACAAATAGGATTGTCTATGAGTTGGATTTTGATTCGAATCCGATACAATTAATAAGAGATGGATCTAGTGGTAGGATTCGATGATCCGATTATGTGCCAAGTTCGTTAATCCGATAAGTTAACGAGACGGATCTGGATCTAGCTTAATCTGATTCGATAATGATCCGATCAGATTTTATATAATATAATATATTAATATTGTTTAATTAATTACATTTTTAGCCCACTTTTCTCTACATTTAGCCCAACTTTATATATAACAAATCCTAAAGCCCAACAATACTAAGCCTATAGCCCAAACCCAATTAACTCTACTTCCTGTACTCAGCCGCCACTCCCATCTTTCCTTCATCTCTATTTTTATTTTTTTATTTTTCCTTCTTCTTTTCTCTCCTCTCTGCCGACATTCTCTCTCTAGGTTTTTCTTTTCCTATCCCTCTCTTCTTCTTTCTGGTTCAGATTCTCTCTCTCTTTCTGTATTTTTTTGCTTCTCTCATCCCTCTTTCCCCTTTCTCTCTTCCTCTTTCTGATTCCGATTTTCTTTCTATCTTCCTATTTCTGAGTCAGGTAAACTCCCCCAATTAATTTCTTTCGAGCAACTCCTAGGGTTCTATTTGCCGCCTTCTTCGCTCGGGCAGCCGCGTCCCTCATGTTTCTCTCAGTCGGCCACCTCTCTCTCTTCTTAGCACACACTTTACTCTCTCTATACAGCCCCTCAATTTCCGATCAGCGTCGTCAGCTCCTTCTAGCAATTTGGTGTGGGCTAACACAGTTCGAGTGGTCCGACTTGAAGGGTCAGTCACTTTTTGATTTGGAATTTTCTTTTTCTTCTCATTTTGGCTTTGATCAATTTAGAAGAGTAATTTTAGTACCTCATTATCAAGTCATCATAAAAGATTTGATATATAATATATGTGAGAGAATGGAAAGTTGGAAACCAATGCTCCTAAAGCGAGTATGGATGGCTTCCTCGCCTGATCACGAAGCGTATTTGGCTGGTTTTGAAACTTTAATTGCAAATATGTTTCCCATTGATCTAACTTTTGATGTGACAGATGTTGAGTTAAACGACATTAAGATGCTAGTAATTGACTTCAAGCTTCAAGTTCAATATGCTGTATCACAGAATGAGTAAGTTTTTTATTTATTTACAATTTTGTAATTCTTTTGATATTATCTATTTCTTTTTGAAGTGCTTCCAGTTTCATATTTGTACGATGTCATCCCTTACTTCAAGGGAGCATGCAAAAATTCATTTATCTTTTGGCAACACTGCTTCTGTTTAAATACCATAGATCTTTAGGTAATTTCTTTTGGTCCCAGTACAATAATTTTGTTATAAGGACAAAGACGATAGATTTTTTTGGTGCTATTAATGGATTGAAGGATTTTAAGGAGATTTACTACTGGGATGGTATAACGTATAAAAATACCGCAAGAGATGAACTTGAATATATTCGAAATGTGTCTATGCACATCGACCGACTACAAGGAATTTGTGATGCTGCTGTGGTAAGTTGCTTTTTCTTTTTCTTTTTAAGTTTATATGCAAGTGACCAAATATATTATCTTCAAATAGTGTAAATATTTGTACTTGAAGTGCAAGTGACTCAATTAATGATATGGATCCCCGAAAAACATACCTCTATTGCAAGAAGTCCAAGCTTATATTTTCGAAAGCACAAAATGCATACAAGTCTGTCAAGACCATAGGAAACAATTGAGCAAGATCATGCTCAATGTGCTCTTCATTCTTGCATAAAGTACAAATATTTACACTATTTGAAGATATTATATTTGGTCACTTGCATATAAACTTGAAAGGAAAAAAAAAGCAACTTACCACAGCAGCATAATGAACTCCTTGTAATCGGTTGATGTGCATAGACACATTTCGAATATATTCAAGTTCATCTCTTGCGTTATCTGTATATGTTCTACCATCTCAGTAGTAAATTTTCTTAAAATCCTTTGATCCATTAATAGCACCTAAAATATCCGTCGCCCTTGTCCTCATAACAAAATTATTGTACTGGAACCAAAAGAAATTACCTAGAGATTTATGGTATTCAAACAGAAGTAGTGTTGCCAAAGGGTAAATGAATCTTTGCTTGCTCCCTTGAAGTAAGGGATGACATCGTACAAATATGAAACTGGAAGCGCTTCAAAAAGAAACAGATAATATCAAAAGAGTTACAAAATTGTAAAAAAAAAAAACTTCCTCATTCTGTGATATAGCATACTGAACTTGAAGCTTGAAGTCAGTTACTAACATTTTAATGTCGTTCAACTCAACATCCGTCGCATCAAAAGTTAGATCAATGGGAAACATGTTTGCAATCAAAGTTTCAAAACCAGCCAAATACGTTTCTTGATCAAGCGAGAAAGCCGGAAGCTTTACGACGATGACATGATCAATCTTCTGGGACCAGCAGTCTCTCCGAGGATCTCAAACAAAAAATTATTACGCAGGCAAGATCTCTCTCTCTCTACTTGAGCATGTGGATAATGAACCCCAGGAGCTTAATATTTGTTTGCATATAAAAGGAAATATGATTGGGAGCTGATATTCTGAACTAATCGACCAGTCTCTCAGCTGGAAGGTAAAGATGGTTGGTTCAATATAAGATCATTCAAACCAAAAATCTGATTTAACACTATATAAAATATGTAGAAACCTACTTACCCTCTGTTTGTTTGCTAAAAAAATGCAAGAAAAAAACAGAAATTTCATATTTTTAAACATTTTACTGTTGTTTTGTGGGTAGGAGTTCAATAATTATGCTTATAAGAGCGTTTGAGGTCACCCACTTAATAACATTAGTACTTTTTATTGAAATCACTTGGGTTTCTGTGGAAACTCAAGGACATAAAGGCAAAAAGTCTTTGTTCTGTAATTATGTTGGATTGAAAATTTGGTGCCTTTCTTCTTTCTTGCATGTGCTTGGAATTACAATGAAAATTTCCTTTCATTGTTTTTTGGTTGTTGAAGGGTTTGAGCATGAGGAAAAAGGTGATTTTGCAACCTCACCAAAGCATTTCAGGTAAGAACCATATCCTTGAATTGCCCTTTTGGACCAAAATTAAGCCTTTTGTGTGATGGTTTATCATATGATTGGGTTCTATGTTTGAGCTTGTGGATTGGTTCATGGTGGATTTGAATTGGCACGCAGAGTTGCTTGGGTGTAGCTGATGACTGTGTGCATTGCAGGACTACAACAAAATGGTGCAACTACATCTATTCGTGGACTTTGAAATAGAAACAAGGTTTGCATCTTTTAATCACCTCCACTGTATTTCAATTTCTTTCCCTTTTATTAATTTTGATTGTATTTCTTCCTTGTGATGGGATTGAACATGCTTTTGAATTGGTAATGGCAGGTGACTGTTTGTGTGTGAATAAAGGCTTGCCGTTGCCCTTGATGCTGTTGTGGGACAGAGCCAGTGTATATGTACAGAAGTTGCAGTATACAATGTGATGGGATTGAACATGCTTTTGAATTGGTAATGGCAGGTGACTATTTGTGTGTGAATAAAGGCTTGCCGTTGCCCTTGATGCTGTTGTGGGACAGAGCCAGTGTATATGTACAGAAGTTGCAGTATACAATGTTCTCTCTCCCTCTCTTTAATTTCAGTTTTTTTTTCTTTCTTTTTAATATAATTTCCCAATTTCGTCAAATATTTTGGTTCTGGATTTTTTGTGTTGAAGAAATTTACAATAAAGGTATTTTATGACGTTCTGTGTTCGTAAATATCTTTTGTAGAACAACACATAATGTTGACTGACTTTGAAGGTGCTACAAGAAAAAACGAAGTAGGGTTCTGCATTTGGACTAGCAAAGAGGTTTGTCAATCGTTCTCTCATCCTCAATTTTTTTTCTTCAATAAGTCGATTACATCTCAGCCTTAAATTTACTGTTTTTTATTTCTGTTTAATTTAATGAGACAATTTCTGTTACAGAATTCTAGATTATGCATTTTTTTTTCCCATGTTAGGGTACTGGGATGCTAGGGGGTTCTTTTTATTCTCTTTTCCACTGCATATTATAACTTAGATGGGTATGCTTCAAGAAGGTTGGTTTTATTCTTGAAGAATACCCATTTGGTTTTAGACATAGTTTATTTAGTTAAATATATGGCTACTGGTGAAATGGATTAGCCAAATATTGCATATGTAATATGCATACAAATTCTTAGTATTGTTGTAAACAGTTAGTTTAAGTGGAGGATTGTTGTATGAAATTTGGTAAACAAATATCTAGAAATTATCTTCACAGTTTCTTAGGTTCCATTTAATTTGGTATTTGTTTTTGTGTGATATATCTCTTAGGGCGTGTCAAATGGTAAAGCTGCAATTAACGGTGTCTTTTTTGTGTTGCAGTTCCACCAGTACCAGGTTGTTGGGAGGAAGCTCCCTACGGCATCTGATGAGCACCCCAAGATTTACTGAATGAAGCTTTGGGCCACCAATGAGGCTTGCGCCAAGTCCAAGTTCTGGTATAATCCTTAGCCTTAGCTCGGCTTTTGTGACCCCAAATGTTCATTGGTGAATTTTGGGTTAAACTTAATATTGTTGATTGATTTGTTTGGATTAGGTATTTCCTGAGGAAGCTGAAGAAGGTCAAGAAGAGCAATGGCCAAGTGCTTGCCATTAATGAGGTTTGTTCTCTCTGCCGTTTATACTCTATTTTTTCTAATTAATAAATTTGTACCCATTTTGATTATTTCTCCAGTGTCTAATGTAGTCAATGTTGTTTTGGGGTGGGGAAGTGGTTCCTCCTCAATTCTCCTCCTGGCTTAATCCAATTTGTTGCCAAAGGTCTCTGCCTTTGAACCCAAAGCGTCACTCTTTTATCACAAGTTTTTTACTTGAGAGATGATGACTTTTCTAGTTGGAATAACTTTTCTGGTTAATGAATCTAGTGATGATGATTGTAGATATGTTGGGGAGGATTGTGACGGCATATATGAAACTAAGCACTAAGATCCTTCTTTTTAGTTTTAGTTTTATTTTTTAATACTGATGAACTCTTGAACATATATATTATTTGTATTTCATGACACATTTATCTAATGCCACTACGAACAGCATGATCTTCTCCCAAGCTTAGATTCTCAATCCTCTTAGTAGGCTAAACATGCAGAGGCTAGCTTTCGCTTCCCAAATAATTATATTAAGATCATGTACAGTTTGAAATATGTCATTCAAATCAGCTGCCTTTGATGCCCCTAATATTTGGTTTGCATTAGGAAAGAAAAATTCTGAAACATAGCTGCATTCTCACAACTTTTTACTTTTCGATTGAAGGTTTGATTTTCATTGCAATCTTCTTGGAGCTATTTAATCAGTCAATTGCCAACTTAAGAAATTTCAGCAACTATATTGGTCTTGCTGTTGTTTTAAACTCTGCCATTATCTGCATATGTTGAGCTCATAAATAAGAAGCATCGTGTGTTTGAAGCTATTCATTCAACCAAATTATTGTGAGTTCCTCTCTATGAAGTAATCCTCATTTTTGTCTTTTCTTTTGTTGCCAATATTGTAGCTTTGCAAGCCAATGTTGTTGGATGGTGTTTTGCTTCTGTGATTGAGTTGGTCTTCCTTGTACTTCCTAAACCATATGATTGTAATTTTGTGAGTGTATTATCTAGGGATAAAAGTAGTTTAGCTACTTTGTTAATTATACATGCTGGAGGTAACTGAAAGGGAGGACATTTCTTCTTTCCTGAATAGTCGTTGTGGCTTTAGTTTTTATGTTTTGTGGTCTTATCAATTTCGTACTCAAAAGGTTTGGATGAACTTTGAAATGATTGACCATTTTTCTTTCGCAGTTCAGTTCACAGGCACTTGACTTTTGGATTTTGGATGCTTGGTTTTGAAGGAGACTAAAAGACTAAGGGCCAGTTTTGCTTTAGCTGTGAAGGAAAGTAGTTTAGCGTGTGGTAAACTAAATAGTAAAACTGCTGTTAGTACTAAAATTAGTTTAGGAGTGTTTGGCAACTTTTTGTGTGAAAGTGCTATGATTGTATATAATGACTAAGGACATGATGTTAACATTTTTTCTTCTATTTTTCTGAATTAGTGAAAAGAATAGCACTTTCAGTTTGACTTGTACAATTCTTCTTATAGGTTTTCAGCAATAAGCCCTATTTTAGCATGACAAATTATACAATTACCTATAGGGTGGTGTTAAATGAACTGTAAAATTATCTGAGTACACTTTGTGATCTAAGTATATTCCAATATTTAAATTAAAATATAAAAATAACTAAGTATACTATATTTAACTACTAAAAATTACCTAGTGTAAATTTACCACTCAATAAAAAACATTTAATTATTTGCCACCTAAATTTCACTTTTTGGTGCTAATCTACCACCTCCGTCAATTTCTGTTAGATTTTCTAATAAAGGTGGGTTTGTTTTTAAATTTTTTTCTTCTAAATTCATCTAAAAATTTAAATTAATAAACAAATGCCTAAAATAATTTTTAAAAAATAGAAAAAATAAGGATAGCTAGTCCGCGATTTTCCTCTTCACCCACGATAGCCTCCCTCCTTCCCCACCCTTGCACTCTTCGTCTATGGCCTAATCCCACAACTTTGCTTGCCGTTTTCCATTACAAACATTCCTACCAGTCCAAAAAATAATTTAGTCAAGAGCGAAGAGGCGATAAATTAGTTTTTGGAAAGTACAAAGCCTCTAAAACTCCATAAACTTCAGAGGTCATCCACATATAGAGAGACAATCAAGATATCGAAGTTCCCTTGAGTTTTTTTGTAGAGAGTAGGTTCGCTTTTGCTCCTCCTGAAGCCTATGTTGATGAAGTACTTGTCTATGTGGCTGTTCCATGCTTGTGGGGCTTACTTGAGTCCATACAAGGCTTTCTTTAGCTTGAGTGCTTTATCTTTTCCTCCTTGCTTAATAAATCATTGTGGTTGCTCCACATATATTTCTTCTTTGAGCTCTCCATTTAGAAATGCAGACTTTACATCTAGCTGATAAATTCTCCATTTCGTTTGAGCTACTAGTGCTACCAGTGCTCTTATAGTGTCAAGTCTTGCAACTGGTGCGAAGGTTTCGTTGTAGTCTATGCCTGGTTGTTGCGAGTAGCTTTTAGCTACTAGCCTCGCCTTATGCTTTTGTATTGATCCATCAGGATTAAATTTGGTCTTATAAACCCATTTAACCCCAATGTTCTCTTTGTCTTGTCGGTGATCAACGAGTTCCCATGTTTTGTTTTTCTCAATTGTTTTGATTTCTTCTTCCATAGTTTTTCTCCAGGATTTTTCTTTTACTGCAACTTCAAAACTTTCTGGCTCTATAGTTATGAAGTTGCAAGTTTCATATATATCCTGGAGTGATCTAGTTCTTTGTTCTGGTTCTGGAGAACCTTCATGTTGTATAGATGGAGGAGTTGTTGTAGGTGGTGGAGTCGTACTTGGAGTTTCTTCAGTTTCCTCTCTGCACGGTTGTGTTATAGTAACACTTTTCCTTTTAGCTTTTTCTTCCTCCCAGTTCCATGACGTTGATTCATTGAACTCAACATCTTGGATTATTATGAACTTCTTAGTTCTGGGATTGTAGACTCAATAGCCTTTAGATTGGGAACTGTATTCCAAGAATATACCTACTTCATATTTTTCTTCTAGCTTGTGTCCTTTCTCCTTAGGAATGTGCACATAGCAAATGTATCCAAATACTATTAGATGCTTTGTTGATGGCTTTATACTGCTCCGAGCCTCAATAGGAGTCTTATTTTGTAAAGCTTTTGTTGGGCATCTATTTAGCAAGTATACTACTGTATATACAACTTTTGCCCAAAATGCGTTTGACAAGCCTTTTTCAAATATCATGGATCTTGCCATATCCATGACAGTTCTATTTTTTCTTTTTGAGACCATTTTATTAAGGAGCATAGCCAACTGTAAGTTGATGCTCTATTCCTTCATCTTCACAAAATTTGTTGAATTCTTTAGATGTATATTCTTTTCCTCTATCACTTCTTAGAGCTTTAATATAGTGGCCACTTTGTTTTTTGACATGGGTTTTGAATTTTTTGAAGATATTAAATACTTATGTTCTTTCTCGTAGAAAATAAACCCACGTCATTTTAGTGTAGTCATCTATGAACAGGATAAAGTACCTGTTGTTATCAAGAGATGGAGTCCTCATAGGTCCACAAACGTCTGTGTGAACAAACGCCAGCAAGGCCTTAGCTCTCCATGCTTTTCCAGTTGGAAATGCTTGTCAATGTTGCTTGCCAAGACGGCAACCTTCACAGACATCATGGATCTCTTTTATGTTTTGGAGGTCTCTCATCATATTCTTTTGATAAAGAGTTTTTAGTGCATAAAAATTAAAGCGGCCAAATCTTCTATGCCAAGAATCTTCTACTTCTGCTTTCATGGCTGTGGCTTTTACAAATTGTCATTGGATGGGAAAATTTCTATTTTCCATCCTTACTTTTGTTATTATGTGATTTTTATTGCTTTTATCGAATATTGTGTAGGAGTCTCTAGAAAAGTACAGAGAGTATCCATTTTCAATCATTTGTCCAACACTTAATAGATTATGCTCAAGGCTAGGTACTAGTAGAACATCTTTAATATATTTAGTTCCTTTATTAGTTTGGATAGAGATTGTACCTTTTCCTTTTGTCTCCACCAGTGTTCCATTTCCCAGTTTTACTTGGGATTTACGGACTTATCTATGTTGGAGAAGATGCTTTCATCTCCAGTCATGTGGTTACTATATCAGCTGTTAATCCATTTCTTGTTGGTTCCTTTTGGTGTGGCTTGATGAGCATAAAACACATGCTCATTCTTCTCACTTTTTTCTCAGTAATTGGCTTGATAGTTCTTGGTCGAACAGTCTTTTGCTATGTGCCCAATTTTTTTACAATTTCGACATTTGGGCTTGCCACAAAACCAACAATATTTTTCTAGGTGGTTTGTATTTTTACGCACCCTGTAGGGAGGATAGTTTTTTCTCTCTTTCATTTCTTTTTTATTTCCCCAACTCTTATTGGATTTATAATCTTCTCCTCTAGAACCTTCTCCAAATTTCCTTTACGCTTCTTTAGTTTTCTGAGATCTTAAATTTAGTTTTGACTAAAAGACGCTTTCAACTGAATTTTCATTTCACCTACTTAAGTCTTTTCTCATATGCTTCAAGAGAGTCCATTAGTTCTATCACTGACAGACTAGTTAAATCTTTTGTCTGTTCAATGGCAGTAACTAAAGGATCATACTTATCAGGAAGACTTATAAGTTTTTTTTCTACAATTCTTGAATCATTAATATTTTCTCCATAGGCTCTCAATTGATTAATTATTTCTTTTATTTTAGCATAATAGTCTTGTGTGGTCTCAGAATCCTTCATTTTAATATTTTCAAAATCTCTTCTCAAAGTTTGTAGTTTAATCGCACGTACCTTGGCATTGCCCTTAAATTCATCCTTTAAGGTATTCCATGCTTCCTTTGCAGTTGTGGCTCCCATGGTCCTTGGAAAAATTGTATCATGCAAGGCTTGTTGTAGGGCATATAAGGCCTTTGCATCTTTTTGTTGATTCTTCTTTAGTTGCCTCAACTATTCCATGGTTGGATTTTCTGGATTATTGAAGCCACTATGTTTCATAAATCTTGAGACATAAAATAGGTCTTTAATTAAATACTCCAGAAGTCATAGTTTTCTTAGGTGAAAATAGGAAGAGGGTTAGAGTTCTGGCTAGTGGTAGACATGATAGAGGACTAGAGCGAACCAACGCCCAGGGTTGATTGGAACAAGCTCTAATACCACTTGTTGGAATTTTGGGAGGTGTGTGATGAGTGTTTGTGTTAGTCCATTTCTTACATCAACATACTTCGAATCTAACTATCCAATTTGCTCCAAACCTAGCCATCCAACGTGACCTGGTCAATATAAAATTAGTTTGGGATAGAAAACGCTACAAAGTAAATTTGACTACGTAGCCATTACAAAAGGAATAAGAAGAACACATCAATCTCTCATCCCTTGGATTTGGACCAAGGACCCAAAGTGAAAACTTCTTCCGATAAAATCCTCTTTTGAATTTTTTAAGATTGATTTTATCTCAAAATTTGATAATTAAGATGATTAGAATAAAGAAAGCATGTATGAATGAGCGAAGCGTGAATCTAGAGAAATCGAAAAACCTACCTCTATAGCAATTAGAATGACGAACAACCGGCGCGGCAGCAACAACAGACAGATCAAGAGGAATAAAGGCGGCAGCAACCGCCAGCAAAAGGGGAACGCAGGCGTTAGCAATAGCTATATCAAGGGGAATGATGGCGGCGGCATGGAAGATCTGGCGGGACGAGAGTCCTTGTACATATGTTCAATGGAGTTGAAGAAGACGGTCGTTTCTTACGTTATCCATGTTATTAAATTGAGCGATTTGTTATCATCATCATGCTCCTGTCCCAACCCTAATTCTACCGATGGTGACGATGAAGCAAAATCTCGCTTTTGTAGATATTTTTCATTCAGAGACAAATGCCCGAGTTGCTCCAAAGGCTGTAGTGAATTACACTATCTGGTTTCTATGGCTAGCGAGGATCTACCCGGCTTTATGGGTTGCGGTGTCTTCCGATCCCAAATTCTTTTCGCAGGAGGCGTTAAACCCTGTACCCCTCCCCATTCTTGGTCTTTCTTAACTTATCCCAACTCCTTCTATCAGCGATTCGGACCAGCTCTGTATGAACAACTTCATGGGTACGACACCAATCAAACCAATACAATTCTTGAAGTAAGAGCCCGAGATGATATGTCTAAGAATTTATCACCAAAATCTCAACCCCTGCGATTCGGACCACCTGTGTATAAAGAGAACAATGGAACTGTTGAAGTGAGAGCCCTAGATGATATGTCTAAGAATTTCTCACCAAAAGCTCAACCCCTGCTGGTGGAGCTGAAGGGGAAACTCTATGCTCTCTCCGGTTATTTTGGCGGTGAATGTCACTTAAACCCTCCATATTTCCAGGTCTTCGACCCTGAAGACAAAGAATCAGAATGGAAGGACCTTCCTCCACCTGACATTTTCGATCCCGACTCTGATCACTATGTCGGAGATGGTGTATACTTATCGTATGCATCTATGGGCACCAGAATCCTTGTGTCGACCACTCCCCATTCCCCCGGAGTGCTTAGCTTTGACGTCGCCAAAGACGACCCACAATGGGAAACACTCACTGCTCCTGGTCCTTTGCTTTCCGGTGGTCCCTTCGGGTTTCATGGAACTGCTTTGTACGTGGAACATGACAACGAGTCTTTCTTGTTCACCTATCAGTATCACCCACACTCGCCTAGTGAGATTGTAGTCTACCTTGTTTTCAATGATGATTCTTCGGAAACTATTACAACTCTGCAGCTGCCAGTTATGCCTATTGAATTTGATTTTCCCTACTACTATAAGTTTGTGCACTTAAGAGGTCCAAAAGTCTGCTTTATTATGACTTCATTCCCGCGCCCAGGTTATTATGTTTGTAAAGAAGTTGAGAAGATGAATGTTGTTGTCTTAACGTATGAACTCTCACCGAAGATGGAAGCTGTCAAAAGGGAGGTCAAACTAGTGGCTACTCGCTTCTTCGAATGCGATACTTTGCGGTCTCACAACCCTATCTCACATCATACACATCAGGCTCATGTCATTGGTTGCTTTGTGCTGTAAGTTGTTTTATGCCTACATAACTCTGCATTATATATGGGTAATCTATTCTATGCTACAGTTATAGTGTGTTTGTATATTCATACATGTATATATTGCAGTGCTTTAGTCATATAACAATCTGATTGTAATACGAGATATGCACATAAATAGGTACAGATAGAGGAAAGCTAGTTATATCTGTCTTCTATGTTTTTGTTTTGGGCTTAATATGGAATTATCCAAGTTCCTGCAAAATATTGAACTTGGATGAAGTACTAAGGGTCTCCTGTTTTTCCTATGTTCGTAGTTTCTCTGAGTGTTTGTTAACTGGTTGTGAGGAAATCATGCTTATTTCTAGTGGTCAAGAGTTCGTATAATTCACTCTCCCTCTATGCATTTTAATATTGTTTCCTTGTTGTACCTTGGTGTCAAATCTCTGTGGGTTATAGTAACACATACAAGAATGTGCACTATGTTAGGGTGGCACAACTTTTGCCACATATCTGTCTTACATGTTTTTGTTACATATGCAATGCCAGCTAGTATCCTGCCATTTCAAATGCTAGGTGTGGAATTATGATTACTTATAATAATCTTACTAATATGTTTTTACTGGACTCTAATCTAATGTTGATTTCTTCTCTTTCGGTTTGTTCATTATGGAGGGTTTGCTCAAATTTTGTTATTTATGTTATTTTTTGGGACAGGTAAATTGTCAAGAGAAGATTCATGCTATGAGGAGAGGACCTTGCAAGCTAGTTATAAGTGTTGTCTTAGCATATTTAAGATAAGATATTTTTCTTTGGTAATGACAAGAAAACATAACTTATTTAGATATGATTTTTGATTGCAATCAAAACTCAAGCATGTGTTGTTTTTAGTAGAAACCTTTTCAGTTTCATTCTCTATGGCCTGGCCACCACTGCAATATCAAATTATTACTCTTATAAAACTTAAGCAACCAACACAGTACAATTTCTGGATGATGATTGTTTGAAAAAGCAGAAGTCAAAGTTGACGTACGCCTTAAAATCAGATTCATCAGTTGCGACTACCTGCTCATCAGCAGAAGAACCACCTGTGCTTGGCTATAACAAACATCACCATTTGAATAATCAAAATTTTTGCAATCAATCTGTCCCAGACTCTCGTCCTGGAGGTTTTCTGTCTCCAACAAGTATATTTTGCACTCACCACTGAGCAGGGATATTGATGTCTTCTTTCCCATCTGGACTCCTGATTAGGCTTCTGCTACGAGTTTATTTTCTCTTTCCTTCTCACTCGGTGCCCTTAGCTTCCTCGCCTTCCTTGATTTATTAGAAACCTTACTCATGAAAGAAAATGGGCGGTTTAGTACAGATAGAATATAATCTTCCCATCCAAAATTGCGAATGCATCATACCACATGCTTGAAGGTTTTCCATTAGCTGTAAAACTTAATATACCATCAATTCCAGATCTGCAAGATCACTGATAAGGAACATTTGCGAATATATAATGGACAACTAAATAGAGACATTCAAGAAAGAGAAAGAAATGGTATAATTAGTAGTTTTAGAATACTTTCTTCTCACTCAAAGAAACGGATCTTAAATATACTTTTCCTGGTATGTATCTTACCAACAGTATCTTAACGTTAAGGACAAGTAAATATCTAAAAAGAATCTCGTGGGTTGGGTTTTTTGTATCAAATGAATTGAGCAAATTTATATCAGGAACTGATCAGTCTGGTCGTGTGTTTCCTTCAAGCTATCAAATTAATGCATAACGTAAGCCACTTTGAAATGACTAGTTGGAATGGAACATTGACTCATTCATTGATGCTGCAAGACATCACCTGTAAAGAATGTGATATATATCACCATCATCTTTACGGCCGGGAGATTCAGTTATGCCTTCTGCACCCATGCTTGGCTGTTAAAGCATACAAGATACAAGTGAAACAATTAAAATTCTCCAAACAAGATGTATGTGACTAGAGTTTTATGATGAAATGGCCCAAACGACAACCACAATGCAAAATGGACCCATTCTATCACAAGTAAGAAAACTAAACCCTTTTAGGTCCCTCCTCCTTCCCCACCTTGGTCACCTGTTCAAATCCCAGGATAAGTGCCCCCCCTCCCCAATGTAATGTATCTATCGCTAATTCTAAAAAAAGTTAAAAATAAAAATAAAAATCTAAACCCTTTTAGTTTGGATATTATTCCTTTTTTTTTATTTTTAAATATATATAGAAAATGTGTGGGCTAAATATGGAATTATCTTCCAAGTTCTTACCAACTAAAATGAAGCAATATCCAGGGTTTAGGGTTTTAGGGTCGAATAACATAGCAAAAAGGCTATGACAAAAAAAAAATAAAAAAAAAGCAAAAAGGCTGCGAGAAGCGTGAAACTTGAGAAATCGAAAGCCTAACCTAGGGCTTTTGGGTGGGTATCCAATCCATTAGCTAGCATAGCAGCAAGTGGTGTATGGAGGTAACCGGCAGCGGCGGCATGGAAGATCTGACGGGACCATTAAGGTCGAATGATGAGAGGTCCTTATATATATGTTCCACGGATTTGAACAATGTTAGTGTTTCTTACGCTATCCATTCCATCAAATTGAGCGATTTGTTCTCGTCATCATGCTCCTGCCGCTTTGATCCCGATCTTCCTACTAATCCTAATCCCACTGCTATTGGTGATCCCGATATTCCTACTAATCGTGGCCCTACTGCTATTGGTGGTGATGGTGATAGAAGCAAATGCCCGTGGTGCTCCAAATGCCCATCATGCTCCAAATCCCTCAAAGCCCCTGATGAGGAGGATTGTAGTGAATTAAACCATCCGTATGAGGAGGATTGCTGTGCATTAAACCATCCGGATGATACGACAACCAGAACCGAATGCGCCGCTTGCTCCAAGGGCAATAGTGAATTATGCTATCGGGCTTCTCTCACCGGCGAGTTTCTTCCCGTCGATATGGGTTGCGGTGTCTTTGGATCTCAAATTGTTTTCGCCGGAGGCTTGAAATTCAACATCACAACAGTGCCCGATCCCCTTAAGTGGCGATTCGGACCAGACTCGAGTAGTGCTGTATATGGATTTGAGACTCGGGATCCGAATCCCACAATCAAAATGAGTGGCAGAGAGCGTATGTTTGGGGAAATGTTTGGAAAAGGGATCTGTGATCCCCTGCTGGTGGAGGTTTCGGGGAAACTCTATGCTCTCGCCCGTGAGACGGAATTCTTTAGGGTTAGTACGCCTACTTACTTCCAGGTATTCGACCCCAACTTTAAGAAATGGTCTCCGCTTCCTGCACCTCCAATTCTTGAAAAGGGAGACATCACGGACTCCTCCTTTGCAATCATGGGTAATTTTATCCTTATGTCAACTCCCAACATCCCTGTGGTTTATGGTTTTGACACCGAGAATGACGCAGGATGGATAGAAATTGGTACCCCTAGGTTTTTCTATGGTCGTAGTCTCCCCTTTAAAGGAAAAGCTTTGGTCGTGCCGGATAACAATGGCTATTTCTTGTTCACATTTACATTTGGAAGGGCGATTATTGTCCACTTCATTGGGGCTGATCATGGTGAAGTTATCAAAGAACTGCCTCTGCCGCAAGATATACCTGTTGAATTTCGTGAACCATATGAACCACTTGATCACAGTTTTATCCAACTAGCGGGTCAAAAAGTCTGCTTGGTTATGACCTTATCTACGACTGAGAAGTTGCGGGTTATGGTCTTAACCTTTGAATTCTCACCGCCGGACATCAAACATGTGCATACTCGCTATTTTAATTGCGATATCACATCGTCTACCATGATTGGTGCCTTTGTTCTGTAAGTTGTTTTATGCCTACATAACTCTGCATTATATATGGGTAATCTATTCTATGATACGGTTATATTGTGTGTTTTTATATTCATACTTAGTCATATAACAATCTGATTGTAATACGAGATATGCACATAAATAGGTACAGATAGAGGAAAGCTAGTTATATCTGTCTCCTATGTTTTTGTTTTGGGCTCAATATGGAATTATCCAAGTTCCTGCAAAATATTGAACGTGGATGAAGTACTAAGGGTCTCCTGTTTTTCCTATGTTTGTAGTTTCTTTGAGTGTTTGTTAACTGGTTGTGAGGAAATCATGCTTATTTTCTAGTGGTCAACAGTTCGTATAATTCACTCTCCCTCTATGCATTTTAATGTTGTTTCCTTGTTGTACCTTGGTGTCAAATCTCTGTGGGTTACAGTAACACACAAGAATGTGCATTATGTTAGGGTGGTCTTATATGTTTTTTGTTACATATGCAATGCCAGCTAGTATCCTGCCATTTCAAATGCTAGGTGTGGAATTATGATTACTTATAATAATCTTACTATTGTTTTTACTGGACTCTAATCTAATGTCGATTTCTTCTCTTTCGGTTTGTTCATTATGGAGGGTTTGCTCAAATTTTGTTATTTATGTTATTTTTTGGGACAGGTAAACTGTCAAGAGAAGATTCATGCTATGAAGAGAGAGGACCTTGCAAGCTAGTTAGTGTTTACTGTGCTTTGGTAATGGCAAGAAAACATGGTTCGATTTTTGTAGAAACTTTTTCAGTTTCATTCTCTATGGCCTGGCCACCACTTCAATATCAAATTAGTACTCTTATAAAACTTAAGCAACCAACACAATACAATTTCTGGATGATGATTGTTTGAAAAAAAAACAGAAATCAAAGTTGACGTACGTCTTAAAATCAGCTTCATCAGTTGCAGCTACCTGCTCATCAGCAGAAGAACCACCTGTGCTTAGCTATAACAAACATCACCATTTGAATAATCAAAATTTTTGCAATCAATCTGTCCCTCCAGCAAGTATATTTTGCACTCACCACTGAGCAGGGATATTGATGTCTTCTTTCCCATTTGGACTCCTGGTTAGGCTTCTGTTCGCTTTCTGAATGGTAGCATGTTCTCCTACGAGTTTATTTTCTGTTTGTTTCTCACTCGGTGCACCTAGCTTCCTCATCCAAAATTATGAATAAAATCTTCCCCATCCAAAATTATGAATGTGTTTAGGGGTGGTAGAAATCCACCCGGCCCGGGCAAGAGAATTGGTCAGGCTAGAGCTGAAGGAACAGCTGGGCAGATTTGGAAATAGCTGGGCAGCTGTTAGAACAGGAGCTTGTAAGGTGCAGCTGGGCTAGGAGTTCAAAATCTGGCCTGGGCTTTGAAGCTTGGATATTTTCTTAGGAAGCTCCTTAAGGCCACCGTTAATGGATGCTGGTACTCCTCTGTCAATTGAACAATGGATTTATGGATAATTGAAGTCAACTTCAGGTATCGAGTTAGTCACCTCAGACCGTGCCCGTGCCATGAAGAGTAGGGAACTTCAGCATTAGCATGTGTGTAGAGATGAAGATCCTCATTTGTGCTAAGACTGGGCGCCTAAGGATGACGTTGTAGGTCGTGGGGCAATCAACGATTAGAAAAGGAGTGGTAACCGTGGCCAGCTGGGGAAGATTTAAGTATAAACAAAAATAGTAAAACTGCTGTTAGTACTAAGTATATTTCAATATTTAAATCAAAATATAAAATTAACTAAGTATACTATATTTAACTACTAAAAATACCTCGTGTAAGTTTACCACTCAATAAAAAACATTTAATTATTTGCCACCTAAATTTCAGTTTTGGTGCTAATCTACCACCTCCGTCAATTTCTGTTAGATTTTCTAATAAAGGTGGGTTTGTTTTTAATTTTAATTTTTTTAAATTCATCTAAAAATTTAAATTAATAAACAAATTCCTAAAATAATTTTAAAAAAAATATAAAAAATAAGGATAGCTAGTCCGCGATTTTCCCCTTCACCCACGACAGCCCCTCCCTCCTTCCCCACCCTTGCACTCTTCGTCTATGGCCTAATCCCATAACTTTGCTTGCCATTTTCCATTACAAACAATCCTACGAGTCCAAAACATAATTTAGTCAAGAGCGAAGAGGAGATAGATTAGTTTTTGGAAAGTACAAAGCCTCTAAAACTCCACGAACTTCAGAAGAAAAGAGGAACAACGATGGTGCTTTTAGGAGGGAGGGAGAGGAAGACGGCGGGGGAGAGAGAGGCAAAGAGAGATGGAGTGGGGGAGGGGAAGGGGAATTTTGGTGGTGATGGAGGAGGAAGGGGCTGCCGTGGGTGGAAGGGGGAGATTAGCCCTTTTAACAAGCCCACATTATTAATTTTTGGATTTTTTTTAGTATTATGTTCGATTATGGTTGAATATGGTGAGTATGATGCACTTACTAATATTACATTTATTTCACAATTCAATATATACTTTTTGGTCATTTTATATAAGGGTAAATTAGTAATTCATTAAATAGTTTGGTAGTAAGATGTACTCAGTTAATTCACTAAATAGCTGGCAATGGGTCGTGTCGTGATGGGTTCATGTCGTGTCAGAATTATATATGTGTCAAGAATGCTAAATCCAAACCCAACCTGTTTAAGAAACGTGTCATTTTCAGGTTGACCCATTTATTTCCCATGCGGGTTTCGGGTCATGTCGGGTTGACCCGCTAAGTGGTAGCAAATAAAAAATAAATTAAAAAAAAATCTAAATTTTGATAAATTAATCAAGTAATTGCATTTTGCCTCTCTCTATACATAAAGATTTAGAATGAGAAATTTTTTTTTAAAATAAAAAAATCGAAGAAAATGAAGAAAAAAAACAAAGAAATGGGTTGGCGGGTTACATGTGTATTTTAGTGGATTATCGGGTTATATATGTATTTTAGTAGGTTAGTGGGTTGACTTGTTTAATAAACGGGTTAAACATGTGTCCGGTTGGTAGGTTATATAGGTATTTTAGCGGGTTGTCAGGTTATATATGTATTTTAGCAGGTTAGTGGGTTGACCTGAACCCCACCCGTTTATAAACGGGTCACTGACAGGTTGACCTAAAAATGACCATTTTTTAATCGTACGGATTCGTGTCTTGTTTTTTCCGTGCGGGTTTCGAGTCGTGTAATAGGTTGTATCGGAAATTGCCGCCCCCTTACCCATATAGAGCATATTTAGAGGGAAAAACTCAAAATTAGCCACTTGTCATTTTCTAATTGGTTTAAGAAAAATTTTAATACACTAAGAACCAATTAGAAAATGACAATAGAGGTTTTCCCTCCAAATATGATTTATATGGGTAATTGTATAATATGACATGCTAAATTTCATTCTATAGTGAGGGCCTTATCTAATATCTTTTAATCGTTAAATCAAACTAACTAATTTGATCCAACGACTAAGAAATAGGGCCTCATATAAGGACCTTAGATAAGACCCTACTATAAAATTCTACCATAAAGTCATGAAGTCTTTATTTAGTGCAATATCTCTTCAACATGCTTAACAATCCCGAAATTGAATGTCATGACCAATTGCAAAAACTGAATATATATCCATTCATAATTTTTTGGTTAACTGGTGATTTGCCCCATGAACTTGTATCTAACTTTTGATTTACCCTTATCCATTATATATATATATATATATAAAATTAAGGATATAATATATATATATATATATTTTTGCCAATTTCCCCCATGCCGTCCAAAGCCGCAACATTTCATCCAATTTGCCGTTAAATATGAGGTCAAAATGGTCATTTTGTACGTTAAAAATAAATAAAATAAAAACAGAAAATTGAAATAGTAGATAAAATAAAAAACTAAAATTGAAATAATACTCTTTCTCACTATCCCTATTTTTATTTTATTTTTTATTTTTTATTTAATTTAAATAAATAAATAAATAATATTAATTTTTTTTTTTTTTTTTTTTTTTTTTTTTATTAACGAGCTGGGTTCTGTGGATGTGGGGCGGGGAGCAGGGATTTATTGCTGTAGCCAGGAGGCAAGGGTTGAGGGATGGAATGGTTTTGGGTCGTAGTAGGCAAGGGTTGGGTGATGGGTCTCGACTGGGAGTAGATCTCACGTGGGGATGGGGGTGGTTGTATGGTGGCATTGGGCTTGGGGTTGGTTAGGGGTGGATCTGGTGTGGGGGGGGTGGTTGGTGGGGGGGGGGGGGGGGGGGGGGGAGGGGAGAGAGAGAGAGAGAGAGAGAGAGAGAGAGAGATTTGAGGGTGGTGATAGAGAGATCAGAGGGGGAGGGTGGGGGAGATGGAAGGGGAAGAAGGGGACGAGGAGGAGGGGGAGGAAACCGAAGAGGAAGGAAGACTGGGAGTCAAACAAAGTGGGCAAATATTCAGATATGCTTAGATTCACTCATATTTTATTCTTCTCCAATATGGAGGTATTTATAGAGAAGTACAACCCTAAATAATAGGAAATAAATCTCAATTATAATATGACTAGATAAATGGTAAGTAACTAAAATCCTAACATAGTAAGGAACCAAAATCCTAACTAAGTAAGGACTCGCTAACACTCCCCCACGAGTGAAACAAGTGACAAACTAAAGTAAAGTTCGCAGTGGAAACACAAGAGCAAACCCTAAAAAATAAGGCACATAGCAGAACACAGAAACTCTGTGAGCACGATAATAGGTAAGGCAGAACACAGAAACCCTATGAGCACGGTAGTAGTAGGTAAAGTAGAACACAGAAACCTTACGAGCACGGTAGTAGATAAGGCAGAACACAGACACCCTATGAACACGGCAGTAGGTAAGGCAATACCAATGTAGATGGTGGCAACAGTAACAATGTAGACGGCGACGGTGGGCTAGGATTATAGGTTAGGTGTATAGTTCAGCGGAAATAGGTAGTGTTTAGGGTTAGGATAGAGATGGATAAAAAACACAGCAACATCATCGACAATGACCATAGCAATGGAAAGTGAAGCAAACAAAGGAAACATCAACGATGACAATAATGGCAACAACAACATCAAAGTGGCAACGACAACAATAAATTCTTCCATATAAACTTTAGCTAATTCATGCAGACACAACTTCTCTTCACTCCCCTCCCCCTTAAAGAGGAGGGGAGGAGAGCACTTAAATTGCAAGTAGAATGCAAGCACAGGTCACAAGAGAACCTGACTCTGATACCAAGTCAAACAAAGTAGGGTAATAAGACTAGATAAATGGGTAAGTAACCAAAATCCTAACATAGTAAGGAACCAAAATCCTAACTAAGTAAGGACTTGCCAACACTGGGTTCTTCGGGTCGGGGGAAGGGAAGGGTTGGCACTAGGTTTAATATTTTTCTTAAATTATTTCCAAAAAAATAAAATTTTAAAATGATTTAACTGAAAATTAGGTGAAATGTTGAGGATTTAGACGGTAAGAGGGAAATTAATGTTCATACCCTTAATTTTCTAAAAAAAAAAAAAAAAAAAAAAAAAAAAAAAAAAAAAAAAAAAGAGGGAGGAGGTGAACGTACAAGCTTCATTGGGGCAAATCACTAGTTAACTCTAATAATTTTTTTTTTTTACCACTAAAACTCCATGACCAACAGCCAAGTGCAAATTAATTGCCAGTTCCCATCGAGTATATTCCATGCCCATCATCATCAATTTCTTCTACTCTCTTAATTTGTATTCCTACTTCGTTAAGATAGACAATGGATTATAGGAGTTCTACCAATGAGCTAAAATATGGCAAACATAATTTATTAGTGAAAAGGCATATATACTTGATATTTGATATGTAAAACCATAAATCGTACAGAGGTTGAGTATAGTTAAATGGCCTACACTGCCGATGCTCTTTCTTGATTTCGGTCTCTCTTTCGCGATCTGGGTCTTCGCCTTGTTTGTCTTAAGCTGTGGTGTGATAATGTTAGTGCTCTTTCTCTTGCTTCTAATCCGGTCTTCCATTATCGTATTCATCATGTGGCGGTCAATTTTCATTGCGTCCAGTTAAAGGTTGTTCGTTGGGTCCAATTAGATGTCGTCTATGTTTCTATTCACGACAAGGTTGCTGATATTCTTACTAAAGGCTTGTCTATGTAGAGAAATTGAGAGAGGTAAGAGAAGAATAAGATGTAGAATAGGAAGAATAACCCACGATGATTATCTGGTTGTATTAGAGTTCTTTTATATGCTATACAATTGACTTTGTACATGAATATAAACAGGATAACTAATACAAACGGTAAAACATAAAATAGGCAGTTCCAAGATTATAGGGATTGATTGAGATACTGAATCAATCACACTTGAATGGCTACAGACTGCCGTGACTTGTGGGGAGTGTCTTGCATATTCATTGGCTGATGGGTAGGATGCTCTTCACGCCCCCTCAAGAGAAAAGGAACAAAGTAGAGGTTGAGCTTGGTAGCAAGTTGAGTAAACTGTTCGCGAGACAAGCTTTTGGTGAAGAGATCGGCAAGTTGAGAAGCAGAGGGAACATAGTGCGTCTAAAGAACACCTTGGGAAATTAACTCGTGAACAAAATGGTAGTCGATTTCAATATGGCGGGTACGAGCATGGAAGACGAGATTCGCGGCCATGTGGAGGGCAGATATGTTGTCGACAAAGATACATGGAGGGGAACGAAGAGGAATACCCAACTCTCGAAACAAGTAGCCAAACCAACGAAGCTCAGCTGCAGTGGTAGCAAGTGCCCGATACTCGGCTTCAGAGCTTGAGCGGGATACGGTGGATTGTTTCTTAGTAGTCCAAGTGAGAAGATTAGGACCAAGGAAAACACATGCCCCTGTAGTAGAGCGGCGGTCATAATGGAGCCGGCCCAGTCAGCGTTGGAGAAGGCTCGCAAAATGAGGTTAGCAGAAGCACGAAAGAGAAGGCCATGCTCAAGAGTGCCCTTAATGTAGCGATAGATCCTTTTAACAGCCTGGAGGTGAGTGGAACATGGATGATGCATGAATTGGCACACCTGATTCACGGCAAAAGCGATATCGGGGCGAGACAGAGTGAGGTACTGGAGGCCCCCAACCATGCTTCGGTACAGTGTGGGGTCAGAGATTGGATCACCATCATTTGCAGAGAGTCTAGTGGAGGAGAGCAGTGGTGTGGGACTTGGTTTACATGCTGCCATATTAAATTTGGTGAGAAGGTTAGATGCATAACGAGCTTGAGAGATTGATAGATAGCCATTGGTGCGACAAACTTCCATGCCAAGAAAAAAATTGAGCTCTCCCAGCCTGCGACTATCAAAGGTTGAACATAAGTCATCAATGAATTTGTTAACTGCAGGAAGAGTACTACCTGTGACAATTAAGTCATCAACATAAACAAGGACATAAAGAGTATGAGAGGTTGTATGACGAATAAAAAGTGAAGCATCAGATTGACTATGGAAGAATCCTTGATGAATTAAAAAAGAATGGAGTCGATGAAACCATGCACGGGGGCCTGTTTAAGGCCATAGATTGCCTTGTGGAGTTTGCAGACATATTGGGAGCGAAGTGGGTCAGCAAAACCTAGGGGCTGCTTCATGTAAACCTCATCATGTAAGATACCATTTAAAAAGACATTACGAACATCAAGTTGTTGCAAGGGCCAATTCCTGGAAAGAGCAATAGTTAAGATAGTACGAATAGTAGCTGGCTTGACAACGGGACTAAATGTTTCATCATAGTCAAGGCCCTCCATTTGATTAAAGCCCTTGGCAACTAAGCGTGCCTTGTGTCTTTCAATAGTGCCATCAGCTTTTCGCTTAACTTTGAAAACCCATTTACAGCCTACGATGTTCATGTTTGGTGTAGAAGGAACGAGGGACCAAGTTTGGTTCTTTATAAGGGCCGTATATTCTTCTTGCATTGAGAGAGGATCCATTTAGAGAGGATCCATAAGAGTTGCAGTTAAGGCATGGGGGAGATGATGGCGTGTGGAGTTGTACACTAGATCATGAAGGCTACTGAACCCACGTGGTGGTGGTGTAGTGGCTGGAGTTGTTGGAGATGACTCGATTTCTATTGAAGGAGGGAAAGTGCTTGCAGATTGATGAAGATGTTGGTCGGATGGAGATGAAGGCAGAGTAGAGAGCGGAACAGGTGTTGCTGGTGGTGAGAGATGGCTGTCCGTAGCAAGGTTAGAAGGAGGTGGAGTAGTTGGAGGACCTGGAGATAAAGGAACATGAGGAGGCTCCAATAATGTGGGTGCAAGAGGTACTGACCTGTGATCATAAGAGGACTTGGATAGAATATTAGTGTAAGAAAAATCAGATTCATCGAAAGTAACATTCCTTGAAATATACACTCGCCTAGAGATTGGTTCAAAGCACTTGTACCCCTTGTAGTGATTGTCATACCCGAGAAAAATACACTTAATAGACTTGGAGGAAAGTTTATGCTTGTTGTATGGCATTAAGTGTGGAAAACATGTACAACCAAAGGACTTGAGAAACTGGTAGTCAGGTGGGCGTTGGAACAACTTCTCATATGGTGAAACTTGACCAAGTTGTGCAGTTGGTAACTTGTTGATAAGAAAGACAATAGTAGAAAATGCTTCGAGCCAAAAACTCGAAGGTAAGTGTGATTGTGACAACAAGCAAAGTCCCATTTCAACAATATGTATATGCTTACGCTCAACAATTCCGTTTTGCTTTGGTGTGTAAGGGCATGAAATGTGATGTGTGATGCCGTGTTCATGAAGAAAATTAAGGAATAAACGGTTTGTGAATTCACCACCACCATCAATTTGTATTGTTTTAATATAATGGTTGTGTTGTTTTTCCACAAATCTTTTAAAGAAGACAAACGTTGTAAGCACATCGGATTTCTTTGCTACGGATAAAACCACACAAATCGAGTGTATTCATCAACAATAGATAAATAATAACAATAACCAAAATTTGATGAGACTGGGGCTGGTCCCCATAAATCTAGATGAAGTACTGCAAGGGGTTCATGACCATATTCATTGGCTGATGGGTAGGATATTCATTGGCTGATGGGTAGGATGCTCTTTAGTCTAAGCAGCGGTTTGCCTACTTGTTCTCCAATCTTCCTGTGCTCCTATGCCGTCAGCTTGCTAGTGTGTAATGAGCAGTTCCAGTATACACGCTAGCAATCCCAAGAGTTATGGCTAGGGATAATTACTTAAGAGTTCTAGAGAACTTTCCTTCTCATGTAGTTATCGTTGTATATTTCATTCTTTATCTGACAGGAACCTTAATCAATTAAGGTTGCAGGCTTACCAGAATCTATATGCTACTGACAACGTAACATGCTTGTGTAGTATATGTGCAATTATTATAAATGATTCTGGAGGTTTTTATGGATGCCCTAGCTATGCAGAGCCCTCGCAGGGTTTCCATTCTAGCTACAGAATTCCAAGCGATTTATAGAGGAGTTTTATTTGCTGCAGATGTTGGTTTTTTCCCTTTCATCATAGAAACTGACTATTTTGAGGTTGTTACGATGATTAATTAAGGGGAGACCATTTGGGCTAATGTCAACAATGTTGTGGATGACGTGAGAGTCTTGCTTATGTAATTTTCTTTAAAAGAAGATCAATTTCGACCTAGGGAGTTGTTTGGACCTAAATTGCACGCACCAACCCAACTAACTACTGGCCCATGTCAAAAGCAGGAGCTTGGGTTTTGTTTGATTAAAATCAGAAGTAAACCCAGATTATTTTAGAGGCCCAGACCTTTGTGAAAAAATTGCAAAAAATAAACTTATAGGTTGAAGATTAATTACCATTAATGGTGATTTAATTTGGAAAAATCAGTTTCTAATTGGTTTAAAAATTAAGCCTGGTTTCTAAATCTCTCTAAAAGCTCACAATTTGATCATTGATTGGTGCATAATTACATATCATTTTGTACCATTCTAACTTATGATTTGGTCATATTTTTTCGAGTTAAACTTCTGCTTTTAATATCTTTTATCTTTGTTTTAGTGTATTAAGCTTTGAGACTCATTTAATGCATTTTGGAGTCAAGTTAGCTCAACAATTGTGTCTGCAGATCAGTCAACTTCAAGGATTACACTGTATTTGCTCAGGAAGAACCAGATAATGACCCATACATCATTGGAAAGTTGCGGAAGTCTAATTTCTGGAGCATTTTACGATTCATGATTCCGAGTCTTCTAGAGGAAGTTATGCAAGTTTCGGCAGCTTAATGTCAAATTCAGCAGCATCTGCATTACTGGGCCAAAAATGACATTTGAAGGTCTTTTCGATTTTTTCTTGAGCTGGACAGCATATGCTTGGAAAGATAAAACAAAGAGCTTCAAGATCCAGATTTTTCCAGATTTTTCAGATTGGAGGAACAAGCCCAAAACAAGCCCAAAAGGAGACTGCAATGCATTGTCATATATGACATATGCATGAGCTAATTGTTTGTGGTGGGATTTGTTTGTGGAGTTTTGCAGCAGCCAAAGGAAATAAAAGAAGATGAAGTGGGAGCTGCAACACTAAGCCTAAAGACAAGAGGAATTGTTTTCAAATGCAATTGTGTGTTAGGAGAAGTGAGTGTGATTAGTGCACTCAATTGTATAATTAAATTTTTACTTCTCCTAGGCCTATAAATAGTGAGGTTCTTCAAGCTTGTAAACACACCCCAAGGGGGGGAGCACTCAAACACTTCTCTAGAGCTCCTCTCCCTTTCTTTCTCTCCTTTCTCTTTCACAAACACTTTTCCCCTTTGATTTCTCCCTTCTCTTTCTCAAGCACTTTCTCCCCATTCTCTTCTTCTAAATTCTTCAAACACTTTCTTTTCTCTTCCAAAATTCTTCATGTTCTCAAACACTTCTCAAACACCTTTCTTTTCTCTTCCGAAATTCTCCAAGTTTTCAAACATCTTTCTCTTCCCTTCCAAAAATTCTCCATGTTCTCAAACACTTCTCAAACACCTTTCTTTTCTCTTCCAAAATTCTCCAAGTTCTCAAACACCTTTCTCTTCCCTTCCAAAAATTATCCATGTCCTTAAACACCTTTTCTTTCTCTTCCTCAAATTCTCTAAGTTTTTCTTTAATGTTCTCAATTGTTGTACAAAACCTTTTTGCTTCTTAGTTGTAATTTACTTTTCAATGTAATGTAAATTCTTTTCTTAAGTTTTCAAGTTTGATTAGTTTCCAAGTTTCAATTACGGTTCTTGTTTTTATTCATTATGCTTATAAGTTAATATGCTTGTTCGAATGATTGATCACCATTAAAACTTGTATGTTAGCTATCTTGGTTTCAATTAAGAGTAGACACCATGCTTTAATTCGAATTGAACTATGAAGAGGAAGAGTATGTATGGACATTCAACAACAAGGATTAGATGCATGCTTGGTTGTTTAAAACATTCTTATTTGCTTAATGGATTCCTAATACTTAGGTTAGACAACAAATGATCAAATTAGGAATACAAGGTTAGGACCAAACACCATGGCGTAATCATACTTTAGCTAGAATCAATCCATGAATCTAAATTGAACTTGGGAACTTATTTGCTTGAGTTAGTTATTTTCTTTCTTCCTTATTTTATGTTATTTTGTTTTTATTTCTGTTTTGTGTAGGGAAACTGAATTGGATCATTCAATCACCAATCCCTGTGGAATCGACCTCGCACTTACATATGCTAAACTACCAACGGCTCGTGCACTTGCGAGTATCACAAGTTGATGATGCAGCTGAATCCATTTTGGTGTAGCTGAATTGACGCAACAATCATCACCGTTGATTACAAATCCAGAAATCAAGTCAGCAGATTTTGGGAAAATATTTCTCTCCACAAAGCCCACGTGACTCTAAAGTCAAGGTGTCAACAAGACAGAGGAAGTGATGGGGAGTTGGTAGAAGGGTTAGTCGGAAAACCACTTCTCATAACCATTTAATGCCAGAAAAGTTCCTTCCTATACTTGTGAGGGCTTTGCATCAGAACAAGTTGGGATTACAAAAGATTTGCAAGAGATAGGAAAATTGGTTGTCAAAAGATCAAAACTGATCATCCTGGAAACTGACTGATGATGGGTTTTCTTGTCAGACTAATTACTCCCCTCTTTTGTGTTGGAACAGATCATCCTCTCAACTGATATGTCCTCCATATATTAAGGATTAAACCCTCATTCAGATTCTCTATAAATATGAGAGGAGGTGAACAGGATAAAAACAACCAAAAATTCAATCAAAACAAAAACTCTCAAGTCATATTGACAAATTCAAAACAAGATCATATGATCTCAAAAGCCTTCAGACTCTGAAGCAATCAACCTCTTTGATTTACAAAAGATATCCAATCTCTGATAGAACATGCAGAACCTAGGTTTCTGACTTCAGTTCAACTTAAAGAAGCAGTTCGCAAAGAAACGAGATTTCTCTCGTTACAAATTTGGTTCAGCATAAGCCAACCAATCAGAGTTCAGGCTTTTCATAATATGAAAACCTCAACAAATTTTAGAGATGCCTTGATCTCTCAGAATTGACAGAATAGCTCTTGGATGATTCATAATCAAGGAGAACAGGTACTGAAGTACAGCTCCAGGTCAGCAACCGTCAATCCAACCACTTCAATCTCTTCTAGACTGAAAAGATCTCAATTTTACTAATATATGGCTTGAATAGATTAAAGCTCTGCCAATCTCAACATTGGTATCGATTTCCAGCTGAACCTCATCAATTGAAGGTGCTGGCATTTGAATCCAGCACAGATACATCCAGTCTAGCCTGAATCACGGGAAACAATCCAAGCCAATGTTCTGTTGTCTTTTCAAACGTGACCGTTCCTTTTATTTTAAATTGTGTAATAAGCAGTTCTCTTTAAAACACTTTTATTTATTTTCAATATTTATTTTGTCTAGAAGTCCTCACCAATCTGAGGCAAGAAAAGAACTTACTTGGGAGATATTCCTCACCCAATTTCACAATCACTTGTTTAAAGTCAATAACTTAGGGCGCAAGTTTTCTATTTTCATAAGTCTGTTATGGCATGCTTGCACACCAAAGAAAGTTGACTTATCAACCACAAATGGTTTTCAAGTCAATGAGAAATTTTACCCTACCACCACAGGACTAAATCTAAACGGGTGAACAATTTGGCATGCCTGGTGGAACCTCACAGTATACATATTCTTAAAGATATCTTTTAGTGTATGAATATTGGAAGTTCTAGTCAAAACCCACGCTTTGCCATGGAAAGAGATCAACCAGGTTTCCGGGAGGAAGGACATGAGTCAGAAGAGAGTGATGCTAGGCAATTAGCTCACGGCAGTACTAGGAGTAGATGTTCCCGGTCTAGCTCCAGAAGGATAAAGCAGATACAGGAGGCTGTGCTTCGACGAGAAGCCACAGTACAAAAGAGCCAGAAGGATAAAGCAGTTTAGGAAGGATGGTGAGGTTGCTACTATAAGAAATCTAAATCTAGATGCTGTAGTCCAGTAGCTAGAACTCCCTTTTGGACCTCCACCAGGATTGGCATGGCCATGCCAGGAAAATCCCCTCATTGCACAGATAGTTGGAGTGCCTGGACCTGCAGAGATCTAGGCTGGACAGAGGGGATGAGCCTTTGTCAGCCAAAAACAGGAAGCTCCAGTTCTTCTAGCAGGTCCAGCAGCAGTTCAGGTTCCTTAGAATTAACCAAAATTTCCTCCTGTTCCACGGCTAGAAGTTCCACAAGGCCAGCTAGTGGCACATTTGCCTGAATAGCCAATAGTGTTGCCTTATAGACCTAGAAGGATGGATCCCAATCTATTTCCCTCACTACCAAGAGGCAGAGGGGTAATTAACCATTTTTTCAATAATGACAGGAATAGGCCGGACACAAACTGAAGAAATTATCTAGATTTCGAAGAAGATGAAGAACATAAGGAGGAGGTCATACCTAGACCATAAAGGATTGAACAGAGGGCTAAACAAAATCAGCTAGAACAGGGTGAAATTTTCCTCATGTTAATGCTTTGAATGACATGAGGACACTACAAAGAATGATTTGGGAAATTATGGATCCTAAGGCCAGAAGATTAGAAAAGCCCATTTACAGGAAGCCATATCCAGTTTACATTGATCAGATGCTTCTACCTCTTGGTTTTAAAGTACCACATTCTATTTAATGGAGAAGATGCTCACGCGTCATCAGTCGAACATATAGGCAAATTCGTTGTCCAGTGTATAGCTATAGAGAATAATGCCCTATTGAAACTTAGGATTTTTGGGAATTCCCTATCCAGACAAGCTTGTACCTGGTATACCAATTTGCCAGCCAATTCTATCCAGACATGGGAATAGTTGGAGAATGCTTTCCCTAACTATTATTTCAGAATCCAGCCAGAAGTCATCATCAGTGACCTTGCGGCTCTCAAACAGAGTGAGGATGAACTTGCCTAGGATTTCATCACCAAGTTTAGAAAACTCAAAATAAAGTGCAGAATCCCCATGGAAGAAAGACATGTCATCCAGATGGCTGAGATCGCCCTCAAGATTTCTCTAAGAAAGAGATTCGATGGAATGGTGTTTGGAGATTTGGTAGAATTGGCAGATAAAGCTTGCAAGTACGAAGAATTGCTAAGGGAAAAGCAGCATAAGAGAAACTCTTCTAAAGACACATACTACAAGAAACCATTTTCCTCAGTCCATTTGGTTGAGGTAGAATCATAAGAAGGTCAAGAAAGTTCAGAAGAAATGGAGGTGGTAGTGGCAGAAATAGCAAAGCTGAAGCATCCTATCAGCTGCAAGGCTTTGATAAAGCCACCAAAGGATCAAAATCCACCACCGATCATAGGCGAGTTTGTCCCAAACAAATGAGCACATAACAAAGTCTATGCTTAAGATTTGACCAAAGTTGATGCTTTGTTTGATAAGATGCTCCTGTAGAAGGCAATCACAGATTGCCTAAGCTAGAAGAACTTGAGGGCAGACAGTATTGCAAATGGCACAACTCTTAAAACTTTGGCATGAGTGAGTGGAGCATAATCCTTGCATCTCATGATAACATTTTCCTTCGTGTTTGGTAGCTACTAAACTGAACTTTCAATATTGCACTATTACACCTAACAGTCTACTTCATTAAGATAACCTGGTAAATTCTATTTAGCTCACAGATAGGTTAGGTTTGTGCTGCCTCTACATGGTAATAGTTTATTTGTATTATTTCATCATGGAGCTTCAGAGTACGAGGGATGCATGTCTCTGATGAGAACAAAGTAGTTGTTGAAGAATTTCTGCCCATATTTTGTGCATCTAGCATCACACAAAAGTCTCCTAGTTGAAATGTGAAATTTATTTATTGATTGCTGATCCAACTATAAAGCTTAAACATGATGCTTTTGTTCACAATTCAGCTATTGCCTATTATTCCCTATCCCTACTTACAATTGGCAAGCTGGTTGCCACACAAGTCAATCATCTACTTGGTTGAATTTGTAAAATGATTATACGAGACTGTTACATTATTTTGTTGCATAAGAAGATTGATAGTTTAAGAATGTATGCTCTATTCATCTGAAAAAGTGCTTTAGTTTCTTCTAGCTTGGGACAAACTTTTCTATGCTTTGCTTGTCTTTGAGCCTTATGGAACAAGTCATGTCAATGCTTTTCACTCTTCACTTTAGAATTAGTGTCTTTCCTAGCAAACATATTAGATTTTTCTAAATTTAGATTATGATTTGCATATTTACGGCTCTCTTTGTCTGCACCCTACACAGAGAAGACTACTTTCATCATATGATGCCGACTCTGAGAAAGCTAAACCTGATAGCAATTGCAACTTTTCTTGCATTGGTAAATCAGAGAATGCCATCCTATCTGCTTAGGAAATGAAGGTAAATGGAATTTCCTCTCTTTTTGTTTTATTTCTGAAAAGATACATAAGGCAAATGGAACTTTTCAACTCCTCAATATTTGCAACTAATACCTACCCATTGTTGAACTCTTAACAGTGGATTCCAGGGCAGGAGTGCTGAGCAACCAAGTTCACTAACAGTAGTTATAGTGCAGAGAGGCTTTGTATATATGTAGAATGCATGATGACGAGTTTTCGAGAATATATCAGTTACTATGTAGCTTGTCGAAGGACCAACCCCAGTTTTGTGTGCATACCATACTTTGAACCTTGTCATCAAGGAATGTGGGATGATACAGTCAACTTCAATGTTTGTCCCGGAGACTGTCTTGTATAGGGTTTCAAAACGATGTCATTGTCGATTGTCGACTGTATACGGTTGTAATATTTGTTTTCGGTTTTTTGTTTTTACATAATGTGGAATAAAAGTAGGAGCTCAAAATGGCAACAATAAGAGAAATCTGCTACCTGTATGGTTCCTGTGCCTCTTACACCATGCAAAATGGTTACTTAACCAAAAGTTCTTGCATTTTGGGTGTTCCTCGTTGAGCTTTCTGCGCTTAAATCAAATTTTGTTTAGAGCTTAGAACACTTCAATAAATGGAGCATAAATATCTCTTGCATATGCAATTTGTTTAGATCATCTTGGTTTCTGATCAGATCAACGTTCACTTTCAAATGTGCATGACAGGTTGTAAATTGTGCTCCGTGTGTATTCAATTTGGAAGGGATTTTAAACGATCCAAGGGTATTCAATCAAGATTTTAAAAGAGTATAAAAATCTGAGTGTATTTAGTCTAAACTTCTAATGACTCCTACAAAATCTAGCTGTATTAAAAAAATCTAAACTTACCCCATGATATTTTGGTGGATTTCAAATATTTCCATGGTGCACCCACTCATCCAACCCACCAAAACCCCTTTCCCCTCCCCCCCACCACCACCACAATCGTAACACCTCACACGTGAAAAAATTCATCAAAGTTTGTACTTCGTAATAAAAAGTCTACAAATCCATGAAAGTCTGTAGGAGTCTGTAGGATTCTCCCAAAGTCCATGTGGAATCTACAGGAGTTTATAGAAATCCATGAAATCTGTGACTTAATAAAAGTCTTTCAAAATCCTTTGAGATCTTATTGAATACACCCCTAGGTATTTAACTTATTTTGAACGCATGGAATCATTAATATAGGTCGTAGGCTCATCAGCACGTACAACAGAATCCTCAATACTCGTACATCTGTGACAAGTCCTGCGCGTGCAGACTAACACCTCTAAAGGTCTACGAAACACCATGTCAAGGGTGCCTGGGTTCCAACATATCCAAGTATCACAAAATTACAAGTATCCAATTCTAGTATTCCAAATCCGGGGAGGTACATAGAGTAGTGCTTATAGCACTTCAAACTGACATAACTACAATCCATAATCTCATTACTGACAAACCCATGTACCCCACACATAATCAAGCATAGATAAAAATCCTCGAAAATAGTAATATATATCAACTCAAGATAAATCATAATATGCTAATAACCAAATGTATTTCAATTACTTTATAGCAATATCATTCTTCCACAATTAATTATATAATAAACTTAATAATTAAATAAATCATTATGCATAGCTTTCAGTCATAAAAATAATGTTTATTATTTGAAAACAAAGTTTACTCATAGACAGTCCCACGCTACTTGACCCTGAGAGGGTCCTGCCTATTGCATACGCTGGGTTAGAATTGTTATTTAAAGACACAAGGGCTAGATTAGAATAAAGCGCTTCAAACGAGAACTTTAAAATAAATTCCTAGGTTTTCCGGGGATTCGAGTGTGTGCACGATGAACAAAAAGTTCTTAAGGTCCAACTACGGGGGGGTGTATCCAAATGATAAAGCTAAACACAGTATGATATCAAAGCCGTAATAGCAGTTTATTACCTGCATTCCTCGGTGACCATAATCTAACATGAAATTCCTCAATAAGATTTGTCTTCTCCTCTGATTGACCACATGTAACCCAAAAATAATTCAATATAATCAGTAACTCCCTCTAACGTTCATCAACCAAAGTGAATAGACCTCACAAATGATAAAGCTAAACACAGTATGATATCAAAGCCGTAATAGCAGTTTATTACCTGCATTCCTCGGTGGCCATAATCTAACATGAAACTTCCTCAATAAGATTTGTTTTCTCCTCTGATTGACCACATGTAACCCAAAAATAATTCAATAGAATCAGTAACTCCCTCTAACGTTCATCAACCAAATCAAGAAGTGGAAGCTCCCCATTGACACTCTGTATTAAACACCTAGAAAAACATTTATTCAGAGGCATGTGTCTGCTGCAGAGAGCTACATACATCATTCTCAAGAGCATATATACCTTGCAGGCACTTGGGGATGATTTGATATTGCAGTGGTGGCCAGGCAATAGAGAATGAAATCGAAAAGGTTTCTACAAAAAATAATCCATTATCTAAGCTTTTATTTATTTATTTCTTGTTTATCTTTTTTGATTGATCCTTTGACTTGGCATTGTTACACCTGATATCAGCTGAAGAAAGATAAAAAAGTATCGGTGGCCATGATGAGTGTTTGAGTTGCACCTGCATATTAGTAGTTAGGCCTACTTTTTTCATCCAGCTTACTGAAATCTTTCGGGGCAAAAATGGGCAATAAAGGATTCAGGGATGACTGGGATTGTCGTCGTCTTAATGCGAAAGTTCTTGATCCTGATGGTAAAGTTTTGCCAGCTCAAATTTCCAACAAGCGTAAACATCTTGGACTGAAAATGTGGCCGGCAAGCCTCCATATTTGTTGTTCTGGGAGGGTTTAGGGGGAGGTCCAAAACGTGCAGACGTAGTGCACTACATGAAACACAACGGTATATTTTATTTTTGGTCAAACATGAAAGATAACAGGGTATAGCAGACTAGAGTTGTGCTTAGCTGAAACTTGAGACTAAAACTCTGACCATGTGAGGTGGGGTGAGCCGTTTAACGTTTAACCATAACAAATGAAGAAACTTGAATGAACAAAAGAGACCAATACTCGAATAAATAGATTACAAAAGTAGGACGATACAGCCCATTCTTGAGTTTTGATTACAATAAAAAAGCATATCAAAATAAGTTCTGTTTTCATGCCATTACAAAAGCAGTCAACCAGACCACAAATATCTAATCTTAAATAAGCTAAGACAACACGAACTAGCCCGCAAGGTCTTCTCCTCATAGCATGATTCTTCACTCGACAATTTACCTGTCCCAAAAAATACATAAAAAACAAAATTTGAGCAAACCCTCCGTAATGAACAAACCGAAAGAGAAGAAAACATTAGACTAGAGTCCAGTAAAACAACAGTAAGATTAAAATAAGTAATCATAAATCCACAAGGATACCAGCCAGCATTGCATATGTAACAAAAACATATAAGATAGATATGTGGATGTGGTAGTGTTCATTTATTCACCTTATAAAAAAAGGCATATATAATGAAGAGAAGTAATTAGGCGTAAAACAACTTACAGAACAAAAGCACCAAGCACATTTGCATGCAGGGTGTATTCACATGGGCGAGATATGTGAGACAGTCTGGTATCGCAGTCGAAGAAGCGAGTATGAATATGTTTGACGTCCCTTCCCGTTGTGGTCGGTGGTGAGATTTCAAAGGTTAACGACATAATGCGCAACTTCTCAGCTTCAGACATTCTAGGTGCTTTAATATATAAGCTCATAATTAGGCAGACTTTCAGACCTTCTATATGAACAAAGCAGTGGTCATATCTTGAATATATATCACGAAAATCAGCAGGCAACTTATCCGCTTCCGCTAGAACTTGCTCCAGTGGCAATTTTTTAATAACAGACACATGATCAGGAGACACAGAGTGGACAACAATGGCATATCCACGCTGTTTCCTCTTATAACTGAACATGAAAGACTCATTGTCATCCATCAGGAGCAAAGCTTTTCCTTCAAAAGGAAGAGCACGATCGGAGAAAAAACTAGGAGTCCCAACTTCTATCCATTTTGGATGTTCCTCTTCACTAGTGTCAAAGCCATATACCATACTGGTCCGAGTCGACAGAAGGATAAAACTATCCACAACTGCACAAGAGAAGTCTCCATAGCTTCCACCAGGCTCGAGAATTGAAGGTGCAGGAAGGGGAGACCATTTCTTAGAGTTGGGGTCGAAAACCTGAAAATATGGAGGCTTTTTATCACATAAGATCGTCTCACCGGAGAGAGCATAGAGTTTCCCCGAAACCTCCATCAGCAGGGGTGTAGGGACTTCTCCAAGCAATTTCCCAAACATACGCTCTCGGCCCCTCAGTTTGATCGTGGGATTCGGATCCCGAGTCTCAAATCCATATATAGCTCTACTCGCATCTGGTCCGAATCGAATATGGGTGCACTCGGCCACGGTTGAGAGGCGGGATTTCACACCTCCGCCGAAAACAATTTGAGATCCAAAGACACCGCAACCCATATAGCCGGGAAGATACTCGCCGGTGAGAGAAGCCCGATAGCGTAATTCACTATTGCCCTTGGAGCAAGCCGCGCATTCGGTTCTGGTTGTCGTATCATCCGGATGCTTTAATTCATTACAATCCAACGGGCATTTGCTTCTATCACCATCACCACCAAGAGGAGTAGGATTAGGATTAGTAGGAAGATCGGGATCGAAGCGGCAGGAGCATGATGAGGAAAACAAATCGCTCAATTTGATGGAATTAATAACGTAAGAAACAGTCTCACTCTTCACAACCATGGAACATATATATAAGGACCTCTCATCATTTGGTCCCGTCAGATCTTCCCTGCCGCCGCCGCCTGCCTCCATACACCACTTGCTGCTATGCTAATGGATATCCACCCAAAAGCACTAGGCTAGGTTTTCGATTTCTCAACTTTCACCCTTCCCGCGGCCTTTTTACTATGTTACTATGTTATTCAACCCGAAAAAATAATAAGATATTTGGGCCACAGCGCAGGACAGCCCATTGATACAAATATGAGAGTCCGGCCCTGAATATATCTTTGACAAAAACCCGATCACAAACCTGTCATGTCCCTTGCATTGCAATATACTTTTTAAAGAAGCGCGGTTCTAGAACAGCTATGTGAGAATCTTATGTGAGAACACCGTTGGATATAATCCAACGACTCCGTAAAAAGCAATTGTAAATGAAACACTTGTACTAGGTTGTACTAGAATGAGTCCCTCAACTTGTTCTCTCTCCTCCCTCCTTCCTAAACAGCTGTTCAATTTTTCCACGCTCCCTCTCTTCTTTCTCTGCCCTCTCAGTTTCTCTCCTTTGAAACTCCTTTTCTGTATTTCTCTCTCAGTTTCTCTGCGTCGATCTCCCTCCTCCTCCTCCTCATCTCTGTCTCTCTCTGTCTCTCTCTCTCTCTCTCTCTCTTCCCTTTCCCTATCACAATTCAAAAATCGAGGCCCAAAAGCCCTATTTGCTACTGTCATTTGATATCTCTTTCATTTTCCTCTTCGTTGTGTCCCTCTCTTTTCGTGGTGGTGGAGAAAAAGGTAGTAATCTCGCAAAGTCATACTGGTGCTCAAAGATTGGATTTTTACTGCTACCCATCTGGTTGTTCCTGCCGTTCTCTATCTGCATCAATATCTTTAATTATGACTTTTTTTTTCATTTTTGATTACTTGTTTTTCAATTTCTTTTCTTCATTAATTAATTTGGTTTGTTTAGTTTTGGTTCGATTTTGAACTCTTTAATTAAATTTGGCTGGCCTTGTTTAAAATTGTAAGTGGCTTTGAGATTGGACAAAGGTTGGCTTTCGTGATTCTGTGAAGGTTAGTAATCAAGGTTTTAAAAAAATCTTAATCTGTAAGTGTATGTATAGTTATACAGTGTATGGTTCAAATGGATGATTATGATTGGCATTGGTTGTTGTGATTGCCTTAATTGCTATGGTTGCTGTGAGTGCTAAAAAATATGTGCAACTAATTGTCTTTGGCTAGTAAATGAGAAAATAGATAACCCCACCCAATTGGTTTTTTAATTATGGATTTTTGTCTACTATTTGGCTTTCTAATGCTCTCCTTCGTTCTCTATGCAGGTTGTCTTTCCCCTCCAATTTGCATTTGCATTGCAAAATTATTAAGCTGAGAACAAATGTTTGAGTTTATTGTTTTTAAGAATGAAGTTCGTTAATTATGTTTATTTTGAGTTCAGTTCTTCTCTTGAATTTTAAGTTCTTTATTGCCTTGTTTCAACTTCTTGATGTATAAGAAAAAATTGGAAACTTTTATTTTTATCCAAATTCTATTACTTGGAGGAGGTATACAATGTACATACATGCTACTTGGTCTTCCAATGTAATCTTGACATTTGTCTCAATTTTCCTCTGTTATTTCTACATCATAATAAACCCATATTCTCTGTTTACTCATGAGTTCAGAGAAAATTCTCAATTTGTTTTACTTTCTTATTTTTGGCATCAGGTTTTACCAGAATTGGCTTCTTCATACTTTTCCTACCTTAATTTGATTTTACTTTTATCACTGAAGTAGTGCAGGGAAAAGTTTGGAGAAGTTGATGGAGGCAAGTGTTGAGAGAGAGCAGATACTTGTGGATTAATTGCAGGAAAGCATTCAAAGTCTTGAAAGGCAGTCCTCACGAGTGGAAGAATTGTCCCAGATTTTGAAAAGAGCAAATAATTTCTTGCATTTTGTTGCAGAATGCACCTGTTGTTATTGGCCATCAGGTATCTGACTTATACATTGTAATTCCTATGTTTATGTTTAAAATGACCTCACTGATCACTTTTTAAAATTATTTTTGTTGATAATTTTCTGTTTTAGGATAAAGAATTGTTGTATCTGTTTATCTATAATCACGTCCCAAGTTTGCAAGAGGAGGTAATTAATTGCCAGTGAAGTTCTTATTCAAGGTTTGGTAGGATTCCTGTAGAACTTCAATGTAATTTAAAAGGAGGTAATTACTGCCTTGCTTAAGTGACACTCTGACACTAAACCACCTTAATTATATCATGTTCTTTCTTCTTGCCAGCACATTATAGGAAGAACAGATGTTGAGATTTTTACCGGGGCCGGCGTTAAGGAATCTCAAGACTTCAAGGAGGTTCTAGAAAAATGTCAAGGTTACCTGCAAAAAGGACCATTACATTTGAGACACCATTATTTGGGTCAAAAACATTTTTGATACATGTGGAGCCCGTCTTCAGCAAGGCATGAGAGACATTTGGTATAAATTACACGGGGATAGATGTCACTGATCAGGTAGTTGCATTTTGTATGTTTTAGAGTTCAATTCAAGACTTTTCTTTTGATCACTAAAGGGTATTTGTGTTTCTTTTGCACAAACAACAGGCGAGGAAAAGAGAAAAGATGGCAAAGCTTAGTGAGGAAATCGCCGTCCAAAAAGCTGAGGAACTTATAGTAATTTTACGTATATTTTTATAATTTTTAAAAATCATAAATTTTACAAGTAATGCAATAAAATAATAGCCAAATGACACAAGTTAAGAGTCTCAATGCTGTAGTATCACTTGTTTGCCACCAAAATATGTTTCGTAAAAGCTTTAAAAGGATTCACTAGAGCTTCAACATCGCTTCATTTCCTATTCAATAAAGCTTCAAAATACTATTTTTATTTTTTGACTAAGAAGTCTTCATTAGTATTTTTATGAATTTTTTCAGATGAACTCAAAAGACATAGAAAGTGTCAACTTGAGTTTGTAGAAATTTTTTTGGTGTGTATTTTTATGCTATTTAATGAATTATTATGAATTTTTGAAAGTTAAAGCATTCAAAATAGTAATAAACGAAAGAGATTGACAAGTGGCAGCACTTGAATAATGCATCGTTAGTGCTTCTAACGAGTGTCATTCTCACGTAGCGCCATGTGTCATGAGATGTTCATTTTTATGTCTTTACCTTAAAAAATTGACAAAAAAAAGTTAGAAAATTACACCAACAACAAACTTCTTGTGACATTATCTTTGACTATCATGCGAGAAAAATCCAAACTTGAATTTGGTAAATTTTAAGTAATAATTGGAGGAAGAGTTGTAACATGGAAGAGTAATGATCTCCAACATACTGTTATTGTTAGTATAGATGCAAACATGACTTTGCTAAATTATTTGAGATTTTTATGAATTTATTATGATTTTTAGAAATCAATACACATGGCAGCTTGATGGGTACGTCATCAGAGTTTCAATAGGTATTGTTATCCCGTAGCTCCACGTGTCATTAATGTTTCATTTTTACGAGTTTACCTTTAAAAAAAATTCAGGAAAAATCATTAAAAAAATAGAAAAATACACCGAAAATTTCTAAAAATTCCTTGCTGCATGGTCTTCAACTCTGAAGCGTGAAAATTGAAAATTGACTTTGGAAAATTTGAGAGAATAATTAGAGGAAGAGTTATAGTGATGAAGAGTGGCGATTTTCAACTTAGTGTTATTGTTAGTATGGAAGCAAACTTGAGTTTAAGAAATTATTTAAATTTTTCTCTAAGTCAAATTTATATTTTACAATTGAAAAGATGAAGAAAATGTCGCAAGGAGTTTGTGGCAATTTTCGGTGAATTTTTCAGATTTTTTTTAAGAATTAACTATGATTTTTGGAAGTCAAAATATTGTAAAATAGTAATAAATGGAAGAGAATGACATATGGCAGCGCCTGAAGGGTGCATCGTCAGCTTTTCCAACGGGTGTCAGTATCTCATATCGCCACATGTCATTAATGTTTCATTTTGTGAGTTTATCTTAAACAATTCACGAAAAATCATTAAAAAATCAGAAAGACACAAAAAATTTCAACATATTCCTTGCAACATTTTCTTCGACTATGATACTCGAAAATCAAAATTTGACTTCGGAAATTTTGAAGTAATAATTGGAGGAAGAGTTGTACTCATGAACACTAGTGATTTTCAATTTAGTGTTATTGTTAGTATGGAAGCAAACTTGACTTTGTGAAATTATTTGAATTTTTCTCTTAGTCAAAATTATATTTTAAGTCTCAAAAGATGTTGGAAATGTCACAAAGAGTCTAGGGTATTTTTTGGTGAATTTTTAAGATTTATTATGATTTTTGGAAGTCAAAATATTGGAAAATAGTAATAAATGGAAGAAAATAATACATGGCAGCACCTGATGGGTGTGTCGTCAGCTTTTCCAACGGGTGTCAATATCTCATAGCGCCACATGTCATTAATGTTTCATTTTTGTTTGTTTATATTAAAAAATTTAAGAAAAATCATTATAAAATCAGAAAAATACACTGAAAATTTATACATATTCCTTGCAACATTATCTTCAACTATGATACTCGAAAATCAAAACTTGACTTTGAAAAATTTGAAATAATAATTGGAGGAAGAGTTGTACTCATGAAGACTAGTGATCTTCAACTTAGTGTTATTGTTAGTGTGGAAGCAAACTTGATTTTGTGAAATTATTTGAATTTTTCTCTTAGTCAAAATTATATTTTAAGTCTCAAAAGATGTTGGAAATGTCGCAAGGAGTCTGAGGTATTTTTTGGTGAATTTTTCAGACTTATTATTAATTTTTTATGATCTTTGGAAGTCAAAATATAGGAAAATAGTAATAATAGAAGAGAATGACACATGGCAAAGGCTGATGGGTGCGTCGTCAGCTTTTTCAACGGGTGTCAGTATCTTATAGCCCCACGTGTCATTAATCTTTCATTTTTGTGTGTATATCTTAAAAAATTCACAAAAAATAATTAAAAATTCAGAAAAATACACCGAAAATTTCTACAAATTCCTAAAGACATTATCTTGGACTATAATACTCAAAAATCAAAATTTGATTTTGAGAAATTTGAAGGAATAATTGGAGGGAGAGTTGAAGTGATGAAGACTAGTGATCTTCAATTTAGTATTATTGTTAGTATTGAAGCAAACTTGACTTTGTAAAATTATTTGAATTTTTCTCTAAGTCAAAATTGTATTTTAAGCCTCAAAAGATGTTGGAAATGTCGCAAGGAGTCCGGGATTTTTTTATTTATGAAATTTTCAAATTTATTATGATTTTTGGAAGTCAAAATATAGGAAAATAGTAATAAATGAAAGATAATGACACATGGCAGCGGCTGATGAGTGCGTCGTCAGCTTTTCCAATGGGTGTCAGTATCTCATAGCTCTACGTGTCATTCATGTTTCATTTTTATGAGTTTATCTTAAAAAATTCACAAAAAATCAATAAAAATTCAGAAAAATACACCAAAAATTTCTACAAATTCCTTGCGACATTCTCTTCGACTATAATACTCGAAAATCAAAAGTTGACGTTGAAAAATTTAAAGAAATAATTGGAGGGAGAGTTGTAGTGATGAAGACTAGTGATGTTCAACTTAGTATTATTGTTAGTATTGAAGTAAACTTGACTTTGTGAAATTATTTGAATTTTTCTCTTGGTTAAAAATATATTTTAAGTCCCAAAAGATGTTGGAAATGTCGCAAGGAGTCCGAGGTATTTTTTGGTGAATTTTTCAGATTTATTATGATTTTATTATGATTTTTGGAAATTAAAATATTGAAAAATAGTAGTAAATAGAAGAGAATGAAACATGGCAGCGCCTGATGAGTGTGTCATCAGCTTTTCCAATGGCTGTCAGTATCTCATAGTGGCACATGTCATTAATATTTTATTTTTGTGAGTTTATCTTAAAAAAATCCCAAAAAATTATTTAAAAAATCAGAAAAATACACCGAAAATTTCTACAATTCCTTACGACATTATCTTCAACTATGATACTCGAAAATCAAAATTTAACTATGGGAAATTAGAAGTAATAATTGGATTAAGAGTTGTAGTGATGAAAACTTTATTTCAATTTTTCTCTTAGTCAAAATTATATTTTAAGTCTTACAAGATGTTGGAAATGTCACAAGGAGTTCATATGTTTTTTTGGTGAATTTTTCAGATTTATTATGAGATATAAAAAAATTCAAATAATTTCTCAAAGTCAAGTTTGTTTCTATACTAACTACCCACCAAGTTTAACTCTTCCTCCAACTACTAATTCAAATTTTCCAAAGTCAAATTTTGATTTTCGAGATAATATCGCATGGAATTTGTAGAAATTAAAGATGTATTTTTTCGATTTTTCATTAATTGTTTGTGAATTTTTAGAGAGAAACAAACACAAACAATTCATTAAATAGCAGAAAAATACAAGCACCAAAAAATGATACAAACTCAATGTGACACTTTCCACGTCTTTTGAGTTCATCCTAAAACATTCATAAAAGTACTAATGAAAACTTCTTAGTCAAAAAATAATAACAATATTATGAAGCGATGTTGAAGCTCTAGTGAATCCTTTTGAAGTGTTTACGAAAGATATTTTGAGGGCAAACAATTAATGATGCAGCATTGCAATTAAGACTTGTGTCATTTCTCTATTATTTTTAAAATTTATAATTTTTAAAAATTATAAAAATATACATAAAATTGAAGTTGAAGTTGAAGTTGAAGTTGTTTTATGCCTACATAACTCTGCATTATATATGGGTAATCTATTCTATGATGCAGTTATATCATATCGTGTGTTTGTATATTCATACATGTATATATTGCAGTGCTTTAGTCATATAACAATCTGATTGTAATACGAGATATGCATTTTAATATTGCTTCCTTGTTGTACCTTGGTGTCAAATCTCTGTGGGTTACAGTAACACATACAAGAATGTGCATTATGTTAGTGTGGCACAACTTTTGCCACATATCTGTCTTATATGTTTTTGTTCAATATGCAATGCCAGCTAGTATCCTGCCATTTCAAATGCTAGCTGTGGAATTATGATTACTTATAATAATCTTACTATTGTTTTTACTGGACTCTAATCTAATGTTGATTTCTTCTCTTTCGTTTGTTCATTATGGAGGGTTTGCTCAAATTTTGTTATTTATGTAAATTTTTGGGACAGGTAAATTGTCAAGAGAAGATTCATGCTATGAGGAGAGGACCTTGCAAGCTAGTTAGTGTTTACTGTGCTTTGGTAATGGCAAGAAAACTTAACTTATTTAGATATGATTTTTTATTGCAATCAAAACTCAAGCATGGATTGTTTTTTGTAGAAACCTTTTCAATTTCATTCTCTATGGCCTGGCCACCACTTCAATATCAAATTAGTGCTCTTATAAAGCTTAAGCAACCAAAACAATACAATTTCTGGATGATGAAAAAAAAGTTGACGCCTTAAAATCAGCTTCATCAGTTGCAGCTACCTGCTCATCAGCAGAAGAACCAACTGGGCTTAGCTATAACAAACATCACCAATTGAATAATCAAAATTTTTGCAATCAATCTGTCCCTCCAACAAGTATATTTTGCACTCACCACTGAGCAGGGATATTGATGTCTTCTTCCCCATCTGGACTCCTGGTTAGGCTTCTGTTCGCTTTCTGAATGGTAGCACGTTTTCCTACGAGTTTAGTTTTTGTTTGTTTCTCACTCGGTGCACCTAGCTTCCTCATCCAAAATTATGAATAAAATCTTCCCCATCCAAAATTATGAATGCATCATACCACATGCTTGAAGGTTTTCCATTAGGCGTAAAACTTAAATATACCATCTCTTCCAGATCTGCAAGATCACTGATAAGGAACGCTTGTGAATACATAATGGACAACTAAATAGAGACATTCAAGAGCGAGAGAAAGAAATGGTATAATTTGTAGTTTTAGAATACTTTCTTCTCACTCAAAGAAACGGATCTTAAATATACATTTCCTGGTATGTATCTTACCAACAGTATCTTAACGTTAAGGACAAGTAAATATCTATAAAAAACCTCGTGGGTTGGGTTGTTTGTTTCAAATGAGTTGAGCAAATTTATATCAGGAACTGATCAGTCTGGTCATAAAAAAACTTATACAGAAGTATAGATGCGGGCTATTTGACGTACGTACGCTCCTTGCAGTTTTCTGGCAACAACTTATAAGCACCAAATCTAGCATGCGAATCTGGAAGGAAGCTTGAGAAGTTGGTTAAAGAGCATATATGTTGCGAGGACATAATGATTAATGCACTTCTTATCCTGACTAGTTCAAATTGAATTAATATGCATGCGCTAGAAAACATATATCAGTTATGAATTGGTTAAGGAGATTCAGTTGTGTCTGCTTCTGCACCCATGCTTCCCTGTTAAAGCATACAAGATACAAGTGAAACAATTAAAATTCTCCAAACAAGAAACGACAATGGATTGAGACGAGGCATCCATAATGGTCTTTCTCCATGCGAAGTGCACGCCTTCTTTTTGTTTTTTTTTTTCAGAAATCAAAGTTCACGCCTTCTTATTTATTTTTTTGGGCTCTACAAGGACTTGTACTCTTTGTATGTCAGGGATATTATTCTTTTTTAATACAAAATGTCTGGGCTAAATATGTAATTATCTTCCAAGTTCCTCTACTTAAATGAAGCAATATCCAGGGTGTAGGATTTTAGGGTCGAATAACGTAGGGAAAAGGCTGCGAGAAGTGTAAAACTTGCGAAATTGAAAACCTAGCCTAGGGCTTTTTGGTGGATATCCAATACATTAGCTAGCATAGAAGCAAGTGGTGTGTGAAGGCAACTGACAGCGGCGGCATGGAAGATCTGACGGCACCATTAAGGTCGAATGATGAGAGGTCCTTATATATATATGTTCCATGGTTTTGAAGAGAGAGACTGTTTCTTACGTTACCCATTCCATCAAATTGAGCGATTTGCTTTCCTCATCATGCTCCTGCCGCTTTGATCCCGATCTTCCTACTAATCCTACTGCTATTGGTGGTGATGGCGACAGAAGCAAATGCCCGTCGTGCTCCAAATCCCTCAAAGCTCCCCGACGGCGACAAGGAGGATTGTAGTGAATTAAACCATCCGGATGATACGACAACCAGAACTGAATGCGCGGCTTGCTCCAAGGGCAATAGTGAATTATGCTCAACTGTTAACATTGAGGCAGGGGCTACAGCCATGGCTCGGGAGATTCACCAACCCCGACCGCCGGCCTTTGATTGTTTCAGGGCCCTAGTTGATGCCAACAATTGGTAACAACAAAATATGGTAATATCCTCTCCATTTTCACCACACCAAACATGCAACTGATATGCAGGAGGACACTTGGATTGGATGCCCTCTTATTTGTAGACATCCGAACCGTTCATTTTGTCAATTACTCAAATATGCCTATTCAAAAAGCAATCATAGACTAACTATGAGCCCTAAACGAGCTTTGACATATAACAACAAAAGTACCATAAATGACATTGTAAGTACATATAGTAAAATCTAAATGCTCATTATTATACGGGTCTCTTGAAATGTTATATTTCACAATTTTAGATGACCTTATAAAAAGTCCTTATAAGTGATTCGTGAACCTTACATTACTAATCCTAACAAATTTGTTGACTAATATGTGTCCCAACAAATCATTTGAATTAGCGAAGTGCCTTGGCTAGAAAGGCTTGATATTGAGAAGGATCCTATGTCTTGTCAAATTTGTTTTTTTCATTTTTTACCCGAACAAAAAGAAAGAAAGAAAAAAAAAGAGAGAAGAGACAATTCCTTTATAAGGATAAAAATACAGTTTAACTTGCATTCAAGAAAAGAAAAAAAAATGTTGTTCAACATGTCCCTCCCCACCCAAAAACACTCAAATGTCAAAACCTATATATACCCCAACCACCACTTTCCCAACACTTTCCGAACCCCTTCCCAAATCTTCACTTCACACAAAGCATGCCAAACCCAAAACCACCATTTCCCTTTCTCTTCGCCATTCTCTTCTTCTTCATTCTACCCCTTATCTTTTCCCAAAATGGCGAGTATGTCCGGTTCGCCGAGGCAGGAAAGCGAAGAGTCCACATCACTGACGACCTGGACGACGTCGTAGACGACGAGGAGGACGATACTTGGAAAGAATGGGGCAAGAAATCAACACCCCCTTCCGATTTCGATCCGCCCCCTGATTTGTCTAAAATGGACATGTCCGAGATCCAGGCGGAGATGATGAAGCGGCATACCGGCCCGGCTTTTGGGTTTGTGAAGCTCCGGCTGGGCGTCAAACGGACTCGGGTAATCCGAATTTGCTCTTCCCCTTTGCGTTCTTATTGGGTTTCAGCTTGAATTTAATTGGGTTAGTTTCTATGTTGGCTCTGATATAGTAACTCGTAGTTTGGAACCTCAATTTGATAGTTTTAGTGTAATCAGTGAAACGAGTTTTTTAAGCATGAATTTGGATCAAACGTTCACTATTGAATTGAAAGAGTATTGAGAAGTTGATTGGAAGTTGTTGTGATCTGGAATTGGACTTGAACATTTATGTGAAAGAATTTGGTTAAAATTGGAAATTGTGGATTAATGTGTGGAAATCTACTGATAAGTACTAGTTTTGCAAATTGCAGGCTGCCTAAAATGCACTATCAGAACACTTTTTGTAGATTGGGAACCATGAATTGAGCACTTGTTATAAACTTATATCTTTTTTTTGTAGTTCTTGTTCTAGTCTCTTGTTTTGGATGTTAATTATGAGCTTGAGTTTATGTATTGGCTTTATAGGTAATAGAAATGACTTATATCTTTTTTTTGTAGTTCTTATTGTAGTCTTTTGTTTTAGATGTTAATTATGAGCTTGAGTTTATGTATTGGCTTTATAGGTAATAGAAATGACTTTTGATGGTTTTCTATGTAATTGATTGAGGCTTTCAATTTGGCTTCAAATGAATGTTAAATTTATTAAGGGCTTCTCTTCCCCTCGCAGGAGACGGTGGCTGAGATTGCTATGAAATGGACCAAAGTTCTGAGAACTGGAGCTCTTGGGGTAAGATTCATGGGTGTTGATCTAAACACAATCATGTTCAACATGGAACAAGGCCAAGACATGACAGAGGTATGCTTCTTTCCCCCTCACACTGGGTCTTTTGTCCTTCAGATCAAAGATAATGAGGTTCCCTTGTGTCCTGCTGGAGAAATTGCTCCTTGATTGTAGATGTCTTTCATTTCTTAAGACACAAATAGAAAAATCTGAAGTCTTGGGCATGGCTTACCTGTCCATAAGAGGCCAATCATACCCATGTCTTGCTTAGCATACTTTTTTGAATTGATGAGCTTATTATTGCAGATCATGAATTTCTTTGATTGGATGATGACCTGATTATTGTAGATCACGAGCTTCTGCTTTCTTTTGTTCTTATTCTGTTGTATCCCTTTCTTTATCTTGATTCTCCAGTTGAAGCAGTTTGTGTTGACCCAACCAGAGGCCTATGAAATAAAGATCGGCGATCAAGTTTTTCGAAGACCTGGAGATCCTCCGTTGGAGGAAGTTGTGGAGAAGCTTGAGAATGAGAAAAAGAGAGTGGAGAATGAGAGTCCAGCAGAGAGCAATATGCATTTGAAAGAGGAATTGTAGTTATACCAGTAAGTTTTCTGACATGCAATATAATGATCCCATCTCTAACTCCATAGCAACATCCACTCCGAATATTCATGTATTACTATTCAAGTGGATTTTAGGCTGTTGATAAAGCCGACATAATTACTTATCACAATTCTGTGTTTATTTATTTATTTTAATGGAACCAGTGCATAAAAACTGCTCAAGAGTAGGCAGGCCATCTATTCACCACACCTCTTGAACCACTTTGGAACTTCATTGCCTGAAAATTTAATATCGAATGTAGAGCCCTGAGAAAAAGAATTTCAGAGACTGAAGTTCGCTACAACATATAACAGAGATGCACAGCAAAATATTAATTGCTAAATTTGAATTGAACAGAAAAAGAAAAAGAAAAAAGAGAGTAAATAATATGACCAGAAAATATTAATGCAAAGATATCATTCAACATTTAATGGATCAATTGACACACTTTTGGTCCTCGTCAATAGCAATATGTCTCCGGTTTGGCTGATTCGTTGGTTCTGAAGATGATGAGCAAAGCCATTGCTCTTCTTCTGATCCACGAGGCCTCTTCTTCCCAACACTAGTCTTTGATTCATTCATCATCGTTATATCATCATCGTCAACCTGTACCTGGTGGCCTAATAGGTGAACCCCGCAGCTTTTAACGCCTATCGGCCCTCCATCTGGGTCTGGCAAGTTAAATATAACTTGAAATCTATAAGTATTAGTATTACCCTGCTGCATTGCCGTCTTTCTTCCTTTCCCTTGCGGATTCAAATCTGATAATGGAATACACTTGAGCCACATACGAGTTTCCTGTGTCTCTGTTGGATCCTCATCCCTAACCCATATGTCATTGATGAGTTTTCCATTGATAAGAATCTTGGCATGAAAATAATAAGGATCATGATAACTAACACATAGAAGTACACTTAATGTCGACTCCCATTTTACATTTGGAGGAATTTCAAAACAAACTTCACATCCAGCAACGCGCTCCTCATCTGAATCAGGATCTACTTCAACTATGGTTGCATCTTTACAACACCTGAACTACTTCGGAACTTCATTGCCTGGAAGTATAATTTCGGATACAGAACGCGGTAGCTACATTAATAGAATAGAATAGTTTGTTACAGTAATCATCATGTTAATGAGAGATTATAGAACAGCAACCTGATTTGGAAAAATATTTTCTATAACGATGCCGCATATGCTAATGCAATTGACCATATCCAGCCACCGAACCCCCCGGGTCAATTTTGGAAAATTTTACAATGATGTGCAATTAGGCAGGTATAACCAAGCTACTCTTGGTGGAAGCACTTCTGGAATTTCCCGAAGCCTCTTGCAACCATGCAATCTAAGAATCAACAAGTTGACAAAGTTACTAATGCATCCCAGAAGCGTGACAAAATTGTTTCCCGATAAATCAAGTTCTGTTAATGCGTTCCAGCAATCAAGAGGCACGAGGAAATCACTTTCTGAAAAATTGCATCCGTTGAGATAAAAGAAACTCAGGCTGGGAAGCGCTAATGGGATGTTTGAGTTGCTTAAAAGCTGCTGTAATTTGGTATTGCTGGATGAAACTTCAGAGTTCACCTTATCGCAGAATGTAAGAAGTTTTCGGCACCCTTAGAAGCTCAGATCAGTGAGGTGTTGCAATCCATATATACTACCTAATGATGTAAGGTCATCTCCAATTATAGGGCTAAATGTAGTCCATGGCCAAAATATTAATTTTTTAAAGAATAGTACACGGCTAAATTTTTCTATCTCCAGTCATGCAGTGCTATGCTTTAGGGTCTTTTATATTTTATTATTTTGATAAAACTATGGTACAGCATTCATACATTCCACAACTATGTATTGTTTAATTTAATTAAACTACTATTTGGAGACAATATTCCATATATGACAAGATTTATGATAAGATTTTGTGTCCACGTGGCACGTCTTATCCTGAAGGAATCTTAATAATTTTTCCGACTATGATTTTCGAGTGATGCGTGTTGAATTTTTTATATTTTTTTTTCTTAAATAACACAAATTGAAAACATTTAAAACATTTAAAAAGTATGTGTGAAAATATGAATTGGTGTACAGTACTCGCCTAATCCTCTAGGACCTTGTCCCCCCTTTTTTTGTACTTGTTACCCTTTTCTCCTCATTAATAAAACACTAATGCCTTTGTGTTTTTTTTATTTAAAAAAAGGTGACCACATTTATAAATAAAAGAAAAAGAAAAAAAGGATGGGTTTCAATGGTCTAACCTCCAACTGTTATGACCATTAATTTTTTTATAAATTTTTCTTAAACAACACGAATTGAAAATATTTAAAAAGTCTATTAAATACATACTAGCCCCTTGGCACATGCTCACGCATGTGCCAATTGTTGTTCTTTTTTATTTTTGTTTTATTTTTAGAATTAAAAAAGATAATGGGTAGTTGTGTTCCATAAAAATAGGATCCATTATCTTATTTTTCTTTTAATTTTAATTTTTTTTAATATGAAAAAGTGTGAATTTACCATATTATCTTCATTTAATTAATAATTTTAATTCTTAATGTTTGCATTAACCAAGGGCATTTTCTGGTATTTTGAATGTTTCACCATTCTTTGCATTTTGCTTATATATATAGATATTTATATTTAATAGACTTTTTAAATGTTTTTAGCACTTTTAATGTTGGTTGTTGAATATGCATTTGCACGAGATGATTCGTGCTCTTGCTCACACTTAATAATTTATCTTCTTCAAAAGCACATGCATGAGGCCCACAAAAATTTTGACTTAGGCCAAAGCTAGGCTACATGTGGCCCGGTTGGAGGGTTAAAGAGCCAAATGTGGCCCTCCAAATTTGGCCAAAATTTTGTTTAGCTCATGGCTAGAGATGGGTTTTGCATTATTTTAGGGTTATATTTGGGATATAGCTCATGGTTAGAGATGGCCTAAGGTTCTCACAATGATCACCTCTCAATTCTTGAAGCTTTGTAAGATTTGCAATTGATGAAGTCAGTTCTCTTATGCCACTTCCTTCCATATTCAAAATCGTTAGGCATTCCATCTTGTCCTCTATTTCTAGGAAGCTCTCAAGCCTTTGGCAATTACGAACACAAAGACTTTTAAGGGATATCAATCTAAGTCTTGTTGCAAACCTCGTAAGCTTAACGCATTCTCTAAGATCCAACTTAACAAGTTTATCAAGGAATCCAACAGAATCATGAACCTCAACCAAATTTGTACACTCACTTAGATTCAAGAACTTTATGTTTGGGATTCCAGACAAGTCAGAGATTTTTTCTAAGAATTCACACCCACTTAAATTTATAGATGTCACATTTGGGCAATTCTGTGAGACAAAAACATGACATAGGAAATTATCAAAAAATCACAAACTTAAAAATAATAAATAATAAAAAATAATTTGTGTCGTGAAAATAAGAACTTTATTCGAAATAATAATAGATGAAAATAATTTGAAGTACGTACCTTAAATATCTCTAATTGTCTGAAGCACTACAAGGCATATTGAATACAACAAGATGCCTTGCATGAATTGGATGGGAAAAATTGTAACTGACATCTACCCCAATCAATCAACCTCAACTCGTTGGGCAGATGATCAATGCATCTAGATAGAACTACATTACGGTTTATGAAAATTTCAAGATTTACCATCCTAGATAAGCTTTTTGCATTCAAGATCAAGGGTGTGTCATCTGGTTTTGGATACTTCATCATGATACCTTTAATCTTTCTTGTACTCTAATATAGAAAAAGTATTAATATCAAGATATCGAGTCCTTTTTCAAACCAAAATGCAAGTACATTTTGTTAAGAAAATTATAGGTCACACAAGGTACTACTTCTTGTCAAATTGAATATTGGAACATATATTATACTTACTGTGTTTTCTATTTGAACATGGAATACATCCTGGTGAAACCATAGTCTACTACGTTTGCCAGGATCATTGGGAGATTCTTCGTGAACTATATCCTTACCCAGTTGTTCTAGCAAGTCATGCATCAAAATCACATTGCTTTGAATAGTTATCATTGCCTTCTCAACGCATACAATGCAACCTTGGGGGACCTTGTGCTTAGAACTGCTTACTATTTGTAGCACAGTCCTTATCTTCACCCTTGAAGAAACATGCAATGTCTAGAAAAACTTGTTGTGCGGAAGTTTTCAAGGCATCATAACTTTCTAAGTATTTTTTGAGTACTTGTCTAAGGATCTCCACCGTAACCATCTAATAATATAGCTTGCCAATGATGTACGCCTTTATTATGAAGATGAGAACCTAAAAGCGTTAGAGCTAGTGGAAGTCCTTGAGCATAGGCTATTGCACGTTGTTGCTTGAACATAAAATGGGTAAAAATATTTTGGCTAATTTTCCCTGTTGCTGCTTCCTTCATTTAGCTCAGCATGAGAGTATTGCACTCTTTCTCTCTCTTACCCTTTATATAACAAAACTTTCTTACACATGTTAATGGCAATTAGGTTGATCTTGTTAGTGCTCCTCCCAATAACTCAGTAAGTACAAGGATAGCGAGTAAGTTTAAGGATTATTCAATTCCTAGTGGGTAATAATTGTGCTATTTTTGTTATATAAAAAAGTTGTACACTATAATTATATGTTTAAGATTTTGATTATTATATCCAGGCTGCTTTGGACTCTTGGATACTTTGGCAAATCCAGGTTGTGTCTTTGATCCAATAGATTCTATGAAAACTTCTGCTATGTTTTTTCCCTTCTAATTAATGACTGTCATTGAACTATATTTGTATCTTTTCATGTTAGTTTGGTTCATTCTCATCACAATTCAATCTCCGTCCGAGAATCAGAAACAAAAGTTGATAACCTCATAAAATGGGAAACAATGATTCTTGACTCGAATCATACTGTCATGTGCCTCTATTATGGAGCAATTTTTGGGTATGACAAGTATAATTTTATAGAGTTTTGAAGTTTAACGAAAGAAACTTTGACTTGTCAAGCACGCTGATCGATCTCAAACAAGCTCAGATATCATATTAGGCCCATTGCCCATCTTGGGTACTGCAATGTTAAATTCAAACCACATTTGACCTGGCTACTTTTCATGTGTCATCTCTTACTTTCGGTTGTCCTGACCGTAACCCACGCATCCTTCGCCGTTGCTGGTACGCTAAGGTTTCAAATCAAATTGTCAATTCACCCTTCTTACCCCAATAAAATCCAAGTTAAATACTTCATTATTAGTTGCAGAGGCCACTCAAGTACGTGTTTTGTTACATTATTAGTTCTTCCGTCAAGTCTGTGATTTTTTTCGTTAAAAATGAGGGTAAATTCGGAAATTCCATATAATGAAATTCCAATGGAAATCCCTAAATCATTTGTTGGGGTTCGATCAAAGGATTTGGAGTCCGCATATGCTCAGCCTAGAAGAGATTGGAGTTACCTTCAAAGGCGGAGACGATATCGTCGCTGTCGATCTCGGGTAAGACCCACTCCTTCTTGCTCCAAACGCCGGAGCCTTAGAGCCAAGTGGTCTTGCCGACGCGGGAGTCGAATAGGTCGCGCCAATACTTGCCTTCGTAGTTCTTGAGGGCGGCCATGTCGTGCTAGATGTCGAGGAGGCCGTTGGAGTTGGATCGGTAGACGATCTCATAGAGGGAGTAGGACTCCGAGTCGACGGCGGCAGCAGAAGAATGGTCAACGTTGAAGGGGACGTAGTGAGCAGATAAATGGTGGGTGTGGGTTGTGCTGTGGTAGCGGGCTTCGTCGCGACTATTGCAGCAATGGAAGATTGTGTAGGAAGAGATGGTTGTTGATGAATTTCCGAATTTACCCTTATTTTTGACAGAAAATTTAACAGAGTTTGACAGAGGGACTAATGGTGCAACAAAACACGTACTTGAGTGACCTCTGCAACTAATAATTGAATGCAATAACCAAACTGTAACTATGAGTATAGTTAAGGGACCATTACTGCGAATAACCCAAATAAATAAAGGGAAAATCTTTATTTTCCTACTCTGTGTTGGAAAAATATGCAACAATTGGTGGGCCATTTTAGTTTACACGAGCCTTGACTTATTAAATATTCTGTGAACCTGGGATTTCAGAAACGGTTGCCAAGGCATGATTTGTGGGTGGAGTCTCGGCGGGGACCGACCATGGTCAAAGTTTAATGAATTTGCGGCATAAATAACTTCATTGAAAAGATCAATTTTAACATTAGGCACAATATACCATAGTTGATGGGGAATTTTTTTGAGAATTTATCAAAAATAGCCAAAATTTGATCTTTAATTTTAAAAATGTCAGTTTTTGTAAAATATTTCATATATAGCAAAAACCTCACTTAAATAAATACAAATGCCCTCAAATTTAAAACTCGTATAAACCTAAAAAATAAACCTTATTAAATAAAACTTTGGAATATTTTTAACCCACGTTTGTACAGAATAGTAGAAGTTGAAATATATCATCCTATTTATTGATATTTTAATCAATTTAAATTTAGTCTCAATCCAAGCATCACCAAACATCGGTTAAGTGTTATTCAACTTAAGCCAATTCAAGCCAAGACAATTTCTGAAAGTAGTTCATGCCAAGACAATCTTCCGTAACAAACAAGGATGAAGGGACCAACTTGGCAAACGACTGAAAGACTTGTTGCCAGATCAATTGCCCAAGTCTGTTTGAATGACACCATTATTTTGTCTTCGCTGATGGATCAATCTGCTGAGTGTTGAAGCTAATAAGTTTCTTTGGCCCACAAATCAATTCTTTTCTGTGGAAAATTCTTTTGATTTTGTCACTCAAATTGTACAAATATGGTTGTGTGGCTTTTAAAAAGGCAACCTGACGTGTGGGATGGGCTCCAATTTTGAAACTTATTAGCTTCTTTGAGAAGCCGGTGCATCATTTATGCATGCGGGGAACACTCGGTGAATTGATCCATCAGAGAAGACAAAATAATGGTGTCATTCAGACATACTTCAGCAATTGATCCGGCAACAAGTCTTTTAGTCATTTGCCAAGTTGGTCCCTTCAGCCTCGTTTGTTACAGAACATTGTCTTGGCATGAACTATTCTCAGAAATTATCTTGGCCTAAACTAGCTTAAGTTGAATAACACTTAACCAATGTTTGGTGATGCCTGGATTGGGACTAAATTTAAATTGATTAAAATATCAATAAATAGGATGATATATTTCAACTTCTGTTCTTCTGTACAAACGTGGGTTAAAAATTTCCAAAGTTTTATTAAATAAGGTTTATTTTTTAGGTTTGTAAGGGTTTTTAATTTGAGGGCATTTGTGTCTATTTAAGTGAGTTTTTTTGTTATATTTGAAATATTTTACAAAAACTGATATTTTTTAAATTAAGGATAAAGTTTTGGCTATTTTTGAAAAATTCTCAATTTTTTTCATGTCTTGGTCCTAACAAATTATATAATCTAATGATATAAAGCCTTTTATACCGAGAATTTATCAAAAATAGCCAAAACTTGACCCCCAATTTTAAAAATGTCAGTTTTTGTATAATATTTCAAATATAGCAAAAAACTCACATAAACAGACACAAATGCCCTCAAATTTAAAACCCACATAAACCTAAGAAAGAAAACCTTATTAGATTGGGAATCTTTGTACATACATTTGTAGACGTATTCCTGCCCTAGTCAAACAATGAGTGCAATTCTTCCTTGATTCTTCATTCAGTTTCTTCTTCGTATATTCTTCATATGTATATATAAAGCAAAAGGCAGAAAATTATGAAATATTCAAAATACCAGAAAATGTCCTTTATTAATCCAAACATTAAGAATTAAAATTATTAATTAAATGAGGATAATATGGTAAATTCACACATTTTCATATTTAAAAAAATTAAAATTGAAAGAAAAATCAGATAATAAATCCTATTTTTATGGAACACAACTACCTATTATCTTTTTTAATTCTAAAATAAATATATATATTTTTTTTAAAAAGACCTCTTGCAGGCGTAGAAGCGTGTGCGGAGAGGCTAGTACTATATTATATTACATATAGGGTAGACATCCAACAATTTTTTTTTTTTTTTTTTTTTTTTTTTTTTTTTGGTGAAATAAAAAATTGTATATAGTGAATCTGAATTGTGAAGCATAAGAAACATAAGCCAGACTTTTTCCATTCACATCAAGATAAAAGTTTTCTCTGTCTTATTGCACTTTAAACTTCCTTGCCTAACTTCTATGGTTTTTACTTCCCCTTTATATTTAACTTGCATTTTAGGTATTAATATGGAGTTTTAATTACAATTATGGCAGTTAATGAAATGCTTGGAATACATTATAAATGAAATATGAAGTCTGATGGCAACGATGTAAAAACATAGGAATATTATGACATCCTATATCTTACTGGTTATTTAAGTTTAAAATTGAGTTTTACACATAGATTCATAGAATGATGGGTATATGTCTAGGAAATAAAAATTGTAGGGACTTATATTGGACAAACCCTAAATTTTATTAAGAAACCACGAAAAGGCACAACAATACAACAAAAAGTAAAATCCAACCAAGCTCAACAACAAGGATATAATTTTTTAGTGAAAAATGTTGGGAACACTGACTTATATCATGATTTGATTTTTCTTTGACCTACAAATCAATTCTTTTATGTGGAAAATTCTTTTGACTTTGTCACCCAAATTGTACAAATATGGTTGTGTGGCTTTTAAAAGGCAACGTGACGTGTGGGATGGGCTGCCAATTTTGAAACTTATTAGCTTCATTGAGAAGCCAGTGCAGTATTTATGCGTGTGGGGAACACTCGGTGGATTGATCCATCAGAGAAGACAAAATAATGGTGTCATTCGGACAGACTTGGGCAATTGATCCGACAACAAGTCTTTCAGTCATTTGCCAAGTTGGTCCCTTTAGCCTCGTTTGTTATAGAAGATTGTCTTGGCATGAACTATTTTTAGAAATTGTCTTGGCTTGAATTGGCTTAAGTTGAATAACATTTAACCGATGTTTGGTGATGCTTGGATTGGGAATAAATTTAAATTGATTAAAATATCAATAAATAGGATGATATATTTCGACTTATGTTTTTCTGTACAAATGTGGGTTAAAAATATTCCAAAGTTTTATTTAATAAGTTTTATTTATAGGTTTATAAGGGTTTTAAATATGAGGGCATTTGTGTCTATTTAAGTGAGTTTTTTTTGCTATATTTGAAATATTTTACAAAAACCGACATTATTGAAATTAAGGATCAAGTTTTAGTTATTTTTGATAAATTCTCTTTTATACCCTCTATTATAAGATTGAGTGTTAAACTTATTCTTTTCTCACATGGATGTGGCATAGCTTTATTAGGGTAGGGGTTTTAGCTTTAACAGTAGAGCATTTAACCTATCATCATTCGGTCTAATAATATTAGTTTTTATTTCATTAGAAGTTAAACGGTATAGAATTTATCTATATCACTAGTGCTAAGAATAAGTATGTAACTAAATATCTCCTTTTTTTAGGTTTGTTTATAAAAATTAATTGGTATAATATTTATATATAACACTAGTTAAGAATGTATACATATATCTCAAAAAGAAAAAGTATATGGCAGCGTTTGTTTGTGTCATTACCCAGTGGCACTGATGTAAATAGGGTGCATATTTAATGCTGACATACAAGACACATTGCGTATGTGGACCGATTTTTCCACTTTTTTTAGACCTCCAGCTTTTTTGTTCTTTGGACCTTGAATCTGGACTGATTTACGTAAAAGAGGCAATATCATCGTCTCTTAAAGGAATTTTCATCTCAAATTCCTGAAAAGGTCCTTTACTTCTGAAAGACGGTGGAAATTTCAGGGGTTCACACTACTAGGAGGAAAGTAAGTTTGGCAAAGACTGACCCATGTTTGGTGCAGTAGAAAGTCTCCCTTCGTGAATCATGTGTTTTAGTAGAATTATTGTACAGGAGGAGTTGAGGCTATGGCAACAAAGATCAGTTTAGTGAATGAATAAAAATTAAGCTTTTTATCAGTTAATTTTTTTTTTTTTTTTTTTTTTTTTTTTTTGGAATGTCAAAAGATGATTTAGGTTTTTTTATCATAAAACGTCTTTAACATTTACAAAACTATTAGATTGCGTCCTTAAAATTTTTTTGTATCACTCGTAGTCCCTAACTAACATATTACCCTACATGACTTCCATGCATCAAAAATCACTTCCATGCATCAAAATTCCTAGACCCCTTCCATGAAAAGACATAAATTGGTACTAATTTTTCTGTGGCAGAATTCAAAAATATAAATGCTGGAAAAAGGTAGGTTGGTGAATTGTGATAGAAAATATGACATGAAGCAGAGGATAATATAGTCCATTTCATGCCACGATGTCAAATCAGAGTGGCATAGAGAGACAGAGAAGAGACGACGTGAATACATCATGAAGTGGACACGCTTAATTCATAGATTTTGCAATCTTAATGGGTCCCATTGAACTATATATTTGGGATAAATAGCGGGGAACAGCCAATATTTGCAGATCAGCTTTACTTCTCAGAAAAAGCGTAATGGGTCTCACACAAGAAAACTTTTAAGTGCACTGCAAAAATAAAGGGGCCAATAGTCCCTCTCTTGTCGCTAACTAATTGGTATTGGTGACAATTGAATTGTTGGTCAATGCTTTTGTTTACTCATCACTATTATTTGTGACTACTCTCAAATTCAGGGGTTCACACTAAAAAGGCAATTTACTTTTGACGAACGCTGGAAATTTCAGGGGTTCACACTGTAGTTCACTAGGAGGAAAGTAAGTTTCGCAAAGACTCGCCCATGTTTGGTGCATTAGAAAGTCTCCCTTCGTGAATCATGTGTTTTAGTAGAATTATTGTACAGGAGTTGAGGCTGTGGTAAACGATTATAAATACACAATTAATGCTTGTATCTTGAGATATCAAACAAGCATATATAAAGAGTCTTTGAACTTCCTATAATTTACTCAACCTTAAAATCTCATAAAATAAAAAAACCCAAAACACTCAAAACAAAAGGGTAAAACTGAAAATTAGTACATTAAGTAAACGCAAAAATAGCACAGTTGGCAATAGGGATGGCAAGGGGTCGGGTAGGGGTCGAGTATGACAATACCATTCCCATCCCCGCTCTCCATCCCCACTCCCGTCCCCGAGCCCATCCCCGTTAAATAGGTTTCGAGGAATCCCTGTACCCGTCCCCATTGGGGGACTATCCCCTATACCCACTCCGAGTCCTCGATTTTTTTGAAAAAAATATTTATCATACATTTTAAATTAAGTTTCATATTAAATTATTATTCAACACATCCAAATTAACTATAAAGTTCAACTCAACTATTCAAAATCACATCAATTCACTTTGACAAATATATATATATATATATATAATCCAAATCTTAATCATGTCATCTTACAAATTTTGGAATCTCACAAAAATAAATAAGTCTACAACTTAATAAAAAGTAAGCACAAACATTATAATTATAAGCATATATTAGGAACAATTAGGAGAGGGAGTTTAACTTAGGGTTAAACATAAATGTTATAATTATATATTTATTTATTTGTGTATAAACATATATATTTTCGAGTCTGGTTCGGGGACGGGGACGCCAATACTATCCCCACCCCATACCCATCGGGGATTTTTTAAGTTCAGGGATCTCCGTACCCGATACCCGTTTTGCCCCTAAATCTCCCCTCGTTAGGGCCGGGGACCCAACGGGGATTTTTTCCATCTCTAGTTGGCAATAAGTTTTTTTTTGGGCGATTCACTATTATACCTAATATAGGGGTCCATATTATTAAAAAAACTCAACATGAAATGGATTTTAGAAACACACTTAAAGCCCATTTACGATATAACAAAGATTTTGAACTTTTGTTAAATTATAAAACTGCCATCGATTTCTTAAAACAAGTTCTACCCCAAAACCTCATAAAGAAACCCAAAACACTCAATAGAGCATTAAAATAATTTAATAATCAAAATTAAATGTAATAGGGTCAGTTGTCAATTTTTGGGTTTGTTTATAAAAATTAAATGGTGTAGGATTAATCTATATCACTAATACTAAGAATGAGTATGATTGTTTTTTTTAGATTTGTTTATAGAAATTAAATGATATAATATTTATCTATAAGACTAGTATTAAGAATGTATACATATATATCTCAAAAAGGAAAAGTATATGGCAACGTTTGTTTGTAATGTATCATTATTACCCAGTGGCATTGATGTAAATAAGGTGCATATTTAATGCTGACATACAAGACTCATTGTGTATGTTTTTTTTTTTTTTTTTTTTTTTTGCTGGAAATCAATACCAAGGCGCAAAAAGCGCAAGCAAATACAGAAGCAGGAGTCCAATTAGGAGGGGACTACAAGCACGCATACATCACAACCAAAGACCAATTAAGATACAAGATAAAGCAGAAATGCCAGATAAAGAAAAGAAACAGACGGTGCCATAGATGGGCAGAGGACGTCGAAATCTAATCTAGCATTCCTCAAGTGCTGTGAATTGGGGGGCAAGGAAGACCATCTTTGTCCAAGATTCCAATCAAAGAGGATGGGGGTCGGTTGACCCAAATAGAAAGGCTCATCCTCGACAAAGCTAACTTGGCTAAGTGATCTGCTGCCAAGTTTACGGTCCTAGGGACCCATGACCAGTTACAATCCCGAAAGGTAGAGCAAGAGTTCCTGATGCTACGAAGGATTGGATAGAGCTGCCACCTACCTCTTGGGATTGAACGATTTAGGCAAGATATGGCCTCCTTGGAATCAGATTCAATGACTACTCTAGTGTGCCCTTGTTGGATGGCAAAATTACACCCTTCCATAATAGCCAGAGTCTCCGCTTCGATGGTACATTCTGCTTCAACAGAGCAAGCAAGGCCAGCAGCAAAAGCTCCACTAGAATCACGTAATACCACTCCAATACCTGCCAAATGAAGCTCTGGTTTCCAAGAAGCATCCACATTAATTTTTACGACACCATTAGCAGGAGGGGACCAAAATTGGGGGGGTTGAGCCATAAGAACAGGGGATCTGCGAGTTGCATTTTTCAAGGCTTGAGCATTAAGGTAGCTCCTACAAGCGGCCTGAGATTCGTAGATTACCGCCATTGGTGATAGTGGGTGAGATTCGATAGCCATCTTGCATCGCATTTTCCAAATGTACCAGCACATGTAACCAACACTAGTCATGATGTTGTCCTTGTCACCCGAATTTTCCTTCAAACTCAAGGAGAGGGATAAAAGCCATTTATCAAAAGTGGTGATAGTTCCTTTGTCAATTCGCAAATTTAGATAGCTGCCAAACCAGATAGGCTCTACCCAGTTACAAAGAAGCAACAAATGTTCAACAGATTCGCTTTCGTCACCACATATGGGGCAACAAGGAGACGTCCCAATTTTCCTCCGGAAGAGATTAGCCTTTGTAGCAAGACAGTTCCTCAAGGCTCGCCAAAGAAAATTTTTGATTTGTGGGGGAGCAATTAAATTCCAGATTAGCTTCCAGACATCTTTATCACAGGACAAAGAAGAAGAAGGATTTCGAGGTCGCCTTCTGCAAGAAGTTTCATGAAGTGTGTGATACCCAGATTTTACTGTATAATCCCCTGTTTTTGTTTTAGGCCAGACCAAGCGATCATCTTCACCAGAAGGAGTAAGGCGAATCTTTTGAATAGCATGTGCTTCATTGTCAGTGATTAAGTGCCGAATCAGCCCTAGGTCCCAAGTGTTTGTTTGGGGGTTGATGATATGTTGAACCCGCTGATTAGCATCCGCCAGAGAATTAGTTCTTGGAGTAAGACGCATGTTGAGAGTAGATGGTATCCATCTATCTTCCCAAATCTTAACAGAACCACCATTCGAAACCTGCCAGAGAGCCTTGTTCTTTATCAAATCTCTCCCTTGCAATAAGCTTGCCCAAGCCCAAGAGGCACGTCCCCCTTTTTTTGCTTCAAGAAAAGTAGTATTAGGAAAATATCTAGCTTTAAGAGTTTGAGCCCACAAAGAATCAGGATCATGTACTAATCTCCAACATTGTTTTGCAATCAGGGCTAGGTTGAACTCATGAGTATTTCTGAAACCCAAGCCGCCATCCCTTTTTGATTTACCAAGAGATTCCCAACTCATCCAGTGAACCCGTCGTCTGTCACCAGTTTGACCCCACCAAAATCTTGCAAGAATTGAATCAATCTCCTTGCAAAAAGTGAGGGGGAACAAGAAGATTTTCATTGGATATGTAGGGACAGCCTGTGCCACAGCTTTTATTAAGACTTCTCGACCAGCTTGTGAGAGGAGTTGTTGCTTCCACCCATAAACTTTGCAAAGAATCCGATCTTTTATGTAGGATAATGCATTTTTCTTGGCCCTCCCCCAAACGGTTGGCAAGCCAAGGTAATTTCCAGGATCCTCAACCTCAGGCATGCCAAAGATATTACACAAGCTCTCACGCAAATGCATAGGAGTATGAGGACTGAAAAAGAGGGTGGATTTGGAGAAATTCACCTGCTGTCCGGATGCATAACAATAGGCGTTGAGGAGCATGACCAAATTTTTGCAATTATGTGTGGAGGCCTTTAGGAAAATCAATGTATCATCCGCAAACATAAGGTGGGATAAAGTGGGAGCCCTATTACCCATCTTAATACCCTGCAAGAGCTCATTAGAAACAGCACTTCGTATCAATGAGGAAAGAACATCACTTACAATCAAAAAGAGATAAGGCGAGATTGGATCTCCTTGCCTTAGAGCAACTCCACCCATTTGCCCTTAGCCATGGCAAGGGGGGGAGCTAGGGCAGCCACTATTCACGTGAATAGTGGTTGCCCTTGCAAAATCCGAATTTTGTGTTTCCACCCGTTGCCCTTGCTAAGGGCAGTTACTATTCATTTTTTTGTTTTATTCACAACTTTTTTACCTCAATAATTAATTTGGATAATATTTTCGGATAAGATTTTCGGGTTCCTACGTGTCAATACTATTCATATCTCATAATCGGATAAAATTTTCAATTTCAAATTTCAGATAAATTATAAAAAAAAAGGCTGGTATTTATAGAAAAAAATTCATTAATTTTTTGGTATTTTTTAAAAAAATTTCCGAATTTTTTCCAGTATTTTATTGCAAAAAAATTGGCTGCCGTTGGATTGGAGGAAAAAATCAGATCGGAGAGCCCAGACGACGCCACGTGGCAACAGGAAAAAAAATCAAATCAGCGAGGTACTGTAGCGGTACTGTAGCGTTACTGTAGCAGATACTGTAGCGCTACAGTAACCCCCCTCGTTTTGGACCTCGGGCAGGACTTGCCTTCGGGCCAGCCCGAGGAGGTGGGTCCCACACCCCCCCCGGGCCTGGGCTGCTCCGCTGGAAGGCCATTTTTTTTTTCCCCCTAGCCTGGGGCTGGGCTGCATGGGTGGAATAGCTCTTAGACCTCTGGATGGTTTGAACTTGTGGCCTGGCTGCCCATTAATAAGCACAGAGAGCTCAACTGACCTCACACAACTCATGATAAGATTAACCCAAGATTCCGCAAAACCCATTTTTAGCATCACTGCTTCAAGAAAGTCCCATTCCACCCTGTCATATGCTTTATTCATGTCTAATTTCACCCCCAAGTCGAAATGCTTCTTTGACTTTTTAAGTTTCAGATAATGGAAAATCTCATGGGCAATAATGAGGTTGTCCTGTATTTGTCTCCCTGGTATGAATGCATTTTGGCTAGAGGAAATAATGGCAGCCATGTGAGGTTGAAGTCTATTTGCCATGACTTTGGACAAGATTTTATAAGAGAAATTACACAAGCCAATAGGCCTGAATTGAGAAACAGACTCAGGGTTGGGAATCTTAGGGATCAAGGCAATGTGAGTGAGGTTTAAAGGCATTGGGGAGGAAGTTCCCCTCAAGAAATCAGCAGCAATCCCCTGAACATCATTGCAGATCGTTTCCCAATAAGAGTGATAGAAAATACCAGGAAAACCATCAGGCCCAGGTGCCTTTGTTCCTCCCATTTGAAAAACAGCATCTTTAACTTCTTGAACAGTAATTTGTGAACATAATTCCACATTTGCTTCATCACTTACCACTGGAAGAACACAGTTGAGAATGTCCCCCCAATCACGAGTGCCTCCTGAGGTGAAAAGGTCTTTGAAATAATTATCCACCACGTGTCTAACCAAGATTGGAGTCTCCACCCAAAGGCCATCGCTGTTTTTTATTCGGTGTATGTGATTCATACGCCTTCTTTGGATAGTTGTTTGATGAAAAAAAGCTGTATTGGCATCACCTTCCATGAGCCATTTTATGCGAGAGCGTTGTTTCCAGTAGGATTCCTCATTCTCCAACAAGGCATTGATCCTTGCTGTGAGATGTTGGATCTCTATGACATTATCCTCCCAGTTCTCTTGCAAAATCTCAAGTTGAGGAATGAGCTGCTGCACCTCCAGATGGTCTTTTTGAAATTTCTGTTTGCTCCACTGCTGGAGTTGGTTCCTACAATTGTTCAACTTGTGCTGCCACAACCGAATCCAAGGACCCGTTATAGATGTTTACCAGCTTCTTTCTACAAGATCATAACTCTCATCCTCCTTAGCCCAATAAGCCTCAAATTTGAAGAGTTTTTTGCATATGTATCTCTTGGGATCAGTGTTGATGATTAGAGGGCAATGATCTGAGCCTAGAACCGCACCATGAGATACAATTGTGTTAGGCCAAACTGATTGCCATGTGGCATTTGCCAAGGCACGATCAATCCTTTCCTGGATAAGATCCCCATTTCGAGCTCTGCCTCTCCAAGTGAAGCTTGGGCCATTGAAACCAAGATCAAATAAAGACATTTTGGTCATGAAATTGTGGAGGAATCTAGGTCGGTTGTGAGAGGCAACAATTACACCTCGCTTCTCATGAGACCACAAATATTCATTGAAATCCCCTCCACAGAACCAGGGCATCGTGGTTGGGATCAGAGAATTCTCCATCCAGTGCCAAAAAACATTCTTATCTTCTCTGTATGGTGTTCCATACACCCAAGTGAAGTGGGCCTTGTCTCCTGTGTTCATAACTTGAAATTGAGAGCATATAACATTTGACGAGGAAGATAAAATCTCTACCTCTACGGACGTGTCCCACCAAAGACTTAAACCACCTGCCCTTCCAACTGGAGCCACATCAAAGCCCTTACAAAATCCCAATCTTTTACGTAAGCCTTCTAACCTGCTGCTTCTCATTTTGGTCTCCATGAGGAAGACAGCAGTGGGTCTATTTCTTCGAATGAGCCCATGAAGAGCTCGAACTGTCAGGTCAGACCCAAGACCCTGACAGTTCCACATTATGAAAATCATTGAGACCTTGCGGCTGTTGCAGGCCAGCCGCCATCGCCCTGGGATTCATGTCCCATTCCATCTTTGATTGCCTCGTTCTCTGTCTGGTTCCACTCCTTGGCCTGCTCCACCGTAACATCTCTGAGATTAGCCTCATCAAGAACCCCTCCCTCTGTCACCGTTAATCTCTTAGCTACCCTTCTAGTTGGCTTCATAATTTTGTGATTTCTTCCTCCTGAGGTTCCAGTGCCTCCAATTTTCTTCGTTTTCTTCTCAGGGGATTGAGTGGAGATAGGGAGATCACATCCTGCACTTCGCTTAAGTCCCATTGTAAGCATGGCACCTGCGTGTAATGTCACCCTTGCAGGGCAACCCTTATTTGTTAAGCCCCTTGTTGCTTCTAGGCCTGATTGACTTATAGGCCCATAAACAGATGCAGATGGGTTTTGCTCTTCAAGTGAATGAGATGCACTTGGGTCACCTTCTCTTCTAGGCCCAAATGGGGTAGCTTGTTCTCTTTCATAATGCACATGTCCCAATAACAGAGCTGGTCTCGGGGCTCTATTGTACATCCCACTACCCAAGTTTAATGGTTGTGATTGGTCATTGTCACTCCCTGCAAGAATCACAGTGTCTCGATTGCCCACCTGTTGCAACGTTCCATACCTTGTACTCTGTGATAGTCCCATCTGACTTTGCTGCCTGACAGAGTCAGTTCCCTGGTTCGATGTGATCACCCCCTCTTCGCGCGTGTAGCTGCCACGCTCCATCTCAAAGGTTTGTGTGCAAGGTCGAACAGTGCTGGCCCTGCGTCTTTCCCTGGTGGGAACCATCGCTGGTTTTGGTTGATCATGCATCTCTCTGATGATTCTAGCTCTCGTCCAAGTTCCATATGTGGCTGAGCCCTGGGGGGTTTGCTCAAATCGACAGTCATTATTGAGATGACCAATTCTCCCACACTTGTAACACAGATCAGCCAACCGTTCATATTGGAACTCAACCCATGTCTCCTTCCCTTCCACTCGTTGGAGCCAAAATCCTGGAACAAGAGGGTTGGCCGTGTTGACTAAAACTCTCACCCGTAGGTATCCCCGAGCTTGGATTGGACAATCATACTCAAGAACGTCACCAGCCTTGTCACCAAGTTTTTCAATATTCTCCTTTGTGCACAAGTTGAGGGGGACACCCCTTATTTGAACCCAGAAGGGAACCAGCCCCACATTCACTTCCTCAATGGCAAGGTCCATTGGCCATCGCTTAACAGAAAAACATTGCTTCGCGACAGACCAGGGACCATTGTTGAGAATCTTGGTAGCCATATCTTCATCTTGCACAGTGATAGAGAACAAATTGTCCTGCACCCATGTGATTCTTGCCTCACCAAAATCCTTCCAGGCAGATCTTAGAATATTCTTTATGGCACCACGGTTTGGCATTTTTTCTGCGATGACTGCCCCTACCAGCTTGGGGCCCTGTTCCAGACTTGATAGGCCAAGAGATCCCTCTAATTGGACCACAAGGTCGTCAGTCGCGCTTGTTGCCATCAGGACAGTTGAGAGAGTTGGATTGTTGTATTGGTAACAAGGGAAAGCGTTGCCCGTCTGCTTTGTGGTGGACCAATAAAAGGCTACTAACTCTTTGTAAGTGCTCAGATGTGAGAAAGATTTGAAGACTTGAACGAGGATTAACAGTATTTGAAGTAGCCATAGGAGATTTGGGTTATAAAATTCTTTTGCAATAAATAGAGTCGTACAATTCTTTTGCATCCAGGGACTTAAAGCTTGTTTGGGGGTAGTTGAAGCCATACTTAGTGAAGTGGGAGGCACAGGTTGGTGGGGGAATTTATGAGGGAATTGGGGGAGCAATAAAGGGTATTGTAGTGGGACAATAATGGCCAACCACAAGCCAGTGAGGGTTGAAAAGGAGTAAATGATTCAGGAGAGTGAAGGCTTAGAGAATCGGAAAGGGATTTGGGGAAGAAGGGTAGCAATTAAAGCTAGCTCTCACTAGGGAGAGAGGAAGCTCTCACAGAGGAGAGGGGGGCTCTCACAGAGGAGAGAGTTATCACACCCTGTAATTAATTTGGTGGTGTCGCAGACTCATTGTGTATGTATGTGGACCGATTTTTCCACTTTTTTAGACCTGCCGATTTGTCAATGCCCCTGATAATAGTTATTCAGAAATTCAAAATGCTAAATATTCCTGAAAAGACGGAGGAAAGTAAGAGGCAACATCATCATCTCTTAAAGGAAGTTTCATCTCAAATTCCTGAAAAGGTAATTTAATTACTTCTGAAAGACGGTGGAAATTTCAGGGGTTCACACTACTGGGAGGAAAGTAAGTTTGGCAAAGACTGACCCATGTTTGGTGCAGTAGAAAGTCTCCCTTCGTGAATCATGTGTTTTAGTAGAATTATTGTACAGGAGGAGTTGAGGCTATGGTAACGATTATAAATACACAATTAATGCTTGTATCTTGAGATATCAGACAAGCATAGAATTATTGTACAGGAGGAGTTGAGGCTATGGTAGGTAACGATTATAAATACACAATTAATGCTTGTATCTTGAGATATCAGACAAGCATATATACTTCACCAGTTTTATCTTTGTCTCAATACTTGTGCTTCTTCGTCTTCATCATGACTCTAACTACCATGGTTGGAGTAAGGTGCTGCTTCAAACTCCTCTGTGCAATTGTCGTGCTCATTTTACTACACATGAACAATCCTTGCATTGGATGCAGCGAGAGGGAAAGGCAGGCACTCCTTGCGCTTAAACAAGGTCTCGTGCCTGCATACACCTTCGTCGATCCCTTCCTTTCCTGGGGAAGAGAAGCCCAAAACAAAGATTGCTGCCAATGGAATGGAGTCCACTGCAGCAACCAAACTGGCCATGTTGTTCAGCTTGAACTCCATGATGTGCAAGGTAAGATTAGTCCTAAACTCATTGAGTTGCAGCATTTGGAATATTTGGACCTTAGTTTCAATAATTTCAGTGAGAGCCAAATTCCAGATTTCATTGGATCTCTGAGCAATTTAAGACACCTCGATCTCTCTTACGCAAATTTTGGAGGTGTAATTCCATATCAACTTGGAAACCTTACAAACTTGGAATTTCTCTATCTTGGATGTCAAGATTATCCTTCTCGCTCTATTTATGCAAAAAATCTGTATTGGCTTCCTAATCTTTCTCGTCTAAAATACTTGGACCTAAGTTTCGTTAATCTCAGTGATGTTGTTGGTTGGCTGGAAGCAGTTAATATGCTTCCTAAACTAACAAACTTGGCATTACGGGAGTGTAATCTTCCTCCTCCAGTTATATCCTCTGTTTCTCTCTTGAATTCTTCTAAATCTCTTGTTGGTGTCGATCTCTCCGAAAACAATCTTAACTCATCAATCTTCCAATTGTTGCCCGGTCCTCATCCCAACCTTGTTTATCTTGATCTCTCGGAAAATAAATTGAGTGGAAGAATACCTGAAAGTATTGGACAGATGTCCAATCTTGTTGATCTTGATCTCTCGGGAAATAAATTGAGTGGAAGAATACCTGAAAGTATTGGACAGATGTCCAATCTTGTTTATCTTATTCTCTCGGAAAATAAATTGAGTGGAAGAATACCTGAAAGTATTGGACAGATGTCCAATCTTGTTCATCTTGATCTCTCGAAAAATAAATTGAGTGGAAGAATACCTGAAACTCATTTCTCGAAACTCCCCAAATTATGGTTTTTGGATTTATCCTCTAACTCACTAGTTTTAAACTTCAGTTTTGATTGGGTTCCTCCCTTTCAATTGCGTGAGATAAGATTGGGGTCTTGTAAGATGGGGCCGTATTTCCCGGAATGGCTTCGAACTCAGAAAAGTTATGACCTGCTGGATATTTCTGATGCTGGAATTTCTGATACCATTCCAACTTGGTTTTGGGATTTGCCAAATGACATTGTGTATAAGGATTTGTCTCGCAATCAAATTAGAGGAAATTTGAGTTCAGAGCTGGCATATAATCATTTAAATGTGAGTTGGAACCAATTGGAGGGTCCAATCCCTTCAATCCTATCAAACGTATCAATTCTAGATCTGTCCAATAATAAATTTTCAGGGTCAGCTTCATTATTGTGCACAAGTACAACCGAGAAGAGTAATTTAGAATATCTTGATCTCTCAAGCAACCATTTATCCGGAGATCTTCCAAACTGCTGGATCCATTTTCAACAATTAGTCTTTCTTGATTTGAGCAACAACTTTTTATCTGGGAAAATTCCTACCACGATGGGATACTTGTTTAGTATCGAGACACTAAAACTAAATAATAACAGATTCGTCGGAGGGTTGCCTTCACAATTGAAGAATTGCATAATGTTGACACTTCTTGATGTTGGGGAAAATAAATTGTCAGGATTAATACCTGAATGGCTAGGGGAAAATCTTCTAAATTTGGCTATCATTATCCTTCGATCTAATCAGTTTTATAGGAGCATCCCGCCACAGTTATGCCATCTTACACACCTTCAAATTTTGGATTTGTCGATGAACAACATCTCTGGAACTATACCGAAATGTCTCAACAATTGGACTACTTTGGCTCAAAAAGGAACGTCAACTCTAACTATGAAACATGTGATCCGTTCTCGGACTATATAGATGAAGAATATGTAACATGGAAAGGATTAAGGTCTAAATACAAAAATACTCTGGGACTTTTAAAGAGTATTGATCTCTCATGCAATAAGTTGAGTGGTGAGATTCCTACTGAAATCACTTATCTTGTTGGTGTGGTTTCTTTAAACTTGTCGAGAAACCAATTAACAGGTCAAATACCTTCAAGGATTGGAAATTTGGAGGAGTTGGATTCTCTTGATTTATCAAGAAACCAGATAAATGGCAGAATTCCAACAAGTCTTTCTTGGATATATCGTATTGGTTACTTGGACTTGTCACAAAACAACTTGTCTGGAAAAATTCCAATAAGCACTCAGCTCCAAACCTTTGTCTTTGCTTATGGTGGAAATCCTCTGCTTTGTGGAGAACCACTCCTAAGGACATGCTCCGAGGAGGAAAAAGGTCCAGGACAACCAGTGTTGGTGAATGAAGACGATAAAGATGGGCTCATAACACAAGGATTTTACATCAGCATGGGGCTTGGCTTTGCTGTTGGATTTTGGGGAGTTTGCGGCACTCTTTTGCTCAACAGGTCATGCAGATATGCGTACTTCAATTTTTTGACATTTCTGAACGATTGGCTGTACGTGAAGGTAGAAATCATCAGACAAAGGATCCTTAATAAATAAAAGGTAATTACTATTATCTTTCTTACATACTAGTTATGAAATTAAATTATGCAAGTTAGTTGTTCTTAACCCCGAATATACATGCAGATATTACATAACATAAGAAATGAAAACTAAAAACTAAAATTGAAATAATTATCAAACGGGCCCTTAGTTTATGTGATTTATCTTTTTCAATTTTATGGGTTGTTTAACCTTTGTCTTTAGCGCAGGCACCTTTGAGATGACATGCTTCCCTTCAGTTGAAGATGGATGCGATGAAGGACTCCTATTTGTACTAGTTTTCGAGTATTTGAGTGATGATAAGGGATCTCACTGAAATAAAGGAACCATTTTAGTAGATTAGTTGTGCTGTTATTTGTAAGAACTTAATGGGAACTTCTCCCATGAACTATTTGGTATGATGTTCTTGTGTACCTCATGGTGTATGTTTTTTTCTTTTGCAATGTAGGAAATGTGGACGCAGAATTGCCTTTTATTGTATTATTGTTATGAATAAAACAATGGAATTTGAGTTAACATATGTCATTATCTTTCGTTTGTGTAAGAAAGAAAATACTTGTCTTAAAACCAAAGAAAAGAGAAATAGATGATACACTGGGCGTGCTCAAGTTTGCTGTATTCTACATTGGGCAATAAAGTATCTCAGTCTCATAAACACAAGCAAATGGCAATAGAAATGAAGCAGGTAAAAACAGAGCAAAAACAGGGGAGAGGATATTGCTCTCGGCACTAGCTTTTCTATTTATACAAAAAGATGTACATATTAATAACAACACTAGGAAATTAATTTGAACAACTTGTGCACTAATTCATCAAAAGTCATGAAATGTAAAAAAAGAAAAAGAAATTACGCTTCTTTAGAATCAAGGTTTCAATGGAGCCAATTGCAAGAGATAGCGCTTATTAAGTAGGAAGTAAATTTTTATGGATTGGCTATGAGATGTGCTTTATGACAAATGAAAATTGCAGAAGTGAAGCTTCAGAAGGAACTATACAAACAAGTGACAGCAGAAACAGTTTCCGGGAAAAAGATGTAAAGAATGTACCACAATTTGCACTGGTGGGTGCTTTGGATTTAGATTTGGACCGATCGTTCGTGACGACGACCACCATGAGGAGGGTGAGGAGAAGGCAGAGAAGTCGAAATCTTAATGAAAGCAAAGATATGATATAGGCATCAGAAGTCAAAAGATACCTTTATAATGTTTTATCCTTTTCTTTCCCTCTAGCCTCCAATTGTAGGAGTTTGCATTGAACCAACCCGAGGCCTATGAAATAAAGATTGGCGATCAAGTTTTTTGAAGGCCTGGAGATCCTCCTTTGGAGGAAGTTGTTGAGAAGCTCCATAATGAGAAAAATAGAGTGGAGAATGATCGTCCAGCAGAGAGCAATGTTATGTTTTCTTATTTAGATCGGTGCACTAGATACTAAGTCATATCAGGTTTAATAAGAGTTTAAATTAAGTTGTACCTTGAGGCCCAAAACCTAGTGAAATAAGGAAAGATTTTGAGGCCTACTAAGAGGTCCTATTTATTTCCATTTATGCGTGAACCGATTAAGTGGGCTTGGAAGATAAGTCAAGTCGGCCGTCGGTGATGAGTAGAGGTGACTTGACCTAGCCCTATATAAGCTAAAGACCCTGCTTTCATCAGACACGTTCTCTAAACCTATTCTCATCAAAAAGAGAGAGCTGAAATAGATTCTGAGAGAGAGCAGAAGTCTTGAGCCGTTCCTGTTTTGCTAGGATTGCTGCTGCAACGGATTGGATGAATTCAGAAGCTGTGTACTCAAGGAAGATGGCTCCAGGTATGTCTTCATGCCTTTACACGTATTACAGGTTGTGTGTAAGATGTAGAACATGCATATAAAGAATCTAACAAGCAATAGGCATTTGAAAGAGGAACTGTAGCTATACTTCTAAGTTTTCTGACATGCAATATAATAACCATTTTTGTAACTCCATAGCAACCTCCACTCGGAATATTCATGTATTACCATTCAAGTTGATTTTAGGCTGCTGATGAAGCCCACGGATATGCGAAATGACAATTTTAGACATGATTATTTATCGAGATTCTGTTTTTATCTATTTATTTTAATGGAACCAGTGCATAAAAACTGCTCAAGAGTAGGCCATCTATTTACCATTTTCTCACATGTGCGGGATATCCCAGTTAGTCACCTGCAGGTGTAAAAGGTAAGTATTTCACCATTGATTAGAATGAAAACCCAGAAGCAAATTCAATAATACTCAGCTTCTTTGTTTGAAAGGAGACAAATTCTGTTCAACAGATCACAACAGAGGAAGTACATAAAATTTCTGACTGTAAGATTCTAAGTCTCTGACAACGAAGTTTGTTGTTTGCATTTTAAATGAATTAATACATTCACAGCTGGATAGGGAATAAGAAGAAGAACAGTATGAAAAGAAGCTACTTCAACTTCTTACTGAAGTCAGAAAGCTCAAGGATCCGAATCCTGGGAATTGTAGCTGCCTCCTCCCTCTCCTTCTGTGAATTGTACCCCCAATCACCTGATCCAATTCATCCCAAATTAGCAACCGCAGCAAATGAGTACCACATTGAAGCATATATAGCAATATAAATAGACAAGTTAAAGAGTGTGTTTGATAAGGGTAAAGGGAGAATTTTACCTAGATACAAATTCCAACCATCCAATTCAGGTTCTTTGATCACATTCTTTAGGGTTGCCAGTCGATCTTCGACAAAGCTGGTCAATGTTGAACGTATATTATCGAAAATTCTGAGCATTTAGTATCTTATTAAAAAAAAATTCAAATAAGAAGCAGAAAGTATCTTACTGCAGTTTCAGCCCCCGATGATCTGGTTTCTTTTGAAGCTGCTTCAATACGTCTACCTTGGGACTGGAAGAGGAATTCAATACATAAGGGTAAAGTTCCACATTAGGGAAAACCAACCGCAGGTATAAGTACCAAAACAATCTAACACAGATTGAAATAAGTTAATTTCCACTAACCCACTTCCAAGACCAAATATTCTTTCAGGCGGTATTGTAACTCCTGCAAGTTCTCGCAGTAAAGCATCAGCAAATCGGCTCTGCAATAGGTGAAAGAAGAACAGGAAATAAGAAAGTGAGAGAATGACAAAGGGGAAAAGTTTACATTTACAGCAACCACAACATTTTCAGTCTTTAATTGGATTGTTTCAGAAACAGAAAACAAAGATACTTACACCTGTTTTGTGGTGACAATGTATATGGTTGAGCTTGCAAATTTTATAGCATCAGGAACACCTGGATATAATCTGCAAGAAAATTATCTCCTACTTAGATATGCATTGAGCCCTCCCAGTCCCAACAAGTTTGAGAAGAGACTAAAATCATGTTAAGGGGTTTTTTTTTTAAATCACAAAACGTCCATGACGTTCATGTTAACCCCGCATAAAGGATTAATAGTTTCGTGAACCACATGGACGTTTCGAGATAAAAACCCTTATGTTAAACAAGAATAAATTAAATCTGAAATCAAACAACCTTAAAATGCTTTTGTCTTTTGTATATGAATAAATGGCTCCTTTGCAAGAAAAGTCTGAATTGGATACCTATTTGCACCAATCCAAGTTGTTAGGTCCTCATCCATCCACTCATCCCTGACCTTCCCAAAAAGATTAATAAGAGCATTCCTCTCCTCACCCCACTCTTCCATATTCACAGGCTTCAGCTCTGACCACTTCTCCAATATCCCCTCCACTATAATCCCTTCCGCGACCGATGACTTTCGTATAGAAGGTATTCTCGCCTCCAGCAGCAACCTCACAAGTAGCAGATTCTCATATCCAGTTTCCAACACAGGCCTCACCTGCCACATCATAATTCATTATTCCAACACGGGTTAACGTCTGACAGTCTAAAATGTTATGTTAACATACAGTAAATAACGATATGGAGGACCTACTATGTGCATCTGCTCAACAACCCAATCCTCCAAAGTTGAATCCACGCCGTTGAATAGACTTGGCCATCACACGTTAGCAGCCTACGCATAACCACCATTCAAACAAATTGAACAATCAATTAAGCAAATATTTTCTAGCTTGTGAAAATGTGCAAACACAAAACACAACCTTCACAGCAGAGAGGGAGCTCTCTCCACAGCTAAATCCAAAGCACATAAATCCCCCATTTCCTCTCTCTCTCTCTCTCTCTCTCTCTCTCTCTCAGTGGTCTGCAGTTCGTTTAATTTTCTCGACGGAGGTCTTTAAGTAGTGGTTGGTTATTCTCCGCATCTTTTGGATGGGCTTTTACTGGGCTGGGTGGAGGCCCAATCTTCATAGACGACATGCCGTATGTGCAGACTATCACTATCTTATCTTTCTTTAAAATTTGAAACGACAAGGGAAAGGTTTGAGGTGTCACGCTGGCACCGCAATGATTGAGTATGGTGGAGGTCTATTTTAATATTTGCAACCCACTTCCTTTGTTTTCACTTCCATTCCATCATTGCCATATCCATCAGCTTATTATGAAAAAAAAAAAAAAAAAAAAAAAAGAAATGAAAGCTAATGCTTCACTTGCATTTTCCCCACCCATTTGTTAACTCATTTTGGATAATCAACTATAGTAACAAAGATTAACATTGGGTTAGGTCAGTTGGCCATAATAGTGAACCCGTATTCTTACATTAATGATGAGCACATAAATTATCATGTTTATTATCCCTAAATATATTTGTTAGTAATTGATTTTCTTACAATTTTAGTTAATTAGGAATGTTTTTCACTTATTCACTTGCTTACATACCAATTACATAATTGATGATGATTTCATTAGTTTATCTTAAGGTTGAAAAAGATCATTGGATGCTAGTAGGCAAATGGTAGCAAGAAAAGAATTGAAAAGAATGCAAGATGCACCATCCGGCCAAAGAGAAGAGAAATGCATGTAAGTGCATGATAAAGTGTTCAAGTGCGAGAAATTAAAGAAGAAAAGCAATACAATATGTATGCAACAACCAATGAAACAAAAAGATGAAGAATTTGGAGAATGGAGTCACCAACACTATGGAATAAGTAAAGGAAGCAAATTGGCAATTGGTTTGATGGCAAGTGGAAGACATATTAAATTCATGAATGGAGGGATTTGATGAAAAAAGAATTGCTCCCATTCTCCTATAAATAGGAGGAGCTACGGCATTGTAAAAACACACCAAGCTCCACAACTCTTGAGCTCTCTCTCTTTCCTCTATCTTTCTAGTTTTAAATTTCTGTTTTAAGTTTTATTTTATGGGAACTGACTCCCTAGCCTTAGCTAGGGAGAAAGCTTTTAATATGAGTGTGTAATTTTTATTAGTTTGATCCAAATTAAGCTTTAATATGAATTTGTAGTTTTTGTTCAAATGGAATTTGTAATTTTCTTTTTAATTAATTGATGAATGTTTGATAATCTATTTCATGGGTTCAATCATGTTTTTTCCATTGTGTAGTAAAAACTTTCAAGCTTTTAAAAGAGAAGAGAATTACCAAAGATTAATAGAATTTTGATGAAGATTATTTTTTTGATAGTTTGTTGCCAATGGTACAAGTTATGCTTAAAATACTTCTAAAGGAAATTAAAAAGAGCTTTAATTATTTTGAACAACTACAATGGAAAATATTTTGAGGATCAAATTATTAAGAGTTGCATGCTTATGTTAAAAGTGGAACCCCAATGCCTTAGTGTTAATCAATTGAATTTTCTTTAAATCAAATCTTGCTTAAATCTACTTCTCTATCACAATTGTTCTTTTTCAGCTTTGTTTTTTTCTTTACACCGCTCTCTGTGGATACGACACTCGGAATTCCGAACTACACTGCTATACGACACCTCCCCTTGGGTTTTGCAAAGTGATACTAACAATTAATTAGTATATATATACCTAAATATGTAATGAGAGCGTATAAACAGTTATAGAGGGTTTTTAAGCGGGAGAAGTTTATTAGATCAAACAAACAAAAAGAGTACAAAGGTAGAAGGCTGTAAAGGGAGCCATCCTAATAGCAATACGGTGCCCAAGTTATCAAAAAAAGACAGGTGCCGTAAGATCTACATCCTATCATTATGACCCATGCTCGCCTAGGGAGATTGTAGTCTACCTTGTTTATGATGATGATTCTTCGGAAACTATTACAAATCTGCAGTTGCCAGTTATGCATCGTGAATTTAATTACGCCTACTACTCTAGGTTTGTGTACGTAAGAGGTCCAAAAGTCTACTTTATTACGACTTCATTCCCTCCCTTTCGTGATTATGAGAAGATGCATGTTAGGAAGGAAAGATGTGTTTTTTCTTTTTCTTTTGGTTTTATTCGGGTTTGGTTATGCGTGGAAACATTGAAGAAAAACAAGAAGATAATAGGAACTTCAGTAGGGATTTGAACACTGCCCTTTTTTCATCAACCACCCCCTATTAATTTTGAGGTCAAAGAAAACACTGTTTATTGCGTCTGTTCAACCTTTCTTTGAATGAGATCAGTTACCAGGGAATCATGTATCATGTATAACCTCATGCACGATACTATAGCTAGCATGAAAAGTAAATTTAATCGTCACTTGTGTGTTTTAATAAATTGTCATTCCTTTCTGTTATTATATGCTTATCCTAATGAGAAGGAAATATTATTACTTTTTTCTTTTTCTTTGATGTTTCTAATGGAGTTTTATATAACGGATGAGGTAATCTAATGAGAATCAATCTTTCAATTTGGCTAACTAGGCTCTTTTGTTTTGTTTGGTACTCAATGTCACTCAGAGGAACTCTTTCGAGAGATAGTGACCACAAAGACTTAATAAAAAAGTATTAACAGTTATATATATGTATAGGTTGAAAAAAGAAGAAAACATATACCTAAGTTAATATTTTTGCTCATTTCTCTCATAATCATGTTGCAATATAAATACAGTATCACTTGAGCATTAACCAGTTAGTAAGTTAATTATTACGACACTAACCATTTGTTTGGAATAACTCCACAATATCATTTCACGATCCGAACCGTTCAGTTTGTCCCTTACTCAAATACCCCTATTCAAAAAGCAAACAATCATAGACTTAACTATGAGCCCTAAACAAGCTTTGGCATATAACAACAAAAGTACCATAAGTGACATTGTCAGTACATATAGTAAAATCTAAATGCCTAGAATTATACGCGTATCTTGAGATGTTATATTTCACAATTCTATATGACCTTATGAAAAGTCCTTATAAGGGATTCGTGAACCTTACATTACTAATCCTAACAAATTTGTTGGCTAATATGTGTCCCAACAAATCATTAGAAATTAGAATTAGCGAAGTACCTTGGCTAGAAAGGCTTGATATTGAGAAGGATCCTATGTCTTGTCTTTTTTTTTTGGGTCTTTTTTTTACCCAAACAAAAAGAGAGAAAGAAAAAAAAAGAAAAAAAAAGGAGAAAAGAGACAATTCCTTTATAAGGATAAAAATAAATAATCTAATTAAATTTTTTTTTATGAACAGTTTCTTTAACTTTGTTTAACATGCATTCAAGGAAAAAAAAAAGTTGTTCTGTACATGTTCCCCCCAAAAGAAAGAAAAGAAGTGTTCACGCCACTCAAATGTCAAAACCTATATATACCCAAACTACCATTTTCCCAACATTTTCCAAACCCCTTCCCAAAACTTCACTTCACACTAGCATGCCAAACCCAAAACCGCCATTTCCCTTTCTCTTCGCCATTCTCTTCTTCTTCATTCTACCCCTCATCTTTTCCCAAAATGGCGAGCATTTCCAGTTCACGGAGGCAGGAAAGCGGCGAGTCCACATCACTGACGACCTGGACGACGTCGTAGACGACGAAGAGGACGATACTTGGAAAGAATGGGGCAAGAAATCCACACCCTCTTCCGATTTCGATCCGCCCCCTGATTTTTCCAAAATGGACATGTCCGAGATCCAGGCGGAGATGATGAAGCGGCATACCGGCCCGGCTTTTGGGTTTGTGAAGCTCCGGCTGGGCGTCAAACGGACTCGGGTAATCCGAATTTGCTCTTCCCCTTTGTGTTCTTATTGGGTTAGTTTCTATGTTGGCTCTGATAGTTTGGAACCTCAATTTGATAGTTTTAGTGTAATCAGTGGAACGAGTTTTTAAGCATGAATTTGGATCAAACGTTCACTATTGAATTGAAAGAGTATTGAGAAGTTGATTGGAAGTTGTTTTGATCTGGGATTGGACTTGAACATTTATGTGAAAGAATGTGGTTAAAATTGGAAATTGTTTATTAATGTGTGGAAATCTACGATAAGTACTAGTTTTGCAAATTGCAGGCTGCCCAAAATGCACTATCAGATCACTTTTTGTAGATTGGAAACCATGAATTCAGCACTAGTTATAAACTTATATTTTTTTTTGTTGTTCTTGTTGTAGTCTCTTGTTTTAGATGTTAAATATGAGCTTAAGTTGATGTAATGGCTTTATAGGTAATAGAAATGACTTTTGATGGTTTGCTATGTAATTGATTGAGGCTTTCAATTTGGCTTCAAATGAATGGCAAATTTAGTAAGGGCTTCTTTTCCCCTCGCAGGATACGGTGGCTGAAATTGCTATGAAATGGACCAAAGTTCTGAGAACTGGAGCTCTTGGGGTAAGATTCATGGGTGTTGATCTAAACACAATCATGTTCAACATGGAACAAGGCCAAGAAATGACAGAGGTATGCTTCTTTCCCCCCACACTGGGTCTTTTGTCCTCCAGATCAAAGAGAATGAGGTTCCCTTGTGTCCTGCTGGGGAAATTGCTCCTTGATTGTAGATGTCTTTCATTTCTTAAGAATGTTTTTTCACAAGAAATAGAAAAATCTGAAGTCTTGGGCATGGCTTACCTGTTCCATAAGAGAGGTGTTGCATGCCATTTAAACTAATGTCTTGCTTAGCATACTTTTTTGAATTGATGAGCTTATTATTGCAGA